GAGCTCATTTCTTGAAGTTCTATAAATGGGGAACTGTGAGAGAAACAGATTTGGAAAAGAAGAGGAGTAGATTTTAAGGAAGTTATGAATTTCGTGGAGGATGATCATAAGAAGTTCTTACTCTGCCAAAGAGGTCAGATATCAGATTGCAAAGAGATTTAGGCACTTGGAGTGGTAATAAAGTGGAAGAAAGTGGATTATAATTAAGAAAGTTTGTGTTAAAATATGGTGACAGGGCCAAGAAGGAAGTATTCATTTTGTTTTTGTTTGAGTTGAATTCATAATACTTAAACAACTATTAGATTTAGGGAAATGTCCTTGAAAAAGCAAAGAAGGATTAAAGAGCTGATGAAATAAGAAAATGAAATAAAATTACCTAAAAGCTTATTTTTTTGAGAAGAGAAGATGTACTTCATTTCCTGAAATTAAAGCGAGGTAAGGCAAGAGTGAAGGGGAAGAGAGATCCCTGAGAGGAAAGGGTAAGGGCAGAATTCATACCAGAGCCTACAAGTTCTGTAAAGCAAGAAGCACAAACATTGACAAAGGAAAACTAGAATGTGTCCACTGATAATAAGAGAGTGAAAAATGTGCAGAATAGATGTTTTAAGGATTATAATAATCAAGCATATCAAAGTAAAACATTGCTGAGAAAAAAAGTAGAGACAATCCAAAAGATGGACAGTATAGTAAACTGGGGTAATTTGTTAGAAGGATTGAATTTATTTTGCTGTTCTTCAATTTATTCACTTCGTATAATTTACCACCAGTTTATATCATGAATTTAGTTTATGAGGTTTCTACCTCTGTCTCAAATTCAGTTTTAATGTAGAATGTATGGTGTGTTGCTGGAATAAATTTCTATGACCTGAAAGGATCTCAAAGATTAATTCAAATTCCCTTTGCATTCATGGGTAAAGAGACTCCCCTGAGGTCATGCTAATAATTAGCAACTGACTAATATCAAGTCAAACCAATATTCGCCTTTTTTACTACATTGTTTTGTTGCTTCTTTCTTTCTTTTATTTTTATTTGAGACTAGGTTCTCTCTATGTAGCCCAGGCTGGCCTAGAACTTACAGTCCTCCTATCTCAGCCTCCCAAGTGCTGGCATTACAGGTTTGTGCCAAGCTGGAGCTATGTACTTTTTAAAGCTATAGTAGTTATTGCCAGCATTGAGATAATTCTGGAGGTCAAGACATGCAATAATGCAAGGTGAATCAAATGCTATGTTGTTCAACAGTTTCTTATCCCTTAATTAGGATGTGAGATATTCTATTCTTAAGGTCCAAATTGCTGATTCTCCAGAGTCTGGCCTATCTTTTTTTTTTTTTTTTTTTGAGACGTGTCTCCCTATATAGCTCAGGCTGGCCTCAAATTTGGGATCCTACTCTCTCAGCCTCTCAAGTACTGAGACTACAGAAGTGTACTACCATGCCCAAATGACTAATCTGTATTTTAAAAAGACTTATTGCATCTCTGTGTAGTTGTGCCCAAATTTAATTATTGTGCAACCAATGTTTGGTCCATGAATGTCCTTAGACAATGAGAAGATGATGACCACAGAGTGTGGTAAATTCACAAATAAAAAGCTTTCAGCAATGCTCAATACTGATTCATTTTACTGTTCTTCTATTCTGGGTCATTTTATGTCTCTTTTATCTCCTTTTGCCAAGACCGATTAAGAAGAGTCTAATGTAGACCAAAAAGCATTAGACTAGGAGTCAGAAAGCAGCTTGTATTATTGTCACACCTTAGGCACTTCTCAGCCTCTTCTTCCTCTGTTAATTCTGCTTTGCTCAAAGCCTGTTGTGCAGATAAATTGAAATAAACAAACAAATAAAAGTCTTCAGCACTCTGCAAATGTACAGCACAGGCATTTATTATATTTTTTTCAGCTTGTATTCTATAGGAATAGTGCGCTTTGGTAAGTGAAGCCTAATGTAATGACACATCGTAAAATGTAATTGAAGCCCTATGGTTTAAATCAATGTTTTTGGTGATTGAAATATTGGTCATTTACAGCCATTATATTCTAATTTTAAAATGACCCAATGAGAAACTAGATATCTATTTCACAAATCTTTATAAAGCACTTACTGTCCTAGGTTATAAAGCACTATGTGTTATCTTAAGGCCTATATTTTGTTTTAAAATCAAGGAAAATTTATTCCACCACTTTCAGTAAAATTAATATATTTGATACATTGTAAGAACTTTTATAAATGCCACAGTGTTACCCCGACCCAGAACAATAATTAAAAAAAAAACCAACTGGTCTCTTTTGCTCTCACTTCTAAAATTTAGAACTTGCCTACCTTATATACCTTTCAACTTAGATAATGTTGATAAGTAAACCTTGCTTGTTGCCCATGTACCTGACAAATTTGGTACAAGAGAGGGTCTTTTATATGTTTTGTAAATGACATAGGAGAAATTTACAGGCTGTTTTTTTAATATGTGATTGAGTTTAGGATTTTTAAAAAGCATAGAACATTTCTGTCTCATTTTATTCATAGAAAGATGACATGAAATCAAATTGATTGGAAAGCCTTGAATCTGGTTTTTGGTAGTCTATTAGCAATGGGGCCCTGAATCATGCAAGCAATTAAGTCCTCAGAACTAAATCCATATAGATGAACAATTGTGGTGGCCCATCTGGTCTGATTTTAGCTTCTCAGCATTTCACCGAAGTCCTTGTAAGAGTCAGGGCAAGAAAAAAACCAGCAGAAATTCTATGTAGCGTGCTTGTCAAGAAATGCATTTTATAAGTAGCTGTTGATATTTTGACTCACATGGCACAAAGACTTGTGTTCTATAGCATTCGCTACCAATAGCATTTTGGCTGAAATAACCTCCTGCACTCATTCTGCCTTATGCTACTTTGGAATGGAGAATTGGAGCCCTGGGAGCAGCTTTTACTAAAAAAAAAGGAAGCTAATGAATGATGGTAAGCACGTAGTAAGGAAGTAGGCCAAATAATACAAATACATGCATTTCCCTCTCTCTGTACTTATTAAACTATAAACACCCTGCTGACTTTAAGGGCATGGAAGCTGTGAACAGATCCTCCCACTTAGAAAGGCCAAAGTTTGGCTTAATACCCTGTTGTAACTGTTTTAAAATTCTTAATAGCTTTTAAACAAGGGCTCCACATTTTCATTTTGCACTGAGCCCCACCAGTTTTGCTCAGTCCTGGCCCCAATTTCCCAAGATTCTGAGTAATTATATCACTAAGAACTTGTGCCTGAAGAAAGTGAAGAATATCAAAATAAATTTAGTCCCTAGAGGGTGCCCAATAAATGTTTTCAGCATGAGTGAATGAGTTACTTTTTAAAGCTTTAAAAGCAATTATCTTGAATTTTAGTCCATTTAATTTTGATGGGTGGGGAGTAGGGGAGTCATATGAAATTTTTGAAGAAAAAAAATAGGATATAAGAAAGAACCTAAAATATTATACCAAATACCTATTTCATCATTATAAATGGAAACTTTTATTTTTTTCAATTTACTTAAAATGTTTATTTAAAAATTAAAAGCAGATAAAGTTTAATTATCTGTTAATACTACCTGTAATATCATTTACTGATATTTCACTAGAAGCCAAAGAACTATCATTAGTATTGTCCTTCCAGTATTTGTTACCTGTAGATAACATTAGCATTTTGGCTGAAATAACCTCCTGCATTCGTTCTGGCTTATGCTACTTTGGAATGGAGAATTGGAGCCCTGGGAGCAGCTTTTACTAAAAAAAGGAAGCTAATGAATGATGGTAAGCACGTAGTAAGGAAGTAGGCCAAATAATACAAATACATGCATTTTCTTCTCTCTGTACTTATTACCTATAGATACCAAATAGGAATAATATGGTAACATTTGGGTGAATGCTTTGCCATTTTTGTAAATGGTGTGAAATTATATGCTTCATTCTGAAATTTGCTATTTTCATCAATGTTGTTTGTAAAATAGATCTATATCGACATATGCCCTGTTGTTTCATTCACTCTCATTACCTTGTATAGCAGATCCTTCCTTATCTGCTGCCCTGCTTGTGAGACTTATCTGCTGCCCTGCTTGTGAGACTGTTAAAATAGAGCAGCAGGAGCCAGTGATAAAAACCACTAGCTGGGTGATTCTGGGAAAGTTAAGAACTCTGAAACTCAATCTTCACATTTATAGATAGGGTTAATAATTTCTACCACTCAAGATGGTTTTGGTAGTTAAATGACATAATATAGGTAAACCTGGCATGTAGTAAAGTTTCAAAAAATAGAAGTAGAGATTATCTTACTTTGATGTCTAAATCTGAGTATTATGAGGCCTTAATCAAATATGTAAAGTGATCTTTTTTAATTTTTTTGGTGGGACTGAGGTTTGAATCCAGGGCTTTGCATTTGCAAAGCAGGAGCTCTACCATTTGAGCCACACCTCCTGTCTTGTGACAGTGATCTTGAATTTACATTATTGAACCCTTAGACTTAGCTTGGCTATTGCTTTTGATTTTTATAACAATATGTTATCCTTAAGAAGCAGTCCTGGACATACCATAGATTCTCAGGTTCATATTTACAAAACTGAATATTACCTTTAATGCACTTTCCACTGGATTAAAAGGCTTAAATTCATGAAATCATGAAACTATGATTACTACCATAGTCAATTTTTAAATGACATCTGTGTTCTGCTCTGCATAATTGGAAAAAATGAGTATCTAGCATTTTACAATTTTCATTTTGTAATGTAGCAAATACCAGAAGTGAGAATTCTGAAATTGTGTCACACCATTACTGTGCTGCTGTATGGGCTCCCAACTTGCAATTTGAAATTAAAAATATAAAGACACTTTGACTGTTTTTCATGTTCCCTGAAAATTTTTGAAAAATCTCAGCATTCTAATATTAAATATAGTCTTCTCATTGAAGTCTATGATGTACTAGGAGACTTGAAATTACATTCTGAATCTCCCTATGCATTTTTAAGCATTATATTTTGTTCATTCAACAGATTTTACACAATCCGCTACAGAGAAAAGGATAAGGAAAAGAAATGGATTTTTCAACTCTGTCCAGCCACGGAAACAATTGTAGAAAATCTGAAGCCCAACACAGTTTATGAATTTGGGGTAAAAGACAATGTGGAAGGTGGAATTTGGAGTAAGATTTTTAATCACAAGACTATTATTGGAAGTGAGTACCTGGCACTGCTTGTTTCAGTAAGCCATTTGTAAAAAAATTTTTTCCTAACTATTTAATTTTTAGTTATTTTGCTAGTTGCATAATATAGAATGAGTTAATTTCCATTTCTAGCATTTGAGAAATACAAAATGGATAGAACTTAAATATTGATATTTCAAAATCTTTTTCATGTGATTTTTGAAATAGGAGATAAACTAGCATTCAATGTTTCCATTGTTGTCATTGGCATTACAGTGTTTTAAAATAAATCCATGACCTATGAACAATACCAAATGAGCAAAAAAATAAAAACAAACAAACTCCAATAATATATGTTTATATTTAGAATGGAAGGGTAGACCAGTAGAAGTGGACATAAAAAGATAAAAAGATTATAGAGAACTCAGGACTTTCTTCCAGCCTCTCTTTCATTTAGACTTCATTTGGAATCAATGTTTGAAAGGACAGTAATTTAAAAAATATGACCAAAGGGAGGAAAAATGGCCCAAACAATGTATGCACATATGAGTAAAAAAAAAAAAAAGAAACTTAAAAAAATATGACCAAGTTAGAAAGCACGAGTTGTAATCGTCCTCATAAGGATGAGCTAAAGTTGATTTAGGAGCAAGAAGAATGAAAATAACCTCATTGCCCTTGTTTTATCAGGTAAAAACAAAGTAAACGGGAAAATCCAAAGTACCTATGACCAAGTCCATACAGTAGTAAGTAATAGTTTATTTTCAAAGACTATTTTTAAAAACTGTATCTGCATTGTAATTTTACTCAAATAAGAATATAGTCCTTTTATGAGGTACTGAAACAGAACTAACTCACTAGTGATGTGGCTTTGGGTAGAGTGCATGATGGTTTAGAAATTAGTTTCTTTTTCTAAAAGTAAGGGTGGAACCGTGATTCCAAATTATCTCTAATTTGTTTGAACCTCTAAAATTTTGATATTTGCTATTGTTATTCTAGTATTTGAATATTCTGGGTATTTTGACATTATGCTTACTCTGTCCTGTGGACTGTTTTTTGATATAACACTCTGAGAGTGACTTGAGTGGTACATGTTCTAAATACATTGCTTGAAGTTCAAATCTTCCCTTTCTATTTTCTGTCACTTCATACGTAAATGAACCAACCCTTTCAAAATGATGAAGGAGCCTGTTTGCTTTTGAAACGTACCTAATTTCTACTCAGTTCAGTAAACATTTGTGCCTCTTATGAGCTTATATATATATATATATATATTCTCCCCCCCTCACCCTATCCCCTGGGTGGAGACAGGGAGTCTCTCTCACTTTAGCAAATACTTACATAAGTGTCTGTTCTCATGAAGTATCATATCAGTATAGGTAGTATGCATTACCTAGTATAATGTCAGCCATCGTTATAACCATCAAAGAGATACTTACATTTCAAATCACATCCCAATTATAAAATTATAAATAACAAATTGTCACTGAGCCGATAGAGGAGGCATTTGAGTGAGAAGAGGGGAATTTGGTGCTGGTTTTGGTTCTCAAGTGTTGGAGGTATGCAGCTGGGAAATGTTCCACAGTGAAGTAACAGAGGCACTGTGTGGGTAAATCTGCTCCCTTCGGTGCATGCACAATGTATATGGATGTTTATTTTTTGTCTAATTAATAGTTCATAGAATAATTTGCTGATCATGTATCCAGCCTGGAAAAAGTAGTTTGTATATTTAAAAAAGGAAATGAGTATTCTGAGGGGAGTGGGACTCGGGAGGCAGCCCAAGCTCTTCTAGGGACTCACAGCCCTAGCCCAGAAGGAGAATGATTTTACTGACAGAAAATGGTCTTGGATAAAATAGAACTGAGAATTAATCAGGTTAAGGCAAAGGTTTTTTTCTAGATTTTAATTGGGAGAAAAAATCTGTTCATTATGAAATTATCAAATAATTACAAGTATTAGATTATTATGATCACAAGTTTAAAGCCAGCCTGGGCTACTTAGTGAGTTCCAGACCAGTTTGAGCTACATGGCCAGACCTTGTCCCAAACAAAACAAAACAAAACAAACTGTTATTTTGATTGTATAGACTTATGACACCCAGTATGACAGTTCTAAATATATACACAGCAGTTCTAAATATATACATATATGTACACACATATATGCATATATAGTACATTATAATCAAATCAGCATAATTAGTACTTCTAATTCTTTAAATAAATATTTATCTATTTTATTTATTAAATAAACAAAAGCACATAACATACAAATTTATGGGGTATAGTGAGACATTTCAGACGAGCAGATAATATGTGCTGGCCGAATCAGGGGAATTAGCATTAGCGTCTCCTTATCTTTGGTGAATCCTGTATTGAAAATGATTATTTCAATTTTCACTTCTATGATTGCAGGTAAAGCAGCACTTTTCACTTGTGTTTTCCATTTAATGATCTTTAGTTGCAGTTCTTTATTTATTAGGCATTTTAGGTTTTATTTTAATTGAATAAAGACCTTATGAATTAAAGCATATTGATACTGTCTGATATTATATATTTTTTTCTCACATTCATTATCAATTTTATTTGTAGGAATTTTTGAAATAGGCAAGTCTTGAAATTTACTTAATCAAATTATTAAAATTTTCCATTGTCATGTCTTCAGTTGCATTTTATTTTAGAAATCCCTTCCTTCTCCAGAAAACAGATACATATATTCCACCACCCCCACCTCTTTTTTAGCTTCAGTTTTTGTTATAATTAAATTCTAACCTATGTGGACTTTACTTGTCTATGGTATGTAGTAAGTCTCTGTATTTATTGGGCTATAACTTTTTTTCTAAATAACTAATTGGCCTACTATCACATATTGAATTGTGCTATTCTCTAATGTCTCCTTGGTTTTCTCTCTCTTTAATTCAACCATTATCATACAGGACAAGTAAATCTGCTATGCCTTGCAGGTGGAACAATGGAATAGAGTTGCTCTTTCATCGTCTTCTACAACAGTCCTCTATTATGAATGGTTTCCCAGGAAGCAAATCTTATCTCCTACACTCTTAGCTATCATGTTCAATCTTTCATGTGACTTCATGATATCATTTCTTTCATTCCCTCTTTTCTCCTGTCATATCCCCAAAATTTTTATGTCTTTTGGCAAAATATTTCATTTAGGGTGAATTACTCAGTAAGATTGGGAAATGATTGACATTTTACTACAAGGGAATTTAATTTCTTTTTCTTCGTCATTAACAGCCATGATAGGAGGGGCTAGGGAGAAACTTCCTGCATCTATGACACAGAGCCAGATGTTTTATCACTTCAAGCTGTGAGGCGGAGCACCCCCAACTCCAGCCAGATCTGATGAGCTGTACTCTGCAACTTTTGGTTATTTCCAAAGGAAAACCCAAATTCATTGAAAAGATATTTTAAGGCTTCTCTTGAAGTTTTCTTTATGATTACCTTCTGGATAGCAGAAAAATATTACATGATCTAACATCTGTGCTCTTGGATAGCTCTGGGACATTGGAAAGTTGAAAATGACATCATAGGGTATAGCCTTTAACTATCTTCTATGACCACATAAAATTGATTCTGAAAGTTGACTTGACACTTTAAAATATTTCAGTCTAAATAAAGTCTATGTCCAAACATTTGCCCATGTCTTCTCTGAGACTGATCTTAGAAGGCAGCATTTCAAGAAATAGGAAATTAATTCCAGATGTTTTACTTTTAAGGTTTCAAGTAAAAGACACACTGAAAAAGTTTTCATTCATCTACAAATTCTCACACTTAAACCTTATAAATAGCAAGAACTTAACACCTTCCTAAAAGAGGTATTGAAATGGGAAAAACAATGTGACATCTGGGCTCTCCTTGTAAAAAGACAAATAAAGTTTAGGTTAAGTTTGAGTACCTAGTACACTCCATCTTGTCTGTCTGATTACTTTATATATTGTCATTGATATATGTAGGCATGTGTTTTTCTGGCAAGCCCCAGCAGAGCTATGCCAGGGACAACTAATAGGGTCTCTTCTGATTGGTTATCTAACTAGTTCACTAACTAAATGGCATCAATTTTTGAAGTATAGAGTTCTTATTAGATTTTGAAATGCAAATTTAATTATTTAACCCAAATCTTCCTAAAATCAATATTCTCATAAAATATGACACTTATTTTTACCTTTGCTTTTTCTATTCAAGATCCAGCCACATTTTAAGGAAGCCACATCTATTATTGGCAAGAAAATGAAAGTTCTGGCAATGTTTAAAGTTTAATAGTTATCGGATAAGTGATATGAATAAAGAGAATTACGTTTATGGCCCATGCACACCTTAAGATGATACACCATGACTGTACAGTATCCTTCCATCCTTAGCAATCCTGTCTTAAGCACAAACTTGAAATATTTGCATGTGGGCCATCTATACGATTAGCGGTATATGTCTCATTCCAGCTGACCAGAAGTTTGAAGACTTTTAAAGAAGGAGATTAGATTCACTTTTAGCCAGATGTTAGATTGAATCAGTATGTTTCATAACTTTCATTAGAACATCCTAAAAATGAATTAAAACCAGAATCTCACAAGCCTAAGTTCTTCTCATGTGGCTTGGCTCTTAAGTTTTTGAAATTTGATTTTGAGCAACCCTTAGCCTCTCCTCAAATGGACAGCTCCTCTTTCTCTGAGCTTGAAAATATGGTTAAATCTATAATGACAAAGATGCCAAATGGTCAAATCTGTAAAAAATAGCTTACTTATGTTATCACTGACTTTATTAAAGCTAATTTTCAAAGTAATATCAAAAGTTCCTACCATGCAAGACAAAATTTAAAGTCCCTTGCCCTATGTGGCTGCTGCTGTGTTTATTTCCAAATAATCCCAGGCTTTCTCTAGACATGACACAAAAAACCACTTGATTTGTCCCCAGGGGTGTTTCCCTTTACCACTTTGGCATTACTTCCCCACTATCACCAACTGCATACTCTCCTATAACATCCAAGAAAAATTGTGAACATGAATTCTCTTAACCAATTACCCTGCTCAAGGTATAGATAGTATAATCTAGATTCTAAAAGGACAGGATATCTTTTTTTTAATTTTTAATTGTTATACTGGGGGAACTTTTTGACATTTACAAAAGTTCTTACAGCATATCATAGTTGAATTCACCCCCTCCATCGTTCCCCTTTATCCGCCTTCCTGGAACAGTTTCAGCAGGTCTCATTTTTCCTTTTACATACATGAGTACATAATATTTCTACCATATTCACCTTTTTCTTGTATCCTCCCCTCCCCCACTGGTGCCATCCCCCCACCCCCAACAGGATCTGTTTTACCTTCCAAGACAGGATAGTTTGAAAAACAGAAAAGATAATAATCTCTTACAGAGCAGGGACTTATGCTTATCTCCTGATATATAGTAAGCATTCAAAAAAATTTGCTAATAAAAAGGGAAAGGATGAGAAAACTAGAAGGAGAAAATGATGGAGGTTGCAGCAAGAATGGGAGTCAGGGCCCAGAGTCATTGTAGACACCTACAATCCCAGCTACTTGGGAGGTGGAGGTAGGAGGATTGGGGTCTGAGTTCTGCCTGGGAAAAAGTACAAGACCCTATCTAAAAACAACAATAACAAAAAACCCAACTAAAAGGAAAAGGACTCAGAGTGTGGCTCAATTGGTAGAGTGCTTGCTCAGAATTTAATCCCCAGTGCTGGAAGAAAAAAAAGGAGGTGGAGGAAGAGGAAGAGGGGAAGGAGGAAGAGGAGGAGGAGAAGCAGGAGAGTCAGCAGAGAAACTGCCTAAGAAAATCACTGCTGGGGTGGTATCCAAGGACAGCAGTCTTGTGTCAATGACATCTTACTTAGTGTATTTTGTGCTGCTAAAACAAAACACCATGGACTGGGTGATTCATAAAGAACAGAATTTCTTTTCTTTTTCATTTCTATCTTTTTTTGTAGTACTGGGCATTGATTCCAAGGCCTCACACAGGCTAGATAAGTGCTTTGCCACTTCAACTACATCCTCAGCCCTTTGATTTTTGCTTTTGAGACAGTCTCGGTGCGTTTGCCTGGACAGGCCTCAAACTCAAGATCGTCTTGCCTTTGCCCCTTAAATAGCTGGGATTGCAGGCAGGTGGCATCATCCGGGCTCCAGAGATTTATTTCTTGTGAAATTCTAGAGGCTGAGAAGTCCACAGTCAAGAGGCTGGCATCTGGTGAGGGCCTTCATGCTACGTCATCCCATGATGGGGTGCAAAGGGCAAGAGGGCACGTGTGAGGGGAAGGGACCCAAACTCAGCCTTTCATCAGAGACCCACTCCAGTGTTAACTAACCCATTCTTCAGGTAGCAGGGGAGCCCTCATGACCTAATTACCTCTTAAAGTTCCCACCTATCAACACTGTTGCATTGGGGATTAAGTTTCTAACACAGGAACTTTGAGGGCCCCAGAAAAACCATAGCACCATACCAGCCCAGATTGCATGGCGGCCTGCAGGACTTTCCCTACCTCACTCTCCACTCCCAGACCCCATGTCATCTTCACAGTAACTCCAGTACTTACTCATAGACAGTCACAAAAATAAGCCTATGACAGCAGGAAAAGGTCGGTGGTATCTTTTTTAAATCATTGTACATGAAACTCAAAATTGGAAGGTGTAATGGCTCAAATGGTTGCACTAACTTAGCAAGCACATGGGCCTGGGTTTGCTCCCTAGTATTGTCCCCAGCCCCCAAAATAAAAGCCTAGAAACGCAGATAAAATTGGGTTGAAAGTGTTTAAATGCTGTTATCTTGATAATTATCACAATTGTTTATTTTCTGGTGAGTCCAGGTAACAGAGGTTTCCCTACACTTTCATAAAAGACACAGGGAAAGGATTCACAGTGTGGATTTCTGGGTGGAGATTTTAAAGTCTTTTGCAGAGACATATTGGGTAGCAGGACTTTCTTGATGCCCTTCAAAAATATACCTTTTGAGATGCAGCCATTTGTTCATTGGTCCAGTCTTGGTGCATTCAGAGTAGGCAGGAGAGCAATTCTAGGTCTAGAAAGAATTGTGTTCTTCAGGTAAATGGTTTCCTTGTTTTGGTAATACATACTGTACCTATATTCTTGTCATCAGCTTAGTAGAACATTGTTCTATACGCAAGTAAGAACTCAGAACAGAAACTGTTCCATTAATGTGATGAGTGGAATATTTTCCATTTGTCCTTGTCAAAAAACTGCATGTCTGAAACAAATCATTAAAGCAAAGGAAATAAAAATTGGTATGATGCAGTTAAAAGGCAATCAACACAGCAACATGTCAGCATTTCTGCTACAATATATTAAATATCTCCGAAAAACTTCACATTCTGTGAAACATGGACTGACAGGACAAATAGGGCAAATAAAGGACAGTTCAAAATCTTTTGTAACTGTAGCCACCAATTGAAAGAAATGATTATTGGTACCTGGAAAGATTGGCTACCCCCAACAGGAGGCTCTCATGTGACTAGAGTTTGACAGAACAGGCATTTAACAATCTTAGAATTCTTAGAGCTGGGGTAGGAACAGGCCAGAGAGTAATAGGGAGATCCTGTTAAAGTTTTAGGCAGGAGGAATAAGTTCTTGAGAACTTTTGTACAGCAGGATGACTTAATAATGTACAGGTCAAAATTGCTGAGAATACATTTCAACCATCTCATCAGAGTAAAAGGATGGGTAAGTGAAGCGATGGATACATGAATTGACTTGACTCAGTGACTCCACATTGTATGCTCATACCAAAACATCATATTGTACCTCATATTTGTGAAAAAATAAATATGAATGGCAAAAAAGAAGTTAAATTATTTTAGCATAAAAGTTATGTAAAGTCAAGCACCAGTGGCTCACACCTATAATCCTAGCTTCTTGGGAGGCTGAAATTGGGAGGATCATAGTTCCAGGCAAGACCAGAGCCAAAAAAGGTTTGCAAGACCCCATATCAATGGGAAAAAAAACTAGGTATGGTGGCATGTGCCTGTCATTTCAGCTACATTGGGAAGCGTAAAATAGGAAGATTATGGTTCAGGATGGCCTAGGCAAAAGCCCGACCCTATCTCCAAAATAACCAGAGCAAAAGGGGCTGGAAGCAAGGCTCAAGCAGCAGAGTGCCCACCTAGTAAACATGAAGTCCTAAGTTCAAATTCCAGTGCCACCAAAAATGAAAACAAGCAAAAACAACAAAATTCTAAGAAGTGATACAATTCAAGAGACATGGAGAATGCTGGCAACACTTTTCCTGAAGCGGGACAGGTGAGAAGTGGACAGTACAGGTAAAGGGGAACCAGGTGGGCACTCTTAAGGCAGGAGTGTGAGACAGCAGGCCATGGACCTGTCTGATCTCTCTGGGAAAGATCTGTGTGCAAGTGCTGACACAAACTTTCTTACAATAAAGCTGAAAGGAATCTTCCTGCCTGTGTAGCCTCAACACTGAGACTATTTTTCTTTCCTACTGAAGGTTTTAAAAAATAATATGTAGTTTAGCATCCTTTTAAGAGGGAATGTAAAGACAGAATTTGGTTGACTGTGTTACATCTGAAATGAAATGGAAATAAACTTACACTCAATATAGAGGACTTAGGTTTTTTTTCTATTGCAGTTTCTGAGTAAATGGGAGTTTTGAGGAAATTGCTTTTATCAAACCTTTGGATTCTTGTGGGGGAAAACATGTAAAATGAAGGTACATGGATGTGCAAAAGATCTTTCAAGTGACTATTAAACCTGTGTCACGGGAGACTTCATTGAAGACAAGAAAGGACTACTGCCAGTACTCTGATGTTTTTAAATTCATTAACACTGATGCAAAAACTGACTTTCTCCCTCTCTTTTCAGCCAGAATATGTTCCAAGGAAGCTAATCCCAGTAACAATCATCAAACAAGGTAATTAGTCCACTCTGGCCATGTACGAATGATTTTAAAATAACTACTTCTTAACTAAGATAATTAAACTTAGCTTATATTTTTCTCAGATTTTCTAGTCTCAGAAAAAGTTTGAAGAAAACTAATATGTTGCTGTAAATTAGCCACTAATAATTTTGGCTCTTGAACCAATATACAAAACCTTGAACATGTCATACTAACTGTACAACTCTGGACAAAGCAGCCATAACAAGTATTCAATTTTTTTTAACCAGTGAAATATGTGGAGCTTTACTTAGTATTAAGTTGTTATTCATAAGAAAACCATTAGTAGTATATTTGCATTAGGATATTGAAGATGAAGACTGATTTAGAGGTCACATAAGGAAAATAAAGATGTGTATGATTCAAGAATTATGTCTTATTTCATTTCAATATCAAATTGTTTTTGTTTTAGCTTCCAGCTTTCAAATTATTAAAATGACTCCATCATTTCCAGAAAGTTTCTTGGTGGAAGAGATGATGCCTTAAAATAAGTCTTTGTTTTAGAAAACACAGTGTCTTAAGTGTATTCTTAAAACAAGGTCAATTTGTATTGGAATATCTAAAGATTCTTTTCTTTGAGAATATATGTTTTCTGTTTTTTTATTATTATTATTTTGTCATTTCCAGCTTTTATGCTAGCTCTTATTGACTTGGAGAGTAGGGCAAGCTAATAGGAGTAGAGATGGAAAGACATTTTCCACTAGTTAGAATGAAACACTCCATGATAGAATAGGCTTTTGTTATCTAATGTCATAGATGTTAAGATAAGAGGTATCTTCTAATCCTATTGCCACAGCAGCCTGCTAACTGAGTTGCTTGCTGTTCATTGATGAACTTAGATAGGTCAGATGGATTCACAACATTAGCTTCTTACTGTTTCCTATTTCCCCCCATCACACTACTATCTTTTTGTATTTCAACAGTGATTCAGAATATTACTCACAAGGCTTCAACTAAATCCCCAGACAAGACTCCTTTTGGAGGAACAGTACTAGGTGAGCCAATCTTGAATTCTATGTCTAGAATAGGCAAGTCAGACCTCTATTGGTACTAGAGCCCTTATAGAGCTTTGCATTGTGAACAAGTCTATGAAATTAATGTCAGTTAACTTCCTTTCACTGCTTAATATCCTAGCTTGTATCCATTCCAGGATAAGAGGCAAGAGACACTGTCTTAATCATGGTATGTTAAAGAGAGCTGTAACCCATGCTCAGTGGGAATGATGGCAGTCTTCCTCCCCACCCACAGGGTTGTTTGCAGCTATGAGCGAGTCTTTCTCATATTGAACTGCTCTTTTCGAAATCATTAAAAACACCGGGATAGTGGTGTTTTTGTTCACCATATATCTTAAGAAGCAATTTTACAAGTATTGAGTCTAAGCCAGAGGATTTCATCAGTTCAATTCTAAATATAAAAAATGTTCTAATGAAAGGGTATGGTCTTTTTTTTTTAGCATTTTAAACTTGGAGTTAAAATTAATTAAACCAAATAAGTGCTAAGTTGTCTGATACTTTGAGTTTCATTTTATGTCATTATACATTTTCTTCTCTTTCTGTTTCCTTGTAGTCCACCTTATTATTCCAGGTCTTAATGAAACCACTGTAAAACTTCCTACATCTATTATGCTTGAGATTTCAGATGCACTCAAGGCACAATTAGGTAAGCAGCAAAGTTCTGTATTTGGACTTTTCAGTGACTTAGTACTAGCACCAATGTTCTTAGGATATCCAAGGAATTTTACAAAAGAGTTGTTTATTGATGGCAAGGAGATTGGATGTTAGAGTTACTCACTCATACAAATCACATTCAGTAATGACATAGTTATTTTATATTTATATAAAACATATATGTACATGTATGAAAGAACAGTGAGCATTTATCATATGATAGAGAAATTGTTCTAAATTATAGTCATTAAACTATGCTATCAAGAGGCCACTAAGTATTTTTAGTGAGAAGTGATCTAAGTGTTAGGTACACTAGAATTATTACTTACTTGAGATTGTTATTGCTTTCCACTTCTAGAAATAACTGGATATGATTTCAGTGTTTAAAAAAGCAAACATAATATAAGAAAAAATCAGTGAAATCCACTTAAAAGGGGCCCAGGGAATAATTGTGGTCATTGGGCCAAATTGTTGCATTTCTGCATCAAATTATTGTCACTAGAGCAGAAGATCTTAAATTTGATTGAGCAACAGAAGCCCTGGAGGGCTGTGAACACACAGACTGCTAAGACCCATTCCACAGTTACTGACTTGGTAGGTCTAGGGTGGGTTCTGAGAATTTGCATTTCTAATAAGTTTCCAGGTAACTCTGAGACCTGCTGATTCAGTGAATATAGTTCTTCAAGAACCTCCCCTCTAATGTCTCTGGAGAATGTCTTGGGTTGTTGGCAAATATGTAAGGAAACAGCATGGTGTGGTAGGAATTCAAGAAGTCGAAAGAATATTTTCTCTGAGCTAGCCAATTACATATGCCTATTAATTTACATATCCTGATAACCCTGTTTATGTAAAATTAAGCATCTAGACATTTGGAAATTTCTGGAGACAGAAATTTCTGGTCTTTTTTTTTCTAATAAAGCAGGTTAGCCTTGTGTGGACACAACTAAACATCTCCACATGGCAGCACTTCTCAAAGAAGAAAAACTGGAAAAAAGAAAATTAAGACACAAAATTTGTGGTACTTAATTAGAATTAATAGTTTTTTTTCCCAACAAATCCCAGTACAAGTAGGAAAAGGGAAATTGTGGAAATGGGTTGTTGGCTCCTAGTGTCTGTACTTTACCAGCAGCTACTTGCCAGAACATCAAAGAGACATCCTAGCAGATGTTTGCTCTTTGTAACTGACATCATGGCAAGCTATGGCCTAACTTAAGGGTCTGCTCATGTATGACCCTGTCCTGTGGTTATCTTTCATGGTACATTACTGAATTAAAGATAGAATCTGTTCTTTGTATATTGTCATGTCTTCTCTCCCTCAACCAAAAAACAAAACAAAACAAAAAGAGGAAGCAAAGTTAATTTCTCTTCCCCTATTGGGGTCCTGACCTGTCTCCTTAAGCTCATTGTCTGAAGTTCTAGTAATGGCAGATGCAATGTCTGTATGATTCACCATTATAACTCCCAGGACTTGCATCTCTGGCATGGAGTAATGCTTAATAAGTATTCATTGAATGAAAGTTACCAAACTTGTGTTTGGGCTTCTGTTACTTTTTTCATGCAATGGTTTAATTCAATTATATATTAAACTAATAGTGTTCCTAGAATGAGGTAACTCTAAAACTGCAAATAAATGACTCCTTTTCTTAATTTGTACATCAGACTTGACCATCTCCCTCTTATCTATAAAATTCTGTGATTCAACCCTGCTTCTTGTAAATATGGTGCTGTCTGGAATTTTCCATATTAAATTTTCTTAGTGAAGATGAGTTTTGAAGAACCAAAAGTCAGGACTCTGCACTTACCTGTTCTCTGTCTAGAAACTGTATTTTTTTAGCCTATCCTTGATCTAGAAGTAGGAGGGGGGCAAGGAGCCATCCACTCTCTTATTGATTTGGTCCCTGGTATGTTCATTAAAACTACAAGGACCAGAGTTTGTGAAGGAGACTAAAAATGAGCAAGAGTTACTTCCCGGATTATTATTGTCCATTTTGAAATAGAAGATAGGAAGCTTTGTTCCTTAGCCTTGAGTGATATTTCCTATAAGTTTCTTAGGCTACCTCAATACAAATTCAGCCTTTTTCATTTCTTTAACTTAGGGAATTATATTGGATTTTGTTTTGTTTTACTCTTGTTTTTCTGATATGATGCACTAAAGCTTCAAGATTGAGTGTTATTTTAATAAAAAACATTCAGTCAAATAATAACAAATGTTCAAATAATTTAAAAAATATAAATAGCAAACATGTTTTTAAACTTGGATTTCTGGGGAAACATCTATCTTAAATTTAACACATGGAAAATTTCTTATGTACCAAAGAGATTGATACTCAGTATGTTTGAAAAGACAGTAAGTCCAAGGAAGATCATCAGCTGTATCATCTTAACAGACTGTGTTTCAAAAAGAAACTACATTAAAAAATTGGAGGTGGGGTAGGGATGTAGCTCAGCGGTAGAGTACCTGACTAGCATGCATGAGATCCTGGGTTTAATCACCAGCATTGCAAAAAAATTAAAAATCTTATTGTATATATTTAAGGTATCCAACATGTTTTGATATGCATAGTTAAATAGTTATTATAGTCAAGCCAACTAGCATATTCATCCTCTCATACAGTTACCTACAATGAATACCAGGGTGCAAATATATCTGAGTTGCCGGTTTTCTTTCTTTTGGGCATATACTCATCAGAGAGATCACTGGGTCATATGATAACTTTATTCTTAATTTTTCATGTCAACTTCTACTACTTTCCATAATGATTGTACCAATTTATATTCCTACTAATAGTGCGTGTTTCTTTTTCTCTACAACCTTGTTATTTCTGGTATTTTCAATAATAGCTATCCTAACAGGAATGTTAACCTTATTATGATTTAAATTTGCATTTCTCTGATTATTAGGGATTCTGAGAACATTTTCATATGCCTGTTGATCATTTTTATATCCTCTTGGAAAAATTTCTATTGAGGTCCTTTGCTCATTAGCCAAGATATTTGGTTTTTTTCCTATTGTTTTATAAAACATTTTTACTTTTAATTGACACATAGTGATTGTACGTATTTATGTGACATTCCAACGTAGGTATAGAATGGATAACAATCACATCAGGGTAATTGGAATACCTATCACCTCAGATATATGTAATTTCCTTGCATTGGAAACATGCCACATTCCCTCTACTAGCTATTTTGAAATATTAAATTAATTGTCATTGAGCATAGTCATCCTTTCTGAGTTGCATGAGTTCATTATATATTTTGGATATTAAGTCCTTATCAGAAACATGGTCTGCAAATATTTTCTCTCAATCTGTAGGCTGCTTTTCATTTTGTTTATCATTTCTTTTGCTGTGTGGAAACACTGTTTTTTTTATACTAAGAGGGGACAGGCATAAACTGTTTTTTATACTACCAAGGGAGAAATAAACTTTCCTGAAGTTAATTATCACAGCAGTTCAGAATAGTCATATTTCTTGAGGGAATAAATCCTAAAAATAATACCCCATTTAGCAGAGCCCATCAGGGGACATCAAGAGCTGTAATGGCTTTTGTTCTAAGAACACATGGTGTGAATAATGAGAGAAATAAACAAGAAAGCTAGGATTACACACACATTTTCCAAGGGACACGCAAAGGGTTTGCCAAACCCAAGACTTAGCTTGCCAAACAGTAAGGGAAACAACTCTGCTGAAAAATGTACAGAAGAATAATGGAGGAAAAGGGATTTCCTGAGGTTTAGGCCACATTTGGATGCATTTTACCTTTCCGTTGTCAAGATTGCAGTTGTACATAGTGTAGGTGAATGCCCATGGAGTTGAGGAGATACCAAAGTACCCCATTTAAACATCTCCCCCAGCTCCCGATTTCTCTTACGACTTTCTGTCTTTAAGTCCATTTGAAATAAACAAATATTTTTGTGCCCACATTAAATAAAAACAAGAAAATGACCTTTCTAAGAGTGATATGAACCACAGAAGAAGATTATAAAATTTTCATGTTCAAAACACTTTGAGGAAACAGATCCATTCTCAAAGGGGAAGACTGTCCCCCTGGGAATATCTGGAAATGTCTGTAGATATTTCTGGTTACCCACAATGTGGAGTGTTGTTGGAGTCCAATGCATAGAGGCCAGAAATGCTGCCAACCAATCTATAGTAAATAACACTGTGGCCAACAACCCTTGCCAAAAAAACAAAAAAACCCAAAAACAACAACAACAACAAAAAACAGCCCTATCTAGCTTCAAGTATCAATAATTCCAAAATTAAGAAACCCAAGGACTCTAAAACAAATCCTATCTTATTATTTAATCATCTCTAGATGGTATGATTCTTTAATGCTATTAGATTTATAAAATACTATAAGCGGGTCACTGATTTGGCATGCTAAATATCTGAATGGAGTTAGCCCCAAGTACATTTTAAAATCAGAGAATGTCTTAACCACCAGGAAATTCTAGTTTATAAATATACTTTCTTTGAAAAACAGTACCTAAATTTTAGAAGGGCATTTCCCTTATAGTTGCATAAAGAGGAAAAGGAAAAAATAAAGATTCCATTCTTTGCACTGAATTCCCACAGAGAATGAAAGAGAAGACCTATGTTAAAATGTGGCTTACATCAAATTTACTGTTGGTGATTTTTTTTTGCTAGAATTTTGTTCCAAACAACTTATCTTTCTGTGTGTTATTTGTGTTTTCAAAAATTTCAGTGTAGCTATCTTTTCTATTTTTACCATGTATAATAATGGAGAATATCTACTTACTGATGTTTTTTATAAAGTTAGGAGTACTTGAGTATAAAATGCTGAGGAACACTTACAGTACAAACTATGTCTTCCAGAAACTTTATGAATCAGAATGTTAAGATTTATCCAAGTACTTTACTGTGATTTTTTTTGTTCATTCCAATGGCAATTTAGGTCTAAAGAATTATGCAATAAGAAGAAATTTTGAAGTCTCTCTTCTACTCAATATTAGTCCCTGGTAGAAATGCACAGTAAAGCTGGCTGGCTGGTAGAAGGGATATATAGATAGATTAATTTAAAAAAATAGTTACTTGATTATGTTTTGAATACGGTATTTTTAGACATGGTTTTATGACGAAATGAGGTAAATTATTTGTCTTGTTACTTTTTAGCGAAGAATGAAACCTTGGCATTACCTGCTGAATCTAAAACACCAGAGGCTGAAAAAGTCCCTGCACAGCCCATAACAGGTAATAAGATCTCTATGTTGACATTGAGAAAAGAAGTAAGGTATTTCTTCATACAGTAAATGATCTACAAGTCTACGTGTGTGTGTGTGTGTGTGTGTGTGTGTGTGTGTGTGTGTGAAGGGCCAGTAGGAAATTCATTTTGATCTTAAGCACAAAACAATAGTGAATTTTAGGTCTTGTTTGGGAAAAGAGCAGATAAAAATTAGCAATTGAATCACATAACTGATATGTAAGATGGAAGCTGTATTTCCCACTCTAAATGAAAGTTGATACATAAACACTGAAATAGTTTCACAGTAAAATGTCATAACATAGGTTTGGTGCTTTCCTTTTATATGAAGACCTGACACTACTTTTCATTCCTTTACCTTCATAACTGGCCAGTTTAGCAAAATGCCTTATATCCCTCACAAATCCATAACTTAATAGCTATGAAAATATACTAGAATATTTTAGAAACAAATGTCTCTAGGAGAATAATAACTTTAATGTACAGCATGTATACCAGCTCAGTAAAAAATCTTTTGAAGAATAAAAAGAGTAAGCATTGTCCCTATTGTTTATTGCAAGCACTCATTGTTTTTCTAGAATGAAACTACCCAATCTAGTCCACTGGGGACACATTAATCTCTGAAGTACAGAATTTTCACCAGAGTAATACCAGCTTATCTAGTACTTTATGAAACAAACATCTGGCAAGAATTCCCCATAATTCACATTTAGTATTTAACTCCCATCCAAAGCGAATTTTTTTAATCCATAAAATTGCTATAACTTTAGATATTGGTAATAGTTCCTCTGTACTAAATGTTTGGGTTTGTAACTTGTCAAGAAAAGATTGGTGGGATAATAAAGTAACTTCAAGAAACAAATTGACATCATATGTTTCTGACAGAGCAAGTGAGTTTGGTCCTGCCTCAAGAAGAGCAATGGACCTTCATTCTACCTTCATTGGGCAAAGGAAGGAACTTCTAGAATTGCTAGAATAATCCGTTTGGATGAAATTCTAGGTGATTTCTGATTTCAGTGTAATTGGTCAATATAAAGAAAAGCCTAAGCATGACCCAGTGAGTGACTCCAAGTCCTTTTCTGCCTCAAAGATTCTACCCATTTTTCCAAATTATGCTTTCTTTTCTTGGCACAGTGTGTGATGAGAGTCCACAGATTTCTTAATTTTTTTGCCAAACCCTCAGAATTTTTCACTTCAGAAATATTTAGGCAACCACTACAACTTATTGTTTAGTATTGTGCTTATTTCATGTCCTCACCCTGCAGAATTCTAGTATTTTCTAGCTCATGATTCATTCCAGATCTCAGTAACTATAGCTCATATTTTTCCAGCATTATTTACCTGAGGTCTTCATTGTCTTTGATCTTAGCAGCATTTATTTAATCCTAATCATATTTTCAACCCACTCCTAAGCTTTGTTGAAGTGGGTTGAAAGTGGTTTGAGAAAGAAACCTAGTAACGTAATAACTCTAAGTAAACCTTTTAACCTTGGGTCAGTCTTTTATTAGCCCATTTATTCATTTATTTAAAAAATTGTATCATGTGCTTGTGGATTCCAGGCACTGCACTAAGCCCTGGAGGTAAATAAAAAAATTAAAAATTATGGTAAGTGCTTTAATGGAGACCAGTTTGGTGTGCTTTTGTGGAGCACATAGAAAATCACCAAACCCAACAAGAAAGTCAGCCAGACACCTGTGGCAAGCCAGGGCATCTAACATTAGGAACTTGAAAAGAAATGGGCTATATGAGTATCACTTATTAATTCTAAAGCCAAAAAAAAAAAAAAAAGCTGTTTCATGGTCTTTGTTGTTTCATCATCCTAGCTTACAGTTTTTTTTTTTTTACCTTTCAGTGACTCCTGAAACAGTTCCAAGAAGCACTAAACCTACTGTGTCTAGTGCATTAGACATTTCAGAAACAACACTAGGTAATTCTAAGAAGTATTTTTTAAGAAGAAATAAAGTAATAACAACAGCAACAACAAAAAATCACCCAACATTCATAGCAAAGCAACTCAATTGCTTTAGCCTGCCTCTCCCTCCCTTCCATCTCCTTTCCCCGATTTCCCTGTCTTTTTTTCCCTCCCTCCAGGCAGTAACCTTTCTATTTCTTGGTACAATTCCATTGAAGAGTTAACAACATGGCAGATATGGATGCTAGATGCTAACTGCATGCTCATTTTGGGCTGGATAGACAGAATGCCAGCCTTTCAACCTCAGAGATGGAGGGTGGAGGGAACCTGGAAGTCTTAACTCTAGATTTTCTGTTCAGGCTGACTTTTGAAAATCTTGTGCATACTAAACATGGAGAGAATCCTCAGAGAATTATACTTTTTAATGAGAATTTCACAGCATTCATGTTAGCTGCTGTCCTACCCCAAAGAATCTAACTTGCTTTTGTGGTTTATTCTCTTTCCCTGAAGAAAAGGAGCAGCGTGTATTTTGTTCTGCACTTGTGATGTTGATTTTCTACAAGATTTTAACAGCTATGTAACTGTTTCAGGGAAAGTCAGTTCTTTCCATGAAAGGCATCAACTGCTTGTTGCACAAGTCTGTGTTATGAAGCATGAGTCTCTGTGCATGATCATGGTTGGTCAAACTCCAAGTTAAGGTGCTGCTAACCAAATTCTTCTTTATTGTAGTTCTCAGTGGAAGGACCCAGGAAACATCACAAACTATCCTAATACCTAAGTTCGAATTGCCACTGAGTACTCTAGGTAAAAATTATTAAACACTGTGGCTTCATTATGATCTTGAAATTTTATGCATACTTGTCCATTAGCTAATTCATTCAAATTCATCTCGTCACAAGAAAATAGGGACAAATGGTTTATAGAATGAGTTCCCCAACATTCAAGCTGTTAAATGTGGATTTAAAAGTCATGCTGGGCACCAGTGGCTCATGTCTATAATTCTAACTACTTTGGGAGGCTGAGATCAGGAGGATTGTGGTTCAAGGCCAGCCTGGACAAATAGTTCACAAGACTCCATCTCCAAAACAACCAGAGTAAAATGGACTGGAGGAGTGACTCAAGTGGTAGAGTGCTTGCTTTGGAAGTGCAAAGTCCTAAATTCAAACTCCAGTCCCACAAAAAAAGAAACAAAATAAACAAACAAAAAAACTGTATAATTTAGAATATTAAAGAGGCCTTCCCTATGACAAATCCACTGGTAGTTTTTCTTTTTGGCGGCCATATTTCATAATATATTTGATTCTTTTCATTCAGAATCATGATGTCACTAAACAAGTTGATATGTTCTGTATTTTTTCTAAATGTTTATACTCAATTGTCTATCTTGACAGAGAAGGTATATTTATGATATTTCTGCAAACCCCTTAGAATTTTTAGGATTTCCTTGAAGGTAATATCAAAACATGGAGGAGCTTGTATATAAAGCTATGTGGTTACCAAACTTCTACTTTTAAAAGCTATTAGATGGATATTTTCTAGATCAAACGTGTTTAGTGCTTGGATTGAATTTAAATGAAAGTACACATTAATATAGCTGAAGAAAACAAGAAACTAGCTTAATAAGGGTAGAAATAACAGCCCAAATACCTCAAATTTAGTTATTATGAAAATTTGAAAAGATATTTTATGCCTGGTGTGGAGGCATACATCTATAATACGAGCACTTGGGAGGTTGGAGGAAGGACTGCATTTTAAAGGCCAGCCTGGGTTATATAGTGAGACCCTGCCTATAAGTAAACAGATATTTTATTATCCTACATTGAAACATGGAAGTAGCAAATACCACTAAAGATTCCTTACTTGATGTGAAATAGTTGCCCTCTCGTGTTTGTTGTTTTTGCAACCTTGAGATTTAAAAAAATCTCTCTCTGTTAATTTTAATAGGTCATAACTATCCTTGTGTGTTTCATTACAGCTCCAAAAAGGCTTCCAGAGTTTCCTGAGGCAAAAACAACCTTCCCTGTTGAGAAACCTGGGGGTACCTTGGGTAATAAAAAATGCCTTGTATTTGATATTGAGAATGGGGTTGGTGGGTTGGGTGGAACTCAGTAATAGAATGTTTGCCTGATAGGTGTGAAGTCCTGGATTTGAAAAAAAAAACATAGTGGTGATCGCTTAATTCTGTAGGACACATTTTCTGGGTCCTATCTCTGCAAACCTCAATGAACTTAAGAGTTCAGTTCACTAGAGAAAATAACGGTTGATTTGATTAAGAGATGAAGAAGAAAAATCTTATCTGGTTCGATTTTCTATAAATTCAGCAAAAATCATCAGTTTAATTCCACATAACCATGTTGATTAGTTTTCTGTTTTTAAAAATGTGGACAGTGTGACACCAAACCGTAGTATCTCCTTAGCCACTAATCAAATGCTCTCTGGATTGGTGCACATTTATTTCTTCTTAATACAATGATTTTAGTATGAGCCTTTTATTGTACTCTTCTGGTAGCCACTTAACCATACTGGCACCCTATTTCAGTCCTTTTCTCCCCTAAAACAAATATCCAGCAAATATTCCATTTCTTTCCAATATAGCTTCAAGTGGAAAGCCAAAGATGGTACCTACAGCTAAAGCATCTGAAGATTCCAGGATTGTGCAGCCTCAAACTGGTAATTGTATTCTACTAAAAAAACAGATTAGATTCTAAAATCTGCAAGGATGTCATGATATAGAGGAAATATTCCAAGTTTTTAGAGTTAATAACAGAGCTTGGGTCCAGTCCTGGCTCACCAACTAACAATGTAACATAGCATTTTTTTCTTCTACTTTTCTGAGCCTTGGTTTCTTCTTTTGTAAACAATGGCTTCTTTTCTTTTGAGAATCCTTATGTTCTACCACTAAAATTAATTGAGATAGGGTTTTTTAAATTTTATATTTTCCTATATGTTCTTTCTTTGATGTCTAGCAGTCAACTAAAGAAGAGAGTATTTTGCATATAAGAACCAGGCATGGTAGGTAGTTTATGCCTGAAGTTCTAGCATTTGGGAGGTGGAAGCAGGATGGAGAGTTTGAGGCCATTTTGAACCTGGGCTACACAGTGAGTTCCAGGACAACCTTAGCTGGCTACATAGCAAGTCCCTGTGTCAAAAAAATGGTTTTTTTTTCCTCCATGATTGTTTTTTTGTTTTTCATGAGCTTTCTAGTTGTGACTTTATTTTGAGTACATATGTATTTTGTTCATGTAATGAAGTTAGATCCACCAACATTTTGTGGTATTCCCCAGACAGAGCACAGGACAGGGTTTAGGAAGGGGTGGAGAATGAACCCCAGACACACAGATGTTAAATTATCTTTCTTCAGAAAGTGTCCCCTATGTTATAACCCCAAAGCTGAAGATGAAAGGGACCTAAGAGAGAATCAGATCTAAGCAAAAGATACCAGATGACACCAAATTCCGTGCTCATGTCGAGGCCTTTCCTAGTTTCCTTACTTGAAAGATGGCACCACAGCTGTCAGCCAGTCCACAGAACCCTCAGATTTGATCTTTCTAAGCCTTCTTTCCTTAACCTTACTTTGACTGCAAAACTCTAATGCAATTAAAGTGGGTGGTAAAGTGAGAGCAAACGCACCATCAGCAGTCCAGCTTGCCTGAGAGTGAAACCTGAGTTCTGGTTGGAGATTCATTCTGACCCTCTGATTCCATCATTGATCATGCAGTGCAACTCCACTGAACTAATGGGACAGCATCCAGACAGGGGTACATGTGATGGCCTGTGAGTGCACCATAGCCCTCCACATCCCATCAGATTGCCACATCTTCCAACAAATCATTTTTTGGGTCCCTGGACTAAATAAGCTTGTAGTTTCCTTTTATTATTAAAGAACAAATCACTAACACCTCAAGGAAGCCATTTATGTAATCCCTAGATTTGTTTGTTTGCTTGTTTTAGCAGTGCTATTGGATTTTGAGCTGAGGGACTTACATTTGCTAAGTATGCACTCCACTACTTAAGCCACATGGCCAGCCCTCATTTGCTTCATTTTGGGATAGGGTTTCACATTTTTGCCCAGGGCTGACCTTAGACCAAGGTCCTCCTCCCAGTGCCTCCTGTATAGCTAGGATTACAGAGATATACTCCTACATCTGGCTTGTTTGTTGAGATAGGGTCTCACTAACTTTTCCATGGTCTGGTTTGGAACTGTTATCCTCTCAATCTCTGCCTCCCAGGTAGCTGGAATTACAGATGTGATCAACAGTACCTGACCCCTAGGTCGTGAGTTACAAATAAAGCCTGAGTTGAACCAAGCACTGGGGGAGCTGGAGAGACTGTTAAGTAGTGAAGATTGCAGAACCAAACAGTGACAAAAATAGAAGATATGGAAAAAACCTAATAAGGGAAAGATTTGTTTTGCTTTTAATCCTAGAAAAGGAATATTCTGGTTATGCCCTAATAGATTGTGGATAATGGCTAATAGAACAGGAACATTATTCATCTGCCTCATGATAGGTTGCCAGGGAACTTAGAATTTTTGACTTTCAACTCTTTGAGTTGGGACTTGTCACAGGCTGCAACAGCAGTTTAGTGAGTGATGCTTGCAGCATGAGTTGCCCCAGAAATTTACTAGCCTGCCCTTATGATATTTAATTTGTGTATCTCTGCTACTAAATATGATCCTTGGAGCAACAGGAGTGTCATTGCCTGGAAGTCTGTTAAGAAGAAAGTAGTCTCCTCTCTAGGGCTGTTCAATCAGGATCTGCTATCTAACAACAACCCCACGTGATTTGTATGGGCTGTGAAGGTTGAGAAGCACCACTTATCATTGTATTCTGTAATATTTCACATGGTGCAGCTAAGAATCATTAGGAGAGTCATTAATAGAGCAGTAGGTGAATCAATAGAAATTGATTCTTTCATAAAGAAAGCAAAAAATAGCATATCTCTTGTTTCTAGTAGTGTACATTGCATCTATCTACACTATAAATATTCTGTAACATCTTTCTTATTTGTGTTACGTTTATATTTTATTTCCTCATTTCAACATATATGATTATTTGTTTTATTTTCTAGTTACTCAGGTAGCTTCCTATTGCAGGTACTTTCAGAATTAAGAGATGGAGATAGTGCTTCAGTGGTGGCTCACAAAACCATTAGGCCCCATTTTAGCTGTTCTGTCCATTAAAGAAAAAATATTCTTGCTGATACTAATGCATTATTATAGCAAACTCAGCACATTTTGTTTTCTTAGTCACCATGTGATACAACTATACTTACTATATCAATTTCCCATCCAAACACCAGAACACCTGTGGTTGCATATAATTAGGTTTGTTTAATTATTACAACAACACAGACTCTGAAGAACAGGAGGATCCCTTATAGGATATTAGAAAAGACTTACTGCAGGACTTTTGTCTTGTGTTAAGTGATTGGCTGAAGGGTCTAAGAAAATGTAGCTTTGCTCTGGACTAGGTATAGTCAGAAAGTAAGAGTAAGTGTGAACAAATAGCTTCCTAATTCTTAACTAGAAGGCAAGATGAGCAGAATTCAAGCTAAGGCTGTGATTGGTAAAGAAGCGCAAATTACCTATGTTAGTAAGAATATGGAGAAGTTTGAGGTTTAGATCTGTATTCTACATGATCCCAGACTAGTCTTGATTTTGTCTCGATCCATTGGCATCTTGTCTACTATTCCTGTTCTTTGAAATTGTTGACACTCAACAGAGGAACACCACAGCCTATCTGTGGGTTCCAGTCCAACTCCTGGCTGCTCTTCTCTTGAGCAATTATTAAATATGATTTATCATTTCCATTAACAAAATTTATTCTGCTTTGGCATTTGGTGGATTTTTTGCCACATTTATATTCTGTATAAAAAATTTAGAATGAGTGCTCTCAAAAAGATTTGCATTTCACTTTTGAATATAAAGGACTATTTGAAAATTCTAACTTGCAATCTGGTTGTTGAAATCTCTGGGTCATTTCAATAGTTTTTGGCAATGGTTGAAAAGGATATTTAAAGTTTGGAGTGTTCCAGGAAATCTGAGATGTGTAATCACCAAATATTACTCTTCCCCACTTTCAGTCAGTTTGCCCTTAATCTTTCATTAGTGATGCATTTTGCAATTTCACTATTTGGAATTGCATTTTTTATAAACTTACTATAAAGTATTTTTAAGTGAGGTTGATTTCTTTGGCAAGTCTAATTTTCCATAAAGTGTATAAAGGAAATCATAAAAATGTGCTCTATAGTTAACATACCAGAATGTAAAGGTATTCATAAATTTTAAAAAGAATATTAAAAGGAAGTTAGCCAGAATTTTAGAAACGTTTGAGTGCTTGTGACAGTTATACAGGAAAGCATTCATATTTCTGATGATGCAATAGCATTGGTCCTATGTTTTGTTGGAAGGTGGCCAGTTAACTTCAATCTCAGTGTTTTTCTAGGAGTTCTCAAAAAACTCTCAATACTTTCCACTTCAGATGAATTGTGCATTTGCATGCATGTGATCCACATGCTGTGGGAAAATTTCTCACTGGAATAATGTAATTTCTATTTGTATAGAAGTATTCTTCTAAGAGACTAGGGCTATGACAGCATCATATTGATCCTTCCCAAGCCCCTGGAAGCTGACAGAGTTATTTTTCTTTTATATTACAGAGATGCATGAGGGACTTACCTTTGAATGGGCAGAGGAACAATAGTTAGACACATTCATTTCTTTCCTAGTGTTCTTTTCCAATAAACCACTCCAAGTTAAAAGTGAAACAATGACATATAGATTGCTTTGGAGTTTTGAGACAAGCTCTCACAACAGACAGACTTGAACCTTCTCATTGGGGCTACATGCCTTCCAGAAAGATAAGAAATATCAAGTGATATGTAAGAAGCTGGCCAGTCCTTGACGTTTATCCTTACTGTGATCGTGATTGCTAATCCATGAGCTGTGGACTGAGACAGAGCTGTGCTAATGACCAGCTCTCAGAACTTCAGTTTCTCCATCTATAGAAGGAAATCATATGCAAAATTTCCACTGGGTGGTTATAGCTTAAAAACAACATGTATCCATTAATATAATACACAAGGAGGACCCAGTATCACTTCCTTAATACAATGGACCTTACATTGACTGAATTCCCTTTCCTCCATACTTCCCATCCCAAAGTTGCTGAATTGCTGCATACAATAATAGAAAAATAAAATATTAATTGCTTGTTTTATTAAACTACTTAATAAAAGAAAAGCAGGAAGAGAGAAGAAAAAAGACTAGGCTCAAATATATGCAAGCATTCCAAATGATCTTTGGATCATTATTTCACTTGTATAAAAAATTTTAAGAATGGAAAGGATATATGCAGTGTTTCAGAGGTCCTGCAGTCCATTGGGAATAACCTGATGTCCTATGAAGTCCATGACAAGAATGGCAAATTATATCACAGAGCATTTCTGTTCACTTAGGGTGGCAACCTGAATCACTCTGTAAACTGCACTCTGAGGACCTACGTAGACTGTGCAAGTAAAATGATGCTAAGGTCAAATTGCTGTGTTTTCTGTGGGTGTCAAAGGAGAGAGAAGCAGCATAAACGCCGTGCATTTGTCATCCCACAGATGAGGAATGCACATGATTTCTAATGCCCTATGATAAAGCAGGATGTGTGAGATGAAAATGAATTTTTTGTTTCTGGCTTGATAATGCCATCAGTGTTAAGCCTCCTTAGTTTACTCGATTATCCCCTTAAAATGACCAGGAGTTTAGTACTAGGTGGATTTCAAAATCAAATGAAGAAAGTGGTCACAAACCCATGATTCAGTGTGTTTGTTTTTATTCTTGGAAAATCCTTCTGCCTGTTTTCCCCTAAAGTTCCAGACAAACTGAATTCCTCAAATTTCCTGAGACTTATTACTAAAACTTCTTCATCAAATTATTTCCCCTTGAACCATAAACAGTTATCTTTTAGAGACTTCCCTTGACCCTTAACAGAGAATCAAAATGGAGGATGGTCAGCCCCAGTCTTCTCATTACAGTCCACTTTGGGAGCTTCCTGTCAGGTGTCATCCCTAATTGTTCTCAGTGTTAACTTCTTTCTGTACTTTATAGAACTCTAGTAACTTGCAGTATGTACTTAAGCTCTATAATTTAAAGACTCAAAGCTGAACTGGTAACATGCACAAGGAGTGGTATGTTGGTTGGAATGTTTTGGTCACAGGTGTTTTGCTCAGAGCTGTTGAAAAGAAGTAAACTCTGTATTTGGACCTCACTGCCTGCCCTGTGAAGTGTTGATTAGCACAGATCTGGCCCATCCAACTGAATTAAGCCCCAGGGAGGAGAAAAAATAGGAATGAGTAGTGGCGTTAACACTTCAACAGCAGGAAAATAGAATTCTAATGTAGCAGATGGTTTACAGATTCACTGTGGCCTCAGAGATTCATGGCCTCAGGCTTTGATTTTATTTCACAAACATTTTATTGCAGACAGTGTTTTCACAAATTTCAAAACCAAGCATAAAGGTATTTTGTTTTTCCATTTACTGAAGAAAGCATTTGTGTATTTAAATAGTACTGAGAATTCTGTGTGTAATGTGGTGCTTTTCTCTTCTAGCTCCTTACTGTGTTTTTTTATTGCTTCTTCATACATGTCTGTAGAATCATATTTCCATGTTAGAGTTTTATGTGCACACATTTGTATATTATAAAATAATTGAAGGACGTGTTCATTTATTTCCCAAACTAACCCAGAAAGTCATTTATCCTTTCAAAGGGCTGAAACTGCCAATCTGCCAAACTCGTTAATTTGTTTATTGTAATGGATGTCTTGCAGATTAATTTTTTTTTCATTTTTCTTTTATTATTCATATGTGCATACAAGGCTTGGTTCATTTCTCCCCCCTGCCCCCACCCCCTCCCTTACCACCCACTCCACCCCCTCCCGCTCCCCCCCCTCAATACCCAGCAGAAACTAGTTTGCCCTTATCTCTAATTTTTTGTAGAGAGAGTATAAGCAATAATAGGAAAGAACAAGGGGTTTTGCTGGTTGAGATAAGGATAGCTATACAGGGCATTGACTCACATTGATTTGCTGTGCGTGTGTGTTACCTTCTAGGTTAATTCTTTTTGATCTAACCTTTTCTCTAGTACCTGTTCCCCTTTTCCTATTGGCCTCAGTTGCTTTAAGGTATCTGCTTTAGTTTCTCTGCATTAAGGGCAACAAATGCTAGCTAGTTTTTTAGGTGTCTTACCTATCCTCACCCCTCCCTTGTGTGCTCTCGCTTTTATCATGTGCTCATAGTCCAATCCCCTTGTTGTGTTTGCCCTTGATCTAATGTCCACATATGAGGGAGAACATACGATTTTTGGTCTTTTGGGCCAGGCTAACCTCACTCAGAATGATGTTCTCCAGTTCCATCCATTTACCAGCGAATGATAACATTTCGTTCTTCTTCATGGCTGCATAGAATTCCATTGTGTATAGATACCACATTTTCTTAATCCATTCGTCTGTGCTGGGGCATCTTGGCTGTTTCCATAACTTGGCTATTGTGAATAGTTGCAGATTAATTTCATTGAGGATCTACCATGTGTCAGGCTCTAGAATGATAATAAATAATTATATAAGTAATTGGAATACATAATGAACATGATAGAATTTCTGACTCAATGAGGTCTTTTACCTAAGAGTTTATGCCTGTAAAAGAAAATCTTTCCCATAGTAATTGATATTTAGGGAATTTGAATAAAATAAAATAAATTCTTAATTATTTGAAATGCTGTGTGCAATCACATAGGTCTACCAGAGCATTTTCATTGTGTTATTTGCATCTAATTGGTTTTTCAAAGTAAAAATGGACAACTAACAAAACAGAACAAATATGATTTTAAGAAGTTTTAGAGTAAATGGTAGTACAAGTTCTCTCATATCTATTTCCTGAAAAATCTGGGAGTAGAATTTAATTATGATTCCAAGTCATTTTTTTAGAGAAATTAATATTGCTTTTCATAGCGTTTGAATTACCCATTTTACTTATTGCATAGATTTTTTTCCTATGACTTTTGGTCCCATGCACGATCTGTGAATTCAGTATCTGCGATGCTATTTAGTTTCAAATAGCTGTAACATCTTATCCACTAAAGAAAGGGATAGAGGATGTCTGCCTATAAACAAGATATGGTAGCAGGTGGACTACTTAAAATACAGCAGCATTCACCCCTAACTTTTGGGGTTATTTATCAATTTTATACTTGTAATAGTCTTTTAGAAACCAGGCATAACAATATTATGAATTTTACTCTGGCATAGATACATACAAGAATTTTGTAGAGAAATCAAGCACTATGCTTCTTCAAGAACCCAGAGAATTCCATTTCAACACTGTCCTCTCCTCTGACATCTGTAACTTCAGAGTTAAAAGATTTTGCTTAACTCAGGAGTAAAATGAGTTGGTATGCTTCTCAAAGCTGTCCAAGCAACATAAAACTTTGAGTGAGTGGTATTTGTGTGCTTTCAGCATTCTTTTTCTTTACTATCAAGCACTCAAAAATTACAGAAATAGAACTATCAAGGATAGCTATGTTATTTAAATTTTAAGTATGTTTAAGAAAATGCTTGGAAGAGATTTCTGACAATTGGGAACTTCCATGCACAAACCATAATTGCTAAAAGGTGGTAGAAAGAGCTCCCATCCCTAGAAAAATGCCTTGTGGTAACAACTCAAGAGAAGTTGTCAATCTGGTTTGGAACCTCCAGACTGGAAGGGTATTATAAATATGGAAAATAAGTAAAAAGGTGATTAAATATCATCTCTTAGAACAAAAATGCAAACTATGGGAAAACTGATCTGACATCACTAGATGAAAGATTAGGAGTGAGGATAACATAAAGACAATCATGGTGTTTTTCAAAAGCAATAACATAAATTTAAAAAGTGAAGCTATTAATTCATAATTTCTTGCCAGGATGAGAGGGCTAAATACAAATTGATAAACTTTTCCTAACTCAGTTAGATAGAGCACTTAGATAGTTGCTGGGTCCGTAATCTAAACCTGGATTAAAGCAAACCAAAAGGGGGTGGGGGAAGGGGGGAGAAATGACCCAAACATTGTATGCACATATGAATAAAAAAAAATGTAGGTTCCAGAGTTTAAAAAAAAAAAAAGCAAACCAAAGACCAGAAACTGACAGCAATTTTATCCTTCAAAAGATTAATCATTCTTATTCAACCTTCTAAAATTGCAGTTAGGAAAACTTTATATTACCTTAAAACTTTACAATATAATAGATGTATTCTCAGGATATATGCATATTTTAACTCAAGATACTCTATTTTTGAAGCATTGGTAAAGGGATTCGCCTTTCAAAATTGAAATGTGTTTCCTGCCTCATTATATGGGGTACAACATAAGCTGTTCTCTACTTTCAGACTAGGTCATACAACCTAATACCTTTCTTACAGCTTCAACCAGAAAATCTTAAATTGTACTGAATTATAAGTATCTCCAATGAATAAAACTTCCTGTGAGCTCCCTCTTTTTTAGTTTATTTCTGTACACCAATTTGAATGAGCAAGGAAACAATGTCTACCTCCAAATAATTCCTACTTTCTCTACTTCTTTCCACAGTGACAATTTTTTGTGCACAAAAGTATTTTTAATGCTGTTTTTACTAATAGGTTCAACTCTTAAGTGAACATGAAAATCATCCCTACATTGAAATCATTCAATCTTTATGTTTGAATTCATCACACTTTCTTCATCTTATTTAGAATATAAAATTGTTCTTTAAATTCACTGAGATGGTAGAGGGCTCATGGCTCCATGGAGGAACACAGAAAGTAAGCTGTCTCTTAGTAAAATGGTAGGAGAGAAGGTGCCAAAAAGAGTCTGGGTCTTGGTCCTGCTGTTCCTGGTCTTGCCAATGGAGTAGCAAACGCAGTGAACTCGACAATTCTGGCATGTGACCACTGGCAATTGTCTTCACTGCTATAAACCTCAACTTCATTATCTAGAAAGTCTTTAAAGTGAGGATAATGTCTCAGGAATGTTACGTAAGCTGATTTATGAGAAGATACTGTGTGAACTATCAAGTGCTGTGCACATGTAAGGTATCATCATGGTAACTTTTACTAAGCAGAAACACTAAGCGGTAGACTTTGTGCAAATAGCCTCAATGTGGCTGCTGTTTCCTTCTTTAGAAATCTCTCTCCAAGCTGCCATTTGACTGTGTATGTTTATGCTCATTGAAACTCTTTGATTTAGAGCTGGCTTCACTCCATTATAAATATAAAGCACTATGTTCACATTACCCAGAGGCCAGTGCCAGGGCTTGCTGTACAAAATCCTACAGCTCAGAGCAAGAAAGCCCAAAGCTAACACAGTGGTGTAATTGCTAACACTGCAGTGACAAGACCAGCAACAGAATGCCAAACCCACCAGAAGCTACATAAAACTGTCCTTCATCCAGCTCTATCATAGCTCATGAAATCTTTCAAAATCAATCAAATTAACATCTCTTTTGTTTTATCTTTTTTTTAAAGCAATTTATGATGTTTTCTCAAGCTCTACAACTTCAGATGAGCCTGAAATAGAGTCCCACACAGGTATACCTAACCTTTCAATTATGTCTTTGGATTCCAGGTGTTCACACAACATCTGGTGGTTGTCCATGCGGTTTTTGCAGAATGAAGACGTGTGCTCTCTAGAGCTCAGCAAGGGGCCTTTCTACTGAGGGATGGCTTCTTTATTTTCATCAGTGAATGAGCTCTGACCCATAAGACAGATATAGATGATGGAGTTGCTGCTAAGGGGAAGTAATATAATGGTTTGTCATTCTATTGTTCAGAATCATTCTAAGAAGCTTTAGATTCTTAAAGGTTTTCTATAGAGCAGTGGTTCTCAAATGAGGGTGATTTTGGATCCCCAAATCACCTCCCCACTGGGGACATTTAGCAATGTCTGGAAAACATAGGGTTGTCACGGCTGAGGGAAATGCCATTGGCATCTGGTGCACAGAGATCAGGTATGCTACGAAATCCCTGTACTGTACAGGACAGTTTCCCATCACAAAGAATTACTGGGCTTAATTGCCAATAGTGTGAAGGTGGAAAATGCTCTCCTGGGACAGCCACATCATTTATTTGTCTACAGAAGTTCAGGTGAGTCTGATCTTTGGCATTCACTTACCAATGCATGTCTCACTCACTCTGCCATTTCCTTGTTAGCAAGGCTTTATTAAGCACCTACTAAATTAGGTACCATAGAAGATACAAAGTAAGACTGGTGTCTTCCAAATATAAACATGTGTCTAATATTTTTCATGTGTAGACTCCTCTCAGCATTATTTGTATCACAATAAGTAAAGGGGAAACATTTTAAACAACAGAAATTAAAAAAAAACAAAATAGAATGCTCATAGAGGGTTCAGTTAGTAGTTATGAAACAGAAGAGAAGAAACCAAAATAAAACAGGTGAAAACCAGCTGAATGTGAGAAGCACTGCTTTATCACAGCTTCTGATACTTAGAGTACCTATGTTTTTGAAAATGAGCTCATCTTCAAACCCTAATGAATCACTGGTTTAAAAGTGTTGGTCAGCAATCACTCACTCAAATGTTCTTGATATTTTCCCTCATATGAGACATAATTTATTACTCATAAATTTGTATTTTATTCCTGGGGCTTTCTACTGATTTTGTAAATGTTGACATTTATTCCAACAGCAACAAGTGATCCTATTCTGGAATCTGTCCCACCTAAAACTTCTAGAACTCTTGAACAGCCAAGGGAAACACTGGGTAATGTTTTTAACAGAAAAATTGTACTTTGTTTCCATTAAAAAAGTCATGTGAATGCCTTTCTTCAAAATGACCATTTCATTCCATCCCATTTAATCATTGCTCTCTTTCCTATTCCTGAATATACAAGTATAATATATTTGTAATACAAGCTTCTTTTATATTCCATTTTGGTGTATCTATCTGTCTCTCATATACTGAACTATAATAGATAATATTTTCCTCATCTTAAAGTTGTAAAAGGCTTTGAAACTGCATGGACATTTTCATTTTCTCCACTTTCTCATCTCATGTGTTTGTGGCCTATGTCACCTCACTTCCCATGCATTGAATCTGCCTGGAGTCAGCTACTGAAAAACTATCAATCTAGCTTTTTCCCCCAATTTAATTTATGATTTCTACCACCAGCTTCCAAGACAACATGCATTTTTTTATCCTTAACCATGTAGTTGTAGCATGTGCTATACACCATCTAAAAGCATGTTAAAATTCTTAAAATATCTCATTTTAACTGGGATTATTTGACAAGATGGGGTGTTTCTGCTTTCAGCTCCAAGTGAAATACCATTTTCTCCTCTAAAAGTGGAAACCTTTACCAGTCCTGAAATGCAACCTACAACATCTGGTAACTAATGAAATTTGTGTATCTGTATGCATTGAAAGAACAGGTAAAATGACAAAAAGGACTCAGTCATATTGGTCTTTTCAGAATATTTTCAATACTAAACATTTTTCTTTATTCTCTACCTTGAAATTCCTCAGAGAATTGAGTCATCTCATATGCTTAGCCTTATGATAAACCTCAGTCAGTTTCCATAATCTTGAAGCCTATATATTTTGAAGAACATTTCTTTATTTCCCTCAACTTTGTCAATCAGAAAATGGCATCAGAAGTATAGATGATAAATTGCTTTAAAATACATTCTCTTCTATTAAACACATTTAGATATAACTTGGTCAAAGTATTTCATCCAGAGTAGTCTCAGTGTAAAGAGCACCAAGTAGTCTTTGCAGACTTGGAAATGATGAAGAAAGATGTGTAAAAGAGGGGTAACAATCTACATTCATAATATGAAATTATTTCAATAACAGAGTGTGTTAATGTCTAGTGAGAATAGTAATAAACTACAAATAAAAGAAGTTCTGAACATTCCATTCTCTAAATCCAAAATGTTTTATTTGTGCATCTACCCTGCTAGTTAATGTTATCCTTTTGAGGTGTGTGTGTGTGTGTTGGTACTGGAGTTTGAACTCAGGTCTTCATACTTGCTGGGCAGGTAGACAACTATTTGAGCCTTGTCTCCAGCCCTTCTTTTGAGTTCTTCATTGTTCTTAATGATTATTTAATTGCACAGTGTATTCTTCAGTTCTTGTATAGAAATTGAAGTTCTCATATAGAATTTTAAGTTCTCATGTAGAAATTTAACTCATTTCGGACCAGTCAACACTTATTTATTGAATAAATACTGTGTATAAAGCACAGTGTTGGGCATTCTAGGAATATAAAGACACAAAAGTAGTTCTTGCACTTGAGAAGATTACACATTTACAGGCACAGTCTGATTGACACTGAGGAATATCATTTATCAAAACTATATTAAATCTTCTTCTTTCAGCTCCCCAGCAAACTACATCTGTCCTTTCTACACCTAAACGACGTCCCAGACCCAAGCCATCAAGAACTAAACCTGGTAAATAAATGGCTCCTTAACTTTTCAGGATATTTAATTCCAAATAGATCGTGTTCATCTCCTTATTGTAAAATAGAAGCTATGTGAGTCTATAGATAGTTTCTTAATAAAATTAGAAATTAATTAATGATTAATAATACAAGATAGAAACAAAATATCTCTAATAAGATTTTCCTGACATTTTTAATGTAATTTTGGGATAAACCTAGAAACAATTCTTGTTGTCACATCACTATGATCAAGATATGTGCTATCACTCAATTTTTAATGTGCATCTGCATTTAAGTGACTGATGGACTGATGGTTTCTCTTTTGGTGCCTATAATGCTTTCAGTCTTGCACAGGGCAATAGCTGAGATAGGGAGGATACAATTCCCATTTTCAAGTTGCCTATAATTATGAGAGGATGAGACATAATAATGAGAACACAACATAAGGTTATAAAACTTCAGAGTTCATAATATTTGTATAGAAGCTTCAAGAAATAAAGAGTTGAAGATACAGGCCTCAAAATGTGTATAGGATTTGGATGGAAGAAAAGGAGAGAGAAAACATGTTTTACAGTACAGAGTCTGGATGGGTTGGGTAGCTTATCAACCAGGAAGTGATTGTTTCATTGTCAAATAATATAATAACATTTTGTTGGAATCATGCCCAACAAACTGTGTTTGGTTTACTCTAATTGATGGGTTGGGTAGCTTATCAACCAGGAAGTGATTGTTTCATTGTCAAATAATATAATAACATTTTGTTGGAATCATGCCCAACAAACTGTGTTTGGTTTACTCTAATTACATTTGTAATACAAATACAGTTTTATACGATGTATAGTTATAATTTTAAAATATTTTCCCCAAATTTTATTCACTGTGTACTCCAGAACTGACTACCAAGTATGGCAGGATTTTGGAAGGGTCATTCTGTTCCTTCTTGGAGGATACTTTATTATCTCTAGAGTAACTTATTTTTTTCCCTTCCCTCCATCACCACAAAGAACTACATGTTCTGGAACAATTACATCTAAAATTTCTAGAAGTCCTGAACCTACACAGAGGAAGTTGGGTAATAATGATATGTTCTTAGTGGATGTGTTATTTCATCTCACAAGGGAAAATCCAGTACTACAGCTTTTATGTAAAGTCAGTAACTATTCTGAATTGCTCCTATGGACTATACTGAATCTCAAAGACATCAATGTTTGTGAGTGTCTGGCCAATCTTTGTATTTGAGACTGGGTCATATACGTAGGTCTCAATTTTTTTTTTTTTTTTTTGAGTAAGAACTTCAAGTTCAACTTTGGACTTCATTTGAAGAACTGACCTTTTATTTTGATGTTAGTTAAGTTTCTTTGTGCTTCTGATCATGAAATTATACCTATCAGCAAATATTAATTTTTAAAACAGGTCATCCTACACACACCATGTTTAAAGACTTAGATGTAGCTAACAAATATGAAGAGTGAAAAATAATTAGGCTTATTTTTTAAATCAATCTTTGAGTAATTACTGTGACTATTCCATGGCGATGCTTAGGTTAAGTGTATTCTTGAAATGTTTTTCCAAACCAGATGAAAACTCATCAGCTTATTTCCATTAATTGCCTCTCTGTGAATGAATCATGAAATATTGTCTCATGATTTCCACAACTTAACATATATAAATCTAATTTTATGTTTTTCTTTTGGGGTTTTAGACCCTTGAAATATCTACATACTGATTTTCTGATTGTGTGTGTTTTTTTTTAACATAGTTTCTTTGAATTTTAAAGTCCCTCACATCCCAGAAGTGACACATACCAAACCTGGTAATTACCCTGGACTTGTTTTTAATATTTCAAAAGGAGAAGCTAAAAAATTGTCTCATGCAACTGTTTGGTGCAAGAACCTCTGATTTGTATGTTAGTATTTGATACATTTTTCCATGGAAAGTGCAAAATTCAGTGAGATGATCTCATCACAACCAGTCTCTTTGATAGTATCACAGTGTTGCTCTCATCTGTGTGGTGGATAATTATGTTTGTGGCCATCACAGAGAAAACAGAAATACAGTGCTGTGAGTGATTGAGGACCCTCTTGTCTAGGACTACAAAATAGTTTCCAGTACCAAAGTTGAGTGGAATTCTGATTATACTGAGTAACAGCTTTCAGCTAGAAAGAGGAGCAGTGTTTCCACCCTCTAACATTTGGGGCTTCTCAGTTCTCAGGCTGCAAGACTAGAAAGGGCTATATTTTTCTAATGCTCAAGAATTCTTAATTGGGGATGATTTCTGAATACTGGCTTCTGTTTCCCACTTTGGAGATTTTGATGGTGTTTTGCTAAAGAAAAGAAGACTCTTGCAGGAAGGGATTCTTGTCTATTTAACTAAAACAGAGACCATTTCCTGAATAAGGATTGAGAAATGTATTGACTAGACAAATCTTCATATTTTCTATCTATCCAGCATTTACACAATTAGATGTTGATTTATAAGACTAGCTATGGGAAACTTTGTCACTACTTATTGTTATTATTAACTAAGATTTAAACCCTTAGCTCTGGGAAAAATATGTTTCTCACTCTCAGGATTCTGAACGTGCATTTCCATTAATGGCATGTTTACAAAGCAGGTTATTAAAGCAAGAGATTTTCTCTTAAGTGGGAATGATTTATTTTTGCAATCAAGTGAGTAAGAAGAAAAATGTAACTGCTTAGAAAAATAATTCCCATAGATCCCTCTGAAGAGGCAGTTAGATTTCCAGGTGCAGATGTCAGACTGAACAAAGAAACATAAACCCAAATGTCTTAGCAGTTTAAGTCAAACAGTGCTGATGAGTGTGTAAGAAAGATTTAACATACATTTATTTAAAATATCATTCTTAAAGGGCTTTAAGGTAGTTACTATAATATTTATGTTGTTTTTTGGATAGAAGGCTATTACCAAGTAGGTCAAGAAATATGATTACATATTTGGTCACCAAACTTAAATAAATGTTTCTCCAATATAATCATTTATTACAAGATAAAAGTTGAAACATCAAAAATTTCTTTTAATGTTGATTACAGTTTACAAATAATAAAGTAATTATTAATTTCAGTGGTGTCTATGAAAAGGTTTGTGAGAGGAAATTCATGTACTAATATGAATAAGGATGGAAGGATGTGTTCTTGCTTGTTTCCTTTTAAAATAGAAAAGGTTTTGGGACTTAATGTGTTTTTGTTCCTTTGATTTCTAAACTTTCTAATTACCCAAGAGTATTCACCCTTTTCCTCTAACGGTAAGCATAACAACTTCAGGATCTGCCCTAAACCCCCAATTCAAGGTGACTTTGAGTGCTCCAGGGCAATTTAGAGTACTGACTAGATCTCTGCAAAGCATTATTTCTTAAATTTTACTTATTTTTATTTTAGGGAAGGCCACATTTATAGCTCTCAGAATATTTCTGTTTCTAGCCAAGATTCACAAGAGTACATAAACCACTGAAAGTCTTTTAATTAAAGTTCACTGCCTTTTCCACCTTCTCACACGTCTATTTTTCCATTTCACCTTCCATATAGCCTTCACTGTTTACTTCCACTGTCACTACTGCTGCTGATAGATCACTTTTGCTTATGGGTGTGTCACTACTATTTTGCTATTTATCTGTTATAATCTATTTTCAGACATATTCTTAAGAAACCAGAATTCTATTGTGGGTATTTAAATCACTGCCTTTTAGCTTTGTTCTTTTTTTTTTTTCTTGGTTGTACTAAGGTTTCAACTCAGGACCTGTATTTGCCAGGCGGGTGTTCTACCACAGAGCCATGCCCCTAGCCCTTTTTGCTTCAGGCATTTTTTTGAATAGGGTCTCACATTTCTGCCTGGGCAAGCCTGGACCGAAATCCTCTTATTTTTACTTCCTGCACATAGCTGGGATGACAGGCACACACTACAACACCCAGCTTTTTATTGGTTGAGATGGGGTCTTGCAAACTTTATACTGGCCTGACCTCAAACTATGATCTGCCTCTGAATTAGCTCGGATTACAGGTATGAGCCACTACGCCCAGCTAGCCTTATTCTTCCTCATATAGCTTTTACTCTTCTATCTTCTCATACAAAGATATTTTTGGTCACAAACATGCAAATGAATGATGCTGCTTCTAAGTACCACTTTGTGCTCTGATGCTTGCTTTCAGAATAAATGGAAATGTCTATCTATATTAGTTGTTATATTTTCTTTTTCAGTTGCTAAAAAAATTTAATTGCTATAAAGTTGCTGTTAGGAACTATTGTTGCCAGGTATGTTGGCTCAACCTGTAATCCCAGCTACTCAGGAGGCTGAGATCAGGTTTTCAGTCTGAGGCCAGCTTGAGCAAAAATTTAGTGAGACCTCGTATTGACAAATAATCTGAGCATGGTGTTATAAAGCTATAATCCCAGCTAGAAGGGAAGTATAGGTAGGAGGATTTTGGTCCACGATGGCCTAGGCAAACACATGAGATCCTAGCCAAAAAATAACTAAAACAAAAAAAGTGGAGGTGCTCTGGGAAATGGCTCCAGTGCAGAATACCTGCCTAGGAAGTGCGAGGCCATGAGTTCAAATGCCAAAAAAAGAAAAAATAAATCATGGTTATAACATCTTTTTCAGTCATTGCTTCTCCCAAACTTACCATTCTCCCTAGTCCAGAAAGATCAGAGATACTCTTGATACATGCAACTGTCTGAAATGTAGAAGTAGCAGAAGGATTTGAGTTTTGTTAAGACAGTCAGTGAATGCCATATTAATTTCTTACTTTAAGAATAAAAAACAAAGAATCCTTACCTTTTCTTCTATTTGAAAAAAATAGAGTTCCATTTTCTTAACAGAAAAATGATTTTTTCTTTTTTAGAATAAGAAAACTATTAGAAAAACCCTATTCTTTTCAACAACCCCAATAGACATTTTAACTGAATCATATTCAGCATGAAGTATTATTTACTTTCTACTCCTTTTATACTGGAGTGTTGTTTATCTGCCAGGTTATTTAAATCATATTCAGTTTATTCAGTATTTCATGAAATCTGAGACTGCATTTGGATACCTATTGATTTACTAACCAAAAGGGGTTTTCATACATGAATTTGTTTTTTAGCAATATAAGCTAATAACTGTGAGAATACTACAGTATTGGCCCCTTTTGGACTATAAATTTAATTCTTTTGTGAAAGAATGTCAGGTCCAGTCAAGCTGGAGCTCACTCACCATGTCTAACAAAGTACAGATATAGGACCAAGCTTGGTGGCTGTATTGCTTCTTCCTGCTTCCTTGGGTAAACCCAGCTGCCTTGTAAGAAACAGAATGGGAGGTGACAGGAAATTCAGAACAACCTTATAGAGACTACCAGGAGTGCTCTTTAAATTAGTATATCTTCAGCACATAGGAGCAGTTGCCAGAATATTGAGTAATGAGGGCCACAACTAAAGATCACCAGAAAAAATTAGAATTCTCAATCCTTTTATTGTAGTTTGTGGAGAGGTGTGGGGTGAGTGAGCCTCACTGTCACAAGCCAGAAAAATGTAATAATTCATCAAGGAGGGAACACTTTTTGTGGTTAAAAAAATGTTTAATTTCTCTTAAGTCTATTCAGCATCACTTTTGATGTTACTTGCTTTTATTGCAGCCCCAGAACCTCAGTCCCTTCTGCCAGCACAGTCAACGAAAGGTAATGAAGCTTCTTTTAATCAGAGAAAAATGATCCTTAACACCTTCTATGTTCAACCTTGTGCTTAAATTTGGCTTACTTTTAAAATATTTCTTAATTGTTCTTCAGATCTTTTTGTAGCCATGTGTGCTAGGGCTTGACTAAACAGACTCTGCAGCAACTACGAAAGCCATACTGATTTTGACTTGACACATTCTTTATTGTCCTGCCTTATATTCGAGGAATTTGTCCTCAGTGTGTTCTAATTTTGTTATTTGCAGTAAAGTCTCCTGACTTCCCCAGGGCACATTTGTACTTTTACTGTGAGAGGTGTTTTTCTTACTTTCAAAGCTCTAACACTGGCAGAATTTCTTGAAAAGCACGATCTTTTCAGATCAAAATACCCTGATGTGTCACTAGGAAATCCATTCAAAGATGGAAACAAAATGAAAAAAAGAAAAGGGGAGAGAGAAGAGGGAGAGAAGACAGAGAGAGAGAGAGAGAGAGAGAGAGAGAGAGAGAGAGAGAGAGAGAAGGAAGGAAGGAAAGAGAGAGAGAGAAAAAAGACAGAAAGAAAGAAAGGAAGGAAGGAAGGAAGAAAGAAAGACCAACTCCAATCTTTATAGCTTCTTTTTTCTTCAAAAAAAATTTTTGAAAGTGTTCTGGTGCCATCTTAGCCAATTACCCAATATTTTCCTTCCTAATATGAACTGCCAGTTACTTTACTGCATTTACATCTTCCAAAAGAGAACCATGCCTTTTTATTTCCATTCCTCTTTCCAAACTTAATTGGCTACATTTTTATTCAGTTTTTCTAAAAACATGGGAATGTATTTAAATAGAAAAGGTACTTCTTATGTGGATAAAATTTCATTATTTGTATTTGCTCAACCCAATAATTAAAACTTAAGCCTATCCCGTGTACATTGAGATCAATTTTGTCATTTTTCCTTTGATTTTAACTCCTTCTTGATGATTTTTCATGCAGTCTCAGGACCTGGAGTGCTAGTAACCCAACCTTCAGTAACAAAATTGGGTTATAAAGTTTTTTGAGTGGGTGATCTTTGTTCCCTCTTTTCCTAACTGCTGTTTCTATTGACAGGTTTACATTTGTAGATTAATTCATTAATACGTATTTGGTGGTTTTGTCCTCTGTTCTTATGAAAAATTTAAATCTTATGCATGTAGTTTACAAATCTCATTTTTAAAAAGTGGCATTCCCTGAAATGTATATTGCTTGTCCATGGGTATTTTTAAATGCTAACTGAAAAACTTCTCTTTTTTGAATATTAACCAAATAAATTTTCATTTTTATTCCTAGTGGCTTTTGAGGAGAGTCTTTCTCATGCTCTTCTTGGGCATATAACTTCAGTTTTTTTCTGTGACTGTCCTTAAGCTGTATAATGTTTTTTGAGATTTTCTATCTCAAAATAGGCCAATTTCTTGGACAAGCTCCAAATCTTTTACCAAAAAAAAAAAAAAAATTCATGACCTCATATACCTGGGAAAATAATAATTAAAAGTTGCAAAACAGAAGTATGTGTCCATAGCAAATCAAAGGGCTTAAATGCATGTTTAAATTATATACAATATTTATTTTCAGTTTGTAGAACCACCCTTCCTATATTAACAAGCTAATTTTCTTTCATCAGCTCCACCAAAGACCATAAGACCAGGTCGTCGCCCCCGCCCTAAAACTACACGTAGTCCAGAAGTGCCCAAGTCCAAACCTGGTAAATGTGATGCTCAGGCCACAAATAACATAGAAAACAAAATGTGAGCGCTTGTGCTCCAGTTGTCACCAAACTGAGAAATGGGACTTTAAGAATCATTATAGTTGATTTTATATTTAAATATCTGTACTCGCTTTTTATATTCATATTATATTTAATGGTTTCATATTTTTAATTGCAGTTAGATATATATAGTGGAAAGCTGGCCCACTGAGTGAATTATTAAAATAAGGCATCTTAAAATCTTACATTTGATACATATTCATGGCAGATGAGGCATGGGAAAGCAATTGGGAGAAGGGGTTAGATGGGAAAAAGATAAAGCACACGGTTTAGGTGGAACATCCTAACTAGCACGTAATGTTTCTTTCATGTGGATGCCACTTCTTGATATAATTAGTGCTGTTGTTTTTTGCTTGTATAGCTCTGGAACCTACCACAGTACAAATGGAGCTCTTGGTACCCACAATTGGTAATTGTTCCCTCGAATTGTTTTCATGGCTTGTCACTTTTGCTTCTCACACTGTCTGCCCAGGCATGACTACAGCTCTACCACCCCATCATAATGTCATCCCATGCTTCCCTTCATATATCCTATCTGGATGTGAAGAACCTGAAGACAGGAGAGTTGTTCTGGAACAATATAGTGTGCTCATTTAAGGAAGGTCTGTAGTCTTAGGCACAATTTCCTAGCTTTCTACTGAGCCTTGGTTCTTCAGTCATGTGTCCCATTATTAAGAAAGTCATTGTTCCCCTCAGGTACTTATATATTCATCATGGATTAAACCAATGATGTACATTTTTTCTAGTGCTGTGCTACAATTTCTCTGCTTCACTTATTCAACTTGTAAGACTTCCCCTACAAAGCTGCATGAATTATGGCTTCAGCTTTTCTGTTTCTTTGAAAAATGTTTTTGAATATGTTTGGTTAACCAGAAGCTGTTCTTGATCTAGGGTCCAGTATAAAGCTAGTTGTGGTCTTTATAACTTGAAAACATTAAAAGTACCAAGATTTTTTTAGTATTAGTACTGTGACTATAACTTCTTAGCATTCACAATCAATTTGTGATGTGAAAAATTCCAGAAATCAGTAGCTATGTAACACTGTTTCTCATGTGTTACATCAAGTGTTTATGGATTATTTTCTGGTCTCCTCCTAAGCAACTTTTAAAATTCCATTTTATTGTTTTTGTACCAGAGGAAACCTGTCAATGAAGAAATAGAGATAGAATATTTTGTCCTTTCTGATATGACTTGTATAAGGAAAAAAATTCTTATGGTAGTTCTCATTAGTTTTGCTAAAAAAAAATCTTTTTAGAGAAAAATAATTATGCAAGTGTACAGTTAAAATGAACACCTTCCTTGCCTTTCCCATAACCCAGGATTTTTTATGGATTCATTAAATTTATAGTGTGCTTGCTTAGTTTATGTGTCATTAATTTTGTCAGTCAGAAACATGACCATTATGCTAATTTTAATACCTTTTTCTTTAGCACCCAAACCATCCAAGACACCTCAAATCACAGATGTACCCCAAATCCAGCCTGGTAATCACTATTTTCAATGCCTCAATCTATAAATAGGAAAACTGTGTGTAAGTAACATTAATGTTTCCAATCACAGTTCAGCCATGATACTAATTATAACACCTTTTTTCCCTTCAGATTTAAAACCACCAAAGCAATTACTTCCTAAATCCAAAGCCACAGCAAAACCAGACTTGCTACCAACTAAACCTGGTAAACATAATTTCCAGTGCCTTAGCTTAACAACCCTTTTTCTTTGGAAATGTCTTTGAAAATGTTGCTGTAAATGTTTACATGTCATATGTCATAGAACCCAAATATTATGATTTTGTTCATTATCTTCTCAAAGTAACCAAAGCTAATGTCATAAGTCCTAAACAAAGAAATCAAGGTGTGGAAATCAGTATATTTTACACATGATTGTCTGATCAAGTCCAGTTTCTTAAATAATTTTAAGCCTTATTTTCTGAACTTGTAGTGAATAGAAACTTGATTTTTCTGTATAGAGGACACTTTTGCAAGTGATTTTGGTAATCACTGCAATAGTCCACACAGAATAATTGACGGACTCTGGTTAACCCTTAAATAGGCACAAGAAAGACTTGCTAGCCAGGGGTTAGGGTCCTCTAAAATACCTATGGGCATTTTAAACCATAATTATTCATTCAGTGGTTTTCTACCACAGAGGAAGATATTTATATAACATTTCTGAAGTTTTAACTGATTTGCAATTGAAATTTTCTCCTGAGATTCTAATTAATATACAATTCTAATTTGCTAAGAGACCATTTCACATAATAATAATTTTTTAAAAAGCCTACAAGAAGGCAGTTTACATCAAGTTAGAATAAACTGGTTTCTGTGTCCTCTAAATTAAACATTAATGTGCTCCTAAAAGTTACTCACATTTGTTACTTTTATTTATTTTTTTATGATGTAGTTTTTGAGCCTGTTACATTCAAGACTGACGCTCCCTCCATAAACATAGGTAAAAATACTTCTTGGTGCATGTTTCTCAGAAGTTGCTTCTCTCATCTGTTTCATCATCTTTAGTCTCTTGTATGTACAATTGTCATTTAGCTTCTTTTTCATTTGTTTCTAGAAAATATTTATTACTTTCAACAGAAGCCATTTTAAAGCCAATTTAGACATTCTTATATCTGCTCAGCTTGTAACACCTTATTTTTTTCTTTGACTACTTTCAGAGACATTCAGATTGTTTGCAGTACTTGATACTGTCAAGAGTCTTGAGTGCTCTCTATTCATCCATTCTTTAAACCATGAAATTTCTGAAGCCTCTGCTTATGTGTGGGTATGTTTTTTGGAGGTGGGAGGGAGCAATGAGAAAGACGATTGAAGCTTGTGCTGATGGTACAGCAAGTCTCCACCTTGTGAAAGTTCCTTCTTCCTTGATTCCATAGTATTCCAATCAACTGGGCCTTCCATTTGAAAAATTTAACTTGTAGCATGAAGTTGCAGATGAAATAGGGATTCCTTATTTCAGGTTTTCATTCTGGGGCAATCAGTTATAAATATTGTTTTCATCATGTTGTCCTGGTTTTTCCATTTCTTCTCCATGTCATTAATTCAGAAGATGCTTTTTCAGATGTGGTTTACACCAACTTTTGTTCTATGGTGTCTTGAGCAGTCAGGTAAAGCCAGTCTCTATATGAATGTTTAAAGGAATTTTAAAGATTACATGAAATCTTCTAGATTTAATAAAAGATAAAAGGAGATACTAAATAAATACCAGAGATGTAATTCTTAAATTCGTATCTATGCATAATCATTTCAGAATATTATAGAATTATAGAAATCCTGCTTATCTAAATGACAAGTTGCAGTGTTACCATTCAGGCTTCTTTGCTTAGTCATCTCTATTCCTGTGTGTGTGTGTGTGTGTGTGTGTGTGTGTGTGGTGTGGGGGAGGTGTGGTGTGTGTGTGTGTGTGTGTGTGTGGTGTGTACGGTGTGTGTGTGGTGTGTGTGTGTGTGGTGTATGTGTGGTGTGTGTGTGTGGTATGTGGTGTGTATGTGTGTGTGTTGCTGGAAATCAAACCCAGGGCCTTATGCATGCCAGTCATGTTCTACTACTGCACCCATTCCCCAGCCCTTCATCTCTATTCCTAACTTGAATAATTACTTACTAATTATTCATGAGATAAGTGAATAAAAAATGAAAATAGCAAACAGAAATATCTCATAACGAAGAAGAGGCACAAATTTACCTTTGTACAGCTATCACAAATCTTCAGTAAATAGACTTATTAACAATGTTTTTCTAATTCTTTCCACAACTGTAATAAAATTAATAAGGGTGGTGAAAGCCTTTCACATACCAACAGAAGCTTCATAATGATTTTCAGAATAATTTAAAATAGCATATCAGAAAACTACGAGATTTTCTTGGAGCCAGATTTCTAATACAGATAGAATCAGACAATCAAACACAGAAAAAATGCTTTTCACTGGCCTCATGGCTATTCAGTGTACAGATGGTATTTCTATTTTGTACAATAAATGTATGCGTGGATATGCCCAGTTATTAGAGAAAACAAGCACTATTTTCTGAGTGTTCAGAAATACTTTACAAACATGACAAAATTAAGAGGATTCATTTTCAAGATAAATTTCTTTTTCTTTGTGTCTTATTCTCTGTTATTTATTGTACTGCTTTTGTCAGTTCCTACCACAGACACTGAACCTGTAATTCTGAGAACCAAGGCTCCAGTGACATTAGGTAATGATTTTTTTATACTTTAAGCACATGTGTTTTCTGGTCATTGTTCAATCACTATCCAGGTCAAGTTTTTTTTTCCGCAAGGTTTTCTCATCATCCTCTTTTGCTATTCAACTATATTTTTCACTTTGAATATATTGAAAGTGCTTGAAATGCATTAATTAGTTACAAGGCTTTTTGTAACTAGTGCATAGAATCTCCCATATGATCTGGCTTTACTGACACTTTACAATAGACCATGATTCTACTCAAATAGTGTGTATGGTAAAACTAAATTTCGAATATAATTAGGAGTGCCTACCCCTTAAACATCAACTATAATCCTGTGGCATCTTGCTTTCTGGTTCTTTTAAGGATATAAAGAATATTTTTGTTAGTATAAATGACTTTACAAACTTAAATGTGCTTTTATAATAATTTGAATTTGTCTTATACCTAAACCAAGTAACTTCTAAAGACAACATTCCAAAAACCAGTTAGCCGGGGTCTTTCTCTGATGTGATGTTTGACATACTGTGCGTCTGACTCCCTTTGGGCCTTGACCCTCTTTGAGAACCTGATAATAACCACTAATAATAAGACTCAGAATAATAGAATGTTATGTGGTCTATCTTTCTCAAAAGAACTATCAGTAGACGAAAAAAGGGGAGTTGCATCAATGTGACCAGAAGAAAGTTCAAAAGCAAACAAACATTTTTTTCTCAAGACTTAAGAAAATTTTAGAAAACTAGAGTCATGTGAAATTCTTTCTTTAGTTTCTGGAGTCATATGACTACAATAATCAGTTTCCTTTCTTTAGCTCCAAAAATAACACAAAGAACAAGAACTCGTCGTCCACGTCCTAAACAAAAAACTACTCTGAGCCCAAAGATACCTCACACTGAACCAGGTAAATATGTAGCTCCTGGTCTCTGTACCATCACTAGGTGTTAACACTGGGGTGGCAGTCTAACTTGCTGCCTGATAACCTTTGTGACCACGAAGGGTGAGGACTTAGTTATGGAAAGCAGCTGCCACCAACACTGATCCCTGTGACTTCCTTATGCTGCTTGCATGAGGATCTCCTTCATACCTGAGATTTTTATTTGTTTTTCTGACATTCTATTTGATTTTAGATCAACAGATCTTTTCTAGCTAGCATATTTACTTCAAGCAGTCTCACATTTTACTAAATGCCACATTAGCATCTGTGGGGGATATGTAAGAAATAACAAATGACGAGGAGGGAAGCTGCTCTTGTTAAGACTGCTCGTAAGTGGAATGTGGGAAATAAATATTTATTAGATTTTCCCGTCAGTCACATAGTTAATTCTTAGAGAAGCAAAATAATCCATTGGTTTATATATATATGTGGACCTTGAAATTTGTAGCATTTGTAGTTTTGTTAGCAGAGTGGGTAGGAATCATATAAACAGGAAAGAAGGTGACATTCGGGTGAAAGTAGTAGAATAGGAATTAGAACTGCATCCTGGTTGTGAGACAGCAATGTTTTCCTAGCTGGACAATGATGCTATTTTTGGGTTTCTATGAAGAGGACCTCCAATGTCTGACATCAGTGATTAGATTTGAACCAGGTGGCACGTCCTCCTACACTTCAGGGTCAGATCTTTTCTGTCCTGATAATACAAAGGTGCAATAACATGTTCCATGGCTAAATGACCCTCTAGGTCTAGTTTTTTGTATGCCTTTGTTTAAACAAGGCTCTTACTCTTTTTCCAATGTGGACTCTCAACAAAAAAACAGCATTGTCTGTTTTGGTTATTCATCACTGTATCTGCTTAAGTATATCAACAATTGAATTAATCATGACCTATGGCTTTCATCTTCTAATCTATAGTGTTATGAATTATACTTTTACATTCTTTTATCATAATTGTTAATAGCATTAGCTATTATATGCTGAAAATTTTTTCTGTGCAGGATTTTCTCTTATTAGATAATATCAAAATAAGCAAAGCACTTGTAGCTAACTAAGGATATAGCCTTGTCACTGAAGACCCTCACTTAAGAACTTTAAAATTTTTGTTTTTTGGCTGTAGAACCTATGTTAGACTGTTAAGTTCATTTTCAAAAGAATGTGTTGGCATTTCTCATGTGTTTAACATTTTCTTTTTAAATTGATTTCGATGGTTTCTGCACCAGACTTTAGACCTGTTACTCCGGGGCCACCTTTAGGTAATGATTTTTTGTATCCTTCAGCAAGTGCATTTTCTTGTTTCTTGTAAAGCTTTACTATGGTACTGAGTAGATGATGGTGCCATTCTCTGTTGTCCTGCTTCAGAAATCATCTTAAAATATTGAAGGTTTTCTTTTTAACAGAAATGTGTCTGGACTTAAATCAAGAAAGCTTCTGCTTGCTCCATCTCCCACCTTGAATCTCTGTTTTAGCAGTACAATTTGTTAGAGCCAAGATCCAAGCATGAGTCCATATGTCCTCCTCAAGAAGAACTAATACAGGATCAATGATGATTCTATAAAACTTATTTAAGCATCTTATTTTCTACATTTTCGTTTCTATATAACTATTTTTGTCTTCATTGATGTTTTAGTGAATTTTATACACTTACTCTGGTAAATTGCCAAGTAGAGAATTTGCCTGGGCTTAATCATCTTAAACTATAATTGAATACTATAGGGTTGGTTTGAAACTCTCTGACACTAGAATTGAGAAGTGATTTGTAGCTAGTTTTGGGCTAGAGGCATGTTCAAGAAAATAATGATAGAATTCAGTCTTCATTTTGTAAACATAATGATACATGTAATTTTTGCCTCTGGAGAACTCTCAGTTATCAAAGAAAACCTATTAATATACTAAAGAAGAAAATTTCAAGTCTAAGTGACAAAGTTTTCTTAACTCTAACAAGTTTTAGAAACTTAGAGCCATGTATATCATCCACAACACAGTTAATGGAGCTTTCAGCACCATATTAATCCTGAATTTTCTTCCTTCAGCTCCAACAACCAAAAGATCCCGTCGTCCACGTCCCAAACCTAAAACCACATCCCATCCAGAAGTACCTCACACAATGCTGGGTAAATATGTGATTTGTGGTTTAAAGAAACCATGTTGTCTGTCCCAGTTAGCACCCTTGCAAAATGCTCTATATCTCTTAATAGTAAAAACTACCAGTTAGTGAGGAGAACACAGACAGCTGTGCATGCTTCCTCATTCTTCCTTTTTGGGAATCATCACTATTGATGACCATTTTATTTACTTTTCTCACTATTTGATTCCATTCATGTCTTAAAAATAGAGCTACTATGTACAGTATTGAGCCAGTGTAATCAGTTCACATCAACTACTTTTACTAAGTCCTTTCTGGTTTACCCAAACCATATCAGCCCATAACTCTAAAACAGTAAGTATATTTTGTTTACCAGTTAGTTTGCACTATAGTTTTAAATAAAAGCTGCATAAACTGATAGGAAGTAATATAAGACAGCATGTTCATGCAAATATAAAATAATTTCTCGAGTAGTATAAATACTATGTGCTAAGACCATAGTGAATATTTAGAGAAAGAAAATATCCAGGATAATTAGGAAGAAATCACAGAATTTGGGTAAACAGAAGGATGAGGGAACAAAGGCTGGCAAACAGGGATCATGTTGAAGCAGGCTTACCAGGAAGGTTCGTGTATTAATGCTCTCCTGTTGAATGGACCTGCAGGATGGATGAAAAGTGTGTGTGGGGGGGCAAGCTTAAATTTAATCCAGTGGGCTTTAGTATTTCATACTTCTGCACAGGACCATGCTTTCTTTTTGTTTTGTTTTTTTGTTCTTAGAACTAAAGATACCCATTGTAATGATAACTAGATGGTTCCTCATCTTGTATTAAGTAATACTGTATTTATGAAGAACTCCTAGTCAGTGCAGTCTCTACTTCCTTTGGCTATCATTATGTGTGATGGGCAAACCCTAGGGTGACCCCTAATGCTTCCCTCCTCCTGAACTTAACATTTTTTTAAATCATTCTTTCCTATTCCCTTTTTCTTCTTCTTCTTCCCATCCCTCTCCTCTCTTTACTCCTCCCGGTACTCACATAGCACTCACAGAAAGGAATGATGTACAATCACATTTCCTTTTTTTTTGTTAGTTAGAAGCAAGTTACAGGATTAGCACACACTCAAGGAGAGGAGATTACATAAAAGTGTTTGTACCCAGAACAAGCATTGTCTGTCTACTATATTGTATTTTGCTACCTGAACTATTTATTTTATCTGTCATGATTGACTGCTACCTATAATGATTGCTTTTTTGTTTGGGGCTTCTAAAAAAGTACTAGTTGTCTTTGCCATGTCTTTTTCAAATAACAAATCATATTTTCAAAATGATGAATCAATATATAGATGGTGTTTGTGTTATTTCAAATCAAATCATGAACAGTGATATCTTAGACCTGACCTCAGGAAGATGTTCAGCAGAGTTCAAGGCCCAGGACTGTGACTGTCCTCTGAATGAGTACCTGGTTAAAGTTTAGAGAAATATTCCAAGGAAAAATATATGCCTCTTCTCTTAAGAATATTAAAAATTAACTTTGCAGCCTTAGAAACCACCATTTTTACTAGTAAGATGAATACTCTAACATTTCATGCATTCACATGAATTTTTTTTTTCTTATCTTGATCGGTTCCTGCCACAATCCTTGAACCAGTTATTCTTAGAACTGAGGCCCCAGGGACGACCATAGGTAATGACAAACTATGTCCATCAGCCTCTGCATCATTTCTTGCCTGTTTCATCACCACCATAGCCACAGCTTTTTCTACTTCACAAGGCTTCTGCACCATCCCGTCATTCAATTACTTAATATATTGAAGAACATTAAGATATATCTTGTTTTTAAGATAGCCAAGCATGAACTTGGTTTGGTGCACGTGTGTGTGTGTGTGTGCAATGCAACACCTTTAAAATGGTGGTATCTCTGCTCCCATGTAACCTTTTAATCACATTCTTTGTAATTGAGTTTGAAACACACTGAATGGGGGGCATGTCCCCTCATCTAGGCTGAGCAAACTACCACAGCTAATATGCTATCTTTTGAAGATCTAAATTCCTACATTTATATTACAGTGCTTTTTATTTTGCCATATTTAGGTAATAGTGTAGTCCTTTTTTTTTTTTTTTTTTGAGTAAAGTGAGAAAGTTTATTGAGATAGAAAAGAGCAAAGAGAAATGCTACCAGAGCTGAGAAGGGTCCCAAGAGATGGTGCCTATAATCTTGTTTCAGTAAAGAAAAAAATTAAAAATACACTCAAGGCTGGTAAATTTAAGTTATAAGTATCATCATTAGTATGAAATGACTCCAAATTTACCTCCTATGCACACACCATAGCTCATCAAGTTTTTGAAACTTTTTTCATTCAGGGATCCTTATGAGAGTCTCACTGAAATATTCTTGATATATCATGTTTCTGTGTGATTTTTGTTTTACAGAATCTGTAGATGACATAAAGAGGTACATTATAAAGATAGGGACAAATATTTTAAGCTCAGAAGAAAAAATTTCTTGAAACTCAAGAAGTTATAATAAATGCAATCCTAGCCACAGCTTCTAGAATCCAAAATGCTGTATTAACCTGAGGTTTTCTTCCTTCAGCTCTCAAAGTGTCTCAACAACCAGATCGTCCACATCCCAAACCTAAAACCACACGGAGTCCTGAAGTACCCCAGACAGAACTGGGTAAATGTGTAGGGCCTGCTTGAGGAATCATAGCAGCCTATCCCATGGGGCCCACTGAAAGTAAAGTATCAAGCGGGGATAGTGGCTGATTCCACAGCAGAGCAGGCAATGAGGGTGGGAGATGTTGCTGTAGGCGAATTCCTTGTGCTGTGTGGATTCAAACCTACAATGCTTATTTAATTTACTTTTCATTCAATTCTACTCATCTTTAACTATCAAATACGTGTGGAAATCTGAATCAGCTGTAGAATGAGTATGTTTACACCTATAGGAGACCATTCCCTGGTAACCGTAAAGTCACGTGAGCCAAAGTAAGCATGTCAGACAGGCCTTGGAAAACATTTTCTATACAGTGTCAGAGAATAGATACTTCAGGCTTTGTGAGCCTTACAGTCTCTGCTACATATTTATTCTCTCCCTTCCCCCCACAACTACTTACAAAGATGATTTTCTTAGGGGAAAATCATTCTGGAAGAGGGTAATGGAGAAGTCCAGAAAGGCATGGAATGCAAGGGAGTCAGTCAGAAGAGGCAGTTTTTGCTCACCTATGGATGCTATCAGACTTCTAGAAGTTGATCAGAACATTTCAGTGAGGCTGCTGCAGATAACTGGCCGCATTAGGACCAATTGAGAAGTTTGAATGTTGGACTCAGAAGTTTGTATTACTTCTGAGAATCCACACACAGTCTTTCCCTGGGGTTGGACAGAGGGATGCTTTGTCCAGGGCAGGCCCTATGGCAAAGGCTTCCCCTTGGCTGCATCATCTCATGGCACAGATCGCAATGGCAGGTGCATGTGCTGGGGACAAGCAGACTGTGACATCTCACACTGGGAGTAGACTCGAGCAGGAGCTAGGCCTGCTCCTTTTATAATTATCCTCACTAAAGAACTCAGGGGGTCAGGCAAATTATCTCATACCACCCATGCCATCGGTACTTCTCACTAGGTCCCACCTTTTAAAGGTTCTACCACTTCCCAACAGCGCTACCCTGGGGACCAAGCCTTTAATCACAATGGAACCAGAGGGGACACAAACCATATTCAAACAATAACAATCTACTTTGGTAGATTGATTAGCCTCAGATTATCACAGAACGAGAAAACCCTAAAGGCACTTTTCATGGGCCATTATCCAAATACAAAGTTTAAAGCAATCCCTCCCAAGAGAGAAATTGGTATCAAAGGGCAAAGATACCATGTTCCTTCAACAGGTTAACCATGTTTGCTTTATGCTTGAGACCTATTATCCTGATAAAATTGTTTTGAAGCCAATACCCTGAGAGGTTTTTTAATAAATTTTAATGTTTTTTGTTTTGTGTGTGTGTGTGTGTGTGTGTTTTTTTTTTGCCAGTTCTTACTACGGTCTTTGAACCAGTGACTCCTATAAAAGAGGCTCCAGGGACATCATTTGGTAATGCTACTTTCTAAACCTCAACTCACTGTCAAACTCATCCCATGTTGCCGTTTAATTATATCCTTCATTTTATGAGAGTTGAACATGCATAAAAAAGTTGCCTCTCATTTGCAAGATAGTAATGCATGAATCTAGTTTGGGACATTGCCCTGACTCGTAACTTACTTAAAAATAGTTTCATGTCACTTTGTTTAACCAGAATTCTTTAAGGTAAACTTCATATATCCTTAGAGTATCTGTCTTTGATCTTTGCAAATCAAGCTATGATAGAGAAGTTTCTTTATACATTCTTTATGTATATACCTTTTTATCTGGCTATTTTTATTAATATTTGGGAAATATGTTTTAGTAAATTGAATACCAGATAGTATGACCAAGGTTAATAAGTTTAAATAATAAACATCATCTTCAGTGTGAATCTGATTCCCTTCCCTCTCCACAGTAGTTCAGATGATTCTTAACCTTTTTAATCCAGTCAGGGAACTCTAGGAGGATGTGATTTTTTTTAAAATGTATTTTCTGAATTCATAACTTCATCTTATATGTCAATTTTGCCCTCAACATAATTTTTATAACAAAAGAAGATACAATAATATGGTAGGGAAAAAACTTTTACACTAGCAAGATGCATTTCTTGACATTCAAGAAAATTCATCTGGATTTGTAAAACATAAAGATGTTTTTAAAACTCTGCAATGTGCAGAATCAAAAGCTTTAAAATAACTGAAATTGATCTCTTCCTACTTCCAATACTATACCAAAGAATACAAACTTAAAACCACTCCAAGTCCAATTGTATTTGAGAGAACACCAGGTTTCAGGAGCCTGGGAGCCAGTCACTGGTTGAAAAATGTCAATGCCCCCTAGTGAGAAACTCCTAGGGAGCTATTATACCCTCAGCCTTGGCAGGAGTTTATTGGAGGAAACATGAAGAATCCTTCCTATAACTTGAGGTGGTAGGAAGGATGTTTTACTTCTCAGTCTGTGGCTAGTTGAATCATTTTCAGTTATTTGTGAATGACTGCTTGGATATTTCAGAACTTTTTCTGCAACCATAATTTGATAGACTTAGCGGATATTCTCTTTATCGAGAAGCCAAAAAAGTGCAAGTTAGTTTTTCATATGCTTCTTAAGAATGGTTAGAAACACATTTAGTACATGGGTGAATGTACCCTACTTAAGTCTTCTGTATCAGATTCAGACAATCAAGCACTATAACTTGAGAAGTGATTGGCCTCTGGGGGTGTTCAAAGAGACCACAGGTGGTGGCTGTCTCATGAGATCAAGTACTTAGCTAAGCTTGGGCAATTTGGTTTTCCTTTGAGTTTGCTAGATCTGTCATACCAAAATACTACACAGTGGGTGTCTTAGACAACAGAAATCTTTGTTTCACAGCTCTGGAGGCTACAAGTCCAATATCAGGTATCAGCAAGATTGGTTTTTCCTGGGGCCTCTCTTGGTTTACAGGTGGCTTCCTTCTTGTTATGTATTCACATGGCCTTTACCCATGTGTATGCATCTCTCCTGTCTCTTCCTCTGTTGATAAACACACCATGCAGATCAGAGTACAGCCTCAATTTTTTACCTCATTTAACCTTAGTCGTCACTTTGAAAGTCCTATCTCCAAATACAGTACATTGGGTCTCAGGGCTTCAGTATGTGAGTTGTGAAGACACAATTCAGAACATAATACCCTTCATCTAGAAATTTAAAAATTGCAAAGGCAACGTTACACTGACAAGTTTCATTTCAAAATGAATGCTATAGCTCTTTATACACTATTTTAAAAAAAGCCTTTTTTTGTTACTTCAGTTTCTGTTACAGATCTTGAAACTGTTACAGACTTTGAGCCTGTTACAACCCTTGAACCTGTTACTCTTAGGACTGAGACCTCTGGGGCAACATTAGGTAACAACCCTGTGCTATTATGCCAAATGTTCTCCTGATCACTGTACAATCCATTCAGGCATCTCCATTTCATGGCTTTTCTACCTTTATGAGTTAGCAGCCATTATCCTATATTGCCATTCAATTGCTTCTATCATTTGCAGATTTTGATGCCTCTTAAAAACAAGTTTCCTGCTGTTTTTAAAAGAGCTTAGTTTAAATATTATCTGCATGCAGCATATCTGAAATTATCATATGCTTCACAGGATTGTGTGTTCTGTGATAATACTGAGTTTTAAACAAATCAGGATCCATTTGTCATATAAGCTATGAATAATAGGTATTCTGATCATTTGCTCATCTAAGTTTTTAGATCTTTACTAAAAACTATTTGCATGGTATGTTTGTTTCTTTGTTAGTAATTTAAGTAATACTGTGTTTTACTACTAATTTGACCAATAGGAAATAGCCCAAATCTGCAATCTTATAAACCTCTTCCTTGGTGCAACCCAAATTTCTCCTCTACTTTCACTAAACACTCCTTTCGCAGTCATTTTTCCCCAAAGTGAGAAAGCTCTATGAATTTCTCAACATAAGTAACTAATTTTCATGCCTTGAATGAGAAACTCAACTATATATGTGTGTTTGCCCTGAAAGCACCATCAGTGATAAAAGAAGATACACTGAGAGAATGAAAAAGTAAAATTAAATGGACAATTTCCTGGAACTTTAGAAAATCTGACAAGGGTTTAATATCTCCTCAGTATCCAAAGACATAAGATGTAGACTAACACAAGGCTTTTTTTTCTTCAGCTACCAAAACACCTCAAAGAACCCGTCGTCCACGACCCAGACCCAAAACCACACCAAGCCCTCAAGCACCTAAGACCAAACCTGGTAAATTTGTAATTTCTTAGGTTAAGGGTGAACCCTGTCAGTCTGCCCTGATGGGGACTAAAGTCAATGACAATGGTAGGCAGTAAAACACTTGTTATCCCTGAGTGTGGGGACATGTGGCATCAATCTAGTCAACCCAGTTTTTATTTTTATTTTTTTAATTTATTTTATTTTTTTATTAGTCAACCCAGTTTTTAAGGAGAACATGGCTGGGTGAGACCCAACTAGTGCCAAAATACCTTATTCTTTCTATTTGAGACTTGCTTTGAAATTATGTGTTTGGTATATATCTTACTATCAAATCCATTCAAATCTTAAAGGTGAAACTCTTTTTAGCAGAGCCAATATATTTAGTTCAGGAAAGCAAAGCCCCTGCATATTCCCTGACCCACATCTCACCATAGGTGATATACCAGCTACAGTTTTATTTTACTTCTAAAATAGCACAACTGAAGACACATAAAGTAATCATCTACCAAAGGAGCAAGGCTGTTTGGACTTGGATGTTGGACCCACTACACAATTTAGATCAATGGAGGGAAGAGTGAACAAAAGCAGAAGGACTGAATATGCATGGGCATCAGCCAGAAAGGCAGTCCAGTCCTAGTGGACTATTCCTAAATAGTCAGAATGTGGTTGTTGGTGTGGTACATTTGGAAGTATCCACCAGGCTAACTGAAGGAGGATTTTGAGGACTTGATTATAATACAGAGACATTTAGTTTTTCATTTCCACATTTTCTGGGCTTAGGAAAGACAGATGCTCTACTGGGTTTTGCAGACTGGTGACTGTCTTTATGCTGCTCTGTTACGTGGCATGGTTTGGACAGAGGTCTCAAATTCTTTCCATAAATAAGATCTTGGCAGAATTAACAGAGTGCTTCAATGATTAATTTTTTTTGCTGTTTCAAATTTGTAAACTGTCTATTGCATTCATGTTTACTTATACATGGTAAGGTCTCATGATAAGATTCCATAGAAGTTTGAGGCAATTATATTTTTAACATAATTTATTTTCTTAGAATATGTTAAGTAAATTAAATAAAATATATTCTAGTGCAGAGTTTTCTAGTGCATATCAGTTAGAATTTATTTGTTAAAAATCTAGGATAACTTCATGATGACTTCTTTAAGATATTTTGGGTAATTCAAAAGTAATCCTAAAACTAATTATGACTAAAGTTGGACCAAATCTTCAAAGAACAAGCATATATACACTTTCTCTCAGTTAAAAAGCTAATTTTTCTTCTTTTTTTGTTCTTAGAATAATTGATATACTAATGTGGTTGGATGTGAATGGTCTAACTTCTTACAAATTTTAAAATCTCTTTGGCTTACTATGTTGTTTTTGGTCAGTACCTGCGACAGTCCTTGAACCTGTTACTCTTAGACCTGAGGCTCCAGGAACAACATTAGGTAATATTGACTGTATTTTAAATCAGCCTCCCCTAGAGTTTCATCATGCATCATGTGACAACAGTGTCATTCTTTATGATCATTCAATTATATTTTGCTAAAAATTATGAAGACTCTTCAATTATCTGTTTTTTAAGAGAATCAGTCATGCATAAAACTGCTTTAGATCATTTATGTGGCATGTAACCTACTTGAAATTGTGTAGTATCCTGTTGTATTTTGTTTAAGCAGTGCTTGTGCTAAAACAACATATCACAATTCTCTGTTTTTCATCTGAATAGAGCCATTAACAACTCTCATGGGGGCAGGAGGATCCATTGCATATTTGCATATTTATTTGTTTCTATTTGGATAACAATATATTCTTATTTTAAGAGTTGCAAAATAAACATGTCAAAGACTGAAGGATTAAATTATAAATCTGGATTTAGTGAAACGATCCTTCATTTTCTACTAAAATTTATCAATGGTTCCTAACCATTTTGGTGGCAGTCAAGCTGCCTATGAGATCTTGACTATAATTACTAATCTTTCATTCTTGAATTAAAAGGTGATTTTTGTCTAGAAATGAATTCTCTATGATAAAGAAGATACATAATGGATATATCTGATAAAATATTTAAAACTAAAAAGGCAAATATCTAATACACTATAAAGTCTAGAGTTATGTCATCACCTCTGATAGCTTCCAAACCTATAGTAACCCAAGAATTTCTTCCTTCAGCTACCCAAACATCACAACAGATACGTCATCCATATCCCAGACCAAAGCCCATACCAGGTCCTGAAGCTGAGTCCAAACCAGGTAAACCATGTGTTCCTGGTTTTAAGAATCCCAGCAGCCTCACCAGCAGAGTCTCAAGAGTAAACCCAATGGTTTGGAGTAACCAGTCCTCCCCTATGAGTGTGAAGATGCAATTCATGGTCAGCAACACTCCCACTGTAGAGATGTTAAGAGGAACACTGCTGGGGAAGATTGGGGGGTCAACTGGATACCTCCTGCTTCCTGTATCAATCTTCTCTGTCACTGTTCTAGTAACTCCAATTTATGTCTTAAAAATAAAGCTTCTTTAGAAAAATTAGGCATATTCAGTTCAAATTAAAAACCTTTTTATTAAGGGCCTTCAGTATGCCCCAAATCCTATTACAAACATCTTTTGAGTATGTTAGCTACATTTTAGTCCTCAAACCTTCAAGACAGTTGAGAACAGAAGCTATAAATAAGGTAGAAGGTAGCATTAGCATCTATGCAAATACATGATTGATTTTTGAGTGCTACCCACAAAATGTGTGAGGTACATAAATATTTGGAACAAAGGAATATATATTAAGAAAGAATGGACCCTAGAAATCACCATAGTGAGTAGAAGGGTAGAGAGAACAAAATCAGGAAAAGGAGACATAATTAAGACCAATCAGAGGAGTCTAACTGGAATACTAGTGTAGAGGATGCCTTAATTCAGTGTTGTAGTCAGAGCCTTTCCATATCTCACTGGGTCTATTGCATCCCTGATGGAAATCCTTAAGAGCCTGATGGGAACTGAGATTTGGTATGGAAGACCTCAGTAAACTCCTCTTTTCCTGTGAAGCCATTTCTTTGCTTACCATGGAAGAATACCCTATGCAGTTCATCCTGCCCAGTCTCTTTCCAAAAATGATTTGTTAGCAGTAACTGCCCAGTTCACATTAGATTATTAATCAGACATCAAAAGAATTCAGAATCCAGAAATAGGTACCTGACTTAGATATGGCCAAGTTTTAGGAAGCCAACTACTTACTTTTCTAATTTAATAGTTTTATAAGTTGCTGTGTGGTTCAAGAAACTGTATTATACCAGAAAGATTCATTTTGAGGAAAATACCTTGAATTTTCATTCATTTAAAATAATCATTTGGTTTATTATAATACTTTTGGTCAGTTCCCACAAGACAGCTGGAATCTGTGACACTCAGAACTGAGACCTGGGTGACAACACAAGGTAATAACACATTGTGATCCTCAGTAAGTCCTCTTCCCTTCTATCACCGAACAGTGCATCAATATCATAGCCACAGGTTCTACTGCTTTATAAGACTACATTGTCATCTTCTATTTTCATTCCATTATCAGCTTCTAAAAATATTGAAAATTCTGGTTCTTAAAAGAAGGTAGCTCTTATTTTTTTAGAAACTCATGCATGAACCATCCACCTCAGGTTATCCATTGCACATGTAACCATATGAAATTGTTTTGTCATTTTGTGTATTTTTTAACCAGTGTTTTGTTAAAGGTAACTTTGAAAAGCAATTTTCTTGATTCTGACAAATTTTGGTGTCAGGAAGTTTCCTTGTGGATCTCAAGTTCTATTATCATTCATTTTTCTGTCTATGTGTTTTTTGCTCCTTGACATTTCAGTTAATTGACCAATGCTATCAACATGATTTTTAAGCAGTGATTCTCACCCTTTTTTATTCTATAAGGGTTCTATTAACTACTGTTCACTTCTTGAATTAACCATTTCATTTTATATATGACTCTTACTTCCAAAAGACTTTCTATTGTAAAGTTTCAAATTTAAAAGTCAAAAAGGCAAATTTCCTAAAATATGAGAAAATCTTAAGTCTTGGGAAATTTAGAGCCATGTATCATGCTACCCCTTGAACTACAAACTTAGTAATAACTGAAGGCTTTCTTTCCTCAGCTCCTAAAACATCAAAACGGACCCGTCGTCCGCGTCCCAAACCTAAAACCACACCAACTCCTGAAGCTCCTCAAACCAAACTGGGTAAATGTGGGTTTCTGGTTAAAGGAGTACATCCTTGAAGCTATTGAGAATCCATGATTGACACCAAGGGTGGGAGTGGTAGCCTATGTGGGTGCAGGCACAAAGTGATCTGCAGCTGCCACACTCTTGCAGTGTGCAAGGGGAACTTACTTGGAGACCAACTGTGTTCCTTATACTTTCTGCATAAGGATAGTCTCTATTACTATGCATCCTATTTATACTACTTATTTTATTTTGTTCTCTTAAAGACAAAATATTAATGTCTTAAGTGGAATCAAGTTTTTTTATTTTAAGAAACAAGAGTGCCTTCCATCTTCCCACAGTCACTTTTACAGCTGTGAAGACAACACAGAAGTAGGAGGCTTGTGTTTGTTTCCCAGTCTGTGGTACAATCAAGGTCAAAACTGCCCCCATATGAAACATACAAAGATTAAATCAAGGCAGACTGTGCAAGTCAAATATTTTTAAGGGTGCTGTAAACATCTGTAAGCTTAGAAAAATAAAAATTTGTGAAAGACAGGAATAAAAAGGGAAAAGAGAAAAATGTTGGGTCTTAAAATCTTGGGGAGTTGCAAAGAGACAGAAAGAAGGGAGGTATAGAGCCCAACTAGGGGACACAGGCTTCCTGGAATGAATGGCATCTTATTTACAAGTGGTAGAGGAGTGCTGTGCTAGAAGGGCCCTTAAGAGCAGTTAAAGTCCTCTAAAGTATTATTCAGAAGTTTGGATCTGATCCTCCAAGAAGCATCAATGATCTTTCTTATCCCTCTAGAGTACTGCATTTTTGTTATTAGAGCAGAAAACTGCTCTACTGGGTACAGTGGATGTCTCTTATCCTATTTTGTTGACTGCCTTTGCCTCAAATGAGGTTTCAGTCTATTTCTGAATACAAACTCTCAACAAAAGGAGTATGATTCACTTTGTTTTATTCTTTGCTATGTCTCTTCTCAAACATAAAAGCTATTTATTTGGACATATTATTTTCTTAAAGGTTCCAAAGAAAAGCCAATAATTGTAGAACAGTTATGTATCTTTGGTAAAATATCTCAAGTTTCTAGGGCAGTCTTATACAATTGCTGGAAACAGGTACTCAGACATCTAGGAGAATAGCATGATGACTTTATTGTGATGTTTACCAGATTGTATAGGCTGTGGCTGCATACCTCATGAAAGAATGTTTACCTGGCTATTAGGTACTAGGTGACCAAATTTTCAAGTAACAAGTATTATAATTCAGATATTTTCTTAAAGTTGGAACAATATTATACTGGTAAGATTTAATCTTTTGACTTTTCACACACGTTTGTTTTATTCCTTTTAATTAGTTCCTGCTACAAATCTTGAACCTGGTGTCCTTAGAACTGAAGCTCCAGAAATCGTGGGTAATAAGAATGTGTGTCCTTCAAATAGTGCTTTTCCTGTCCACTGTCATACCATTGCATCACAGGTTCTTCTACATATTATAACCATTCCATTGTCCTTCATTGTCATTCTATTATAGTCTTTATCTTGAAACTATGATAGGCACTATGTCACGTTACAGTTGAATTTAAGAGCACTGTGCATGAACTAATTTCAGGATATTAAACTTTCATGTAACTGCTGAACATTGTGTCATGTAATCATGTGTATTTCTTTAAACAGCACTGTTTAAAGCTCTTCAAACTTGAATCTCCATTTATCTCTTATACTGCTTCTCCCTCAACAGTTGTGGAACTATCATGCTTCTTTACTCATATTCCTTTTATTATACTAGGATGTATTTGATACATTGTGGATCTGTAGTTTTAAGGTATGATGCTTTTAGTAAGTTGTCAAACTTAAAAATGTTCCCAACTTAGAATATTAAAAAGGCAGGTTTCCATGATAGGTAGTTTGTCTCCTTCTCTTTTTCTAGCACATTTAACAGTGTTTCTTAACTTTTTTTTTTAGTAAGTCATAACTCATAATAACTGATAGTGCAATATTCAGAATTCAGTATATCTGTATTATTGACATTAGTAAGGGAAAAAAATGAAACTTCAGAAGTGTACATATGAGGAAAATAATCCATTTGTCTTAGGACAAAATGCATATAAAAATTGTTCAGAATAACAAAGGTTATGTTCTTGGTAGTGGCTGTCCCTGGGGAATGGAGAACTTTCTTCATTTTATATACCCCACATCCCCCATCGCTTCCAGGCAGAAGGAAAACTTTGAAATTTTGATGAAAATAGTTCATCAGAGTGAACTGCATTGTTCTTTTTGCTTTCAAACACATGAAAATTTAATTGTATCCATAACTATTTAAGTAGTGGTCAAGATAGTAGACAGATTTCTCTGCTTCTTCACAAGTCAAGTACACCAATAAATACTTTTTTGATATAGTCAAAAGCATATATTATGTAAATGTGTAAAAAGCTTGTCCAGCAGATTTCCATAGTAGCATGGGTCAGGAGATCAAATATCCAAAACAACATCTTGTGGATCACATAGTAATATTTATCTGTGTACAATACTGTCTTGCAAGTCTGTATCATGAAATTAATGGGTAGCTGGACATGGTTTGTCCAAATCTACAAAGAACAAGCATTTCTTTTTTTTCAGTTGTAAAGCTTAAAAGGCAATTTGTGAAGCTTATCTTAAAATTAATTTTAAAAATCTCTTTGGTTTATTTTATCATTTTTGTTCAGTTCTTGCTACAGTACTTGAACCTGTCACTGTTAGAACCAAGGCTCCAGAAACAACATTAGGTAATGATATTATATATTCCTTAACAATTTTTTCTTGCTTAGTTTCAAATTCATTCCATCATCGTCACCCTCATCATCATCACATTGTCATCAGCTTTATAAGACTTTCTTGTCATTTGCTATCCTTCAACTTTATATTCCTGTTTCTTAAGAGTACTAAAGGAGTCTTAAATGAAATTATCTATTTTATAAAAACTATTCATGGACCTATGATATCTTTCTACCTGGTAATCTTACTTGAGTTTGTGTCATGTATTTTTGCCTTAAACAGTACTCACCTCTAAAATTGAATTAAACACAGTTGATAGTGTTTATATCTTATTTAGACAGGTTAAACTACAACAGTTTTTATGATATCATGGATTACTTGAGAATTACTTGTGAATTAGGTTCACATTTTTAGTGTGAACCTAATTCCACTATACCCAGAGTTTGACTATAGCTTTTTTTGAGTTACAAATTTATGGGTCTCTTCATTCTTTTACTTAATTTTATATGTTTTCTCTCTCAAGAATCTTCAGTAGTAAAAAAAAATAATAAAATAGGAAAAAATATTTTATTCTTAAAATATACATGCCTTAAATCTCTGGGAAATATACCTTAGAAAACCTAGAGCTTTGTTTTTAAATCCTCCTGTACTAGAATAATCCAAAGTTTTTTCCTTCAGCTCCTAAAAGACAAAGAACACGTCGTCCACGTCCCAGACCTAAAACCACAGCAAGTACTGGAGTATCCCAGACTAAATCGGGTAAATGTGTAACCCCTTGATTTGAGGGGTAAACCCTAGAAACCTGCCCCAATCAGGTCCCAAAGCAATATCCATGGGAAGGAACAGGGTCATGTTCTCTAAGCAGCAAAGCATTAGAACAGCTACTTCCCCTACAGAGCTGTCCAAAGAACAGGGCATGGCTTAGGGAAACTTGTGTGTCTGATCTTAAGAAACTTGGTTTGAATGAAGTTCTTGGTCCTTTTTTTAAAGATGAGTTTACAGGGAGATTGGAAATAGTCATTCATGGTGCTTTATTACTGTATTTACATTGAAACATGATCTGTTTTTTTGTAGCCATGATTATATAAACAGATATATTTTCAACTTTAAAGAAATGCAATAAGTTGCTTTCATATATTTTTATACCTACTACCTAAATAAATTTCCAAATCAATCTTTCATATTAGTTATAATCCAAAACCCAAATGCCTATAAAAACTTTATGTGGACAATACTAAGATACATACAGAGTTCCTAGGTATGACCACCTTCTGCAATGAATTGATCTGACTACTGTGACAAACTCTTCAAAAAACAGATGTTTGCTTCTGTCACTTCTAAAGTTTTAAAAATTGTTTGTCATTTGAAACTCATGTTTTGAAAGAAAAATTAAGGCTTTTCATGAGCATTTCTCATGTTCATGTTGTTGCTTTTAATTAGCTCCTGTTCCAGACTTTGAACCTGATTTTCATAGTATTCAGTCTCCAGGAACAACATTAGGTAATGATTTTTGTGACTTTCATTAAATGCTTTTTCTTGTTGGTTAAAAAGCTTTTTCTTGTTGGTTAAAAAGCAAAGTGGGGCCAGAGTTGCTCCCACTTTCTACAACTGCTATTGTCATGCTACTTAATACCTTATCTTATAAATAGTCATAAGTCTTAATTCAAGTATTAGCTGATATTATTAAAAGATGTCGCTGGATCCATTGAAAATATCTGTGTGCCATTAAACCCTCTTGAAATTGGATATATGATTGATTTAGTGTTAAATCTGAGGTCCACATTCTTCTTCTTTTTGGTGCTTAGATCTATACAACTACAACAATTAACTAACATGAACTTCCTTGGAGTAACTTACTTTCATAAGATCTGTGTGCTGTTATCATTACCCTATTTTAAATAATGAGGTGTCCCTATTATTAATAAAACTAATGTTGTTCCCTGGAAGCTCCAGCTTCCCCCATCCAAATGAGCTTACTGCTCTTCTCCACCATAGGTTAGCAGTGGCTCTTACACATTACTAAATTGTTAAGAGTATCTTCTGAGTATCTATGCATATTAATATTTATTCCTTTAATTAATAAATAAACTTTGTATGTGATTTGGGTCTCTAAAGGAACTCAATGATAATAAGCAACAAATTAGTAATTTCTTTTTAAATTTAGGAAGCAAACTCAATAAAATCAAACATGTTTTAGAAAGCATAGATCCATATACAATGCTATTGATGGTTTCTAGATCTGTAAACCCTATAGCAAACCAAAATCTTCTTTCTTTACTTTTAAAAACATAGAGGAAACTCCATCCACCTCCCAAACTTTAAACTTCCTGAAGCTTCTCAGCTGAAATCAAGAAAATCTGTGACTATTTTGGCTTATGGAGTCTTCTTAGCCCATTGCAGTTGGGTCTCAGAAATAATCATAAGATGGCTGGAACATCCCAGCTCTATGCCTTATAAGAGAAAGACACTAATAATAATAGCAATTGCAGGATTGACCATTAGGTTCATAGCTGAGGGAAATCTTTGTAGTAGCCAAATTCATCTTATACTCAAAACAGGATTGTCTTTAACGAAGGATGCATCTTATTTGGCCCTCTTATTCTGTTTTTTTCTTCTGTTTTTCAATGGTGCTCTGTTTTGGTTTATGTAAACAATACTTTCCTTGACTCCTGTGCCCCTCAGCACCATATGTTTTTTCCTGACTTCAATAATTTATTTATTAGCATATTACAGTTGTACGGGGGTACATTGTGACTTTTTTATACATTTATTCATATGTGTATACATTGTTTGGGCCATCTCTCCTCCCCCTGCCCATCACCATCCCTCCTCCCCCTTCCTCTACCACCTCCCTCGCTTCCAGGCAGAACCTGTTCTGCCTTCTCCAATTTTGTTGAAGAGAAAACGTAGAGATAATAAGAAAGACAGCATTTTTGCTAGCTTAAGATAAAGGTAGATATACAGAGAGATTCCCAGCATTGCTTCCATGCACATGTGTAGTACAACCTGAATTGGTTCATCTCTACCAGACCTCTTCACTACTTCCCAGTCACCTTTCCATAGTGGCCTCTGCCAATTTAAGATTACTTTATTCACTCCTCTACAGTGGGCACATCAAACTCTTTCAAGTTTTAGGTTTTCTTCCCTTTCCCTCCCTATTCCTCCTGCATGCATTCTCCCCTTAGTGTGTGACCCACGACCAATAATATTATTGCATTTGTTTTACATCTAAAGTCCGCTTATGATGGAGAACGTATGATTTTTGGTCTTCTGAGCTTGGCTAAATTTGCTTAAGATGATGTTCTCCAGTTGCATCCATTTACTTGCGAATGACAAAAAGTCCTTCTTCTCGTGGTTGAGTAGAATTCCATTGCCCAGCGCCACATTAGCCAGCTGAGTGGGGTAGGGTGATGAGCAGAGGCAGAAACCAAAAGTAAGAGAATATTTTACCTCTTGCAGCAGTATCTGTAAAAAACCTGTTCCCAGGGTTTTTTAGGTATAGTTTTCTGAATACAGGGTAATTTGTTATATGAGAGCAGCTTGTTTGAGTGGTAAAAACAGAAAATATTTAAGGAGGTCCAAGGATCAATATGAGGTTAAGTAGTTGGGCTTTGAAATAGCTACAGGATTTAAGTGGTGGAAGAGTAGGAGCATAAAAAATAAAAAGTCTCAAGATAACCAAAAAGGGGTGGGCAAGTTGGAATACAGAAGAAATACTCCTAAGTGATAGTGTTTTATCGATGTTGCTACCCTGGAATCAGCTATAGAAATTCTAAGAAATCCCTCGTGGGAACTAAGATTCAGACAGAGTAGTCTATGCGAAACTAATTTTTCAAAATAGGCTCTTGCACTTCCAGAAGGATGATTTAGATCAGAAGTCAGCAATTTTTTTCTGTAACTGGCTAGATAGCAAACTTTCCAGACTTTGCAGGCCATTCAGTTTGTCACAACTACTTAATTCTGCTGTTGTAGTCAGAAGGCAAGCAAAGCCAATATGTAAATATATCCTGAATCATTTTGGTTCACGATGTGACTGTGTTCCAGTAAAACCTTATTTGAATTTCATACCATTTTCACATACTTTCATTCTTTCCTGTCATTTAAAAAATATAAAAACTAACCTTAGCTCCTAGGTGAGGCAGAGGACTGGAAATGGGAGGGCCATGATTTTCTGACCTCCACTTTAAATACTGCACACTCTGGCTCTGCATAACCTTGTGATGTTGCGGGTCTTTGTATTTCAATTCGTTGCTACTTCTGTCTAAAACCTATAATAATAATTCATAATTACTTTTACAATGTAGATCCTCTTCTTTCAGCTCCCACTGAACTGAAAACTCTTCTTTTGAAACCAGTGACATCACCAAGCCTAGATATCACACAAAGTCAACCTGGTAAATAGATTGTTTTATCTTCCCATGTACGTGATAAGCTTCAGGGACACACTGTAATCCTCTAAGTGTATTCCCAAATATAAAAATGCAAAAGGAAAATACAATTCATAACTCTAGATATTATGCAATGTTCTTTTCATGGTTGCATATTGGTATTAAATTAGTAATACATTAGATTAATAATTGTATTGTTCAATTGGATAAAGATACCTTCATTTCATTCAGTAATTTGCTGTCTATAACTTTAGAAAATAATCACATATCTATTAAGTAATCAACAAAATTGCCTAGTACTGATTATATTGCTTATCTTTACTTCCATCAGCTGTTACAAATTTGTGGTTCTCTTCAGTAGTAAGCTAAATTTGTGCTCTACCATCTGAAAAGAATGCTAGTTCAATTGTGACCATCAAGGAAAGTGAAAGCTTTCATTTCAGTAAAGATTAAAAAAAACTTCTTTTTAAACAAAATATACTGCCCTTCAAAGTTGAAAACAAAATTTTAATATCAGTATTATCAATGCTATTGCTGCTGACATTTATTTTGGAAAAATTGTACTCTGTTTTTTCTAGCATAGGACTGTAATTTCTTTTCATCTCTTCTGAGTATCTTTTAATTAGATAAAACAACATTTTGGTATTCATCTTGAAAGAATGAGGTACGGCTACTAACAGTAACCTACAGAAGTTATAATATTGTGAGTTCAATTCTGTTATTAGGGCTTCCCTTGGTGTTAGTATTGATATCATTGTTATTATTGAAACAGTTGACATTGAGCCACAAGCAAGGCACTTTTCTAAATACTTAGCTTGTTTATTTAATGCTCACAGCAACCCATCATTGATCAATTGTATCATTTTGTCTTTTGCTAGTTTCTGATGTTCTGGAATCGGTTACATTTAGCATGGGGTCATCAAAGGAGACAATAGGTAAAAATGTTTCCCAAGTGGGAAGTCAAGTATATGTGCTTTTCCATCTCATTGCAAAAGTCATCACTGAATGTCCTATGCTTTTGTGACATTTCATAGCCACCTGTTCCCACATCGTGTCTGCACTCATCCAGTGGGTCTTTGGAATCCTTATATATAGCACATCATGCTAGCATTTAATGTATTGCTCTGCAAGCTTCACAGTTTCCTTATTTGGTTTCCTCTCACTGAAAGAAACATTAACATTTAAAATATTATTGAATCACTATTAATATAATACATTGATATATGTGTATATATGAATATGTACATATATGCACATCTGACTTTCATTTTCATACCATTTTTAGAATTAATCCGTGTTCCCTAAGGGCTCATTCTATACCTCTTTTTTCTTACTAAAATCGTTATGCAGAAAAATGTAGGGAAGGAAAATAATCTTTGCTGCAGGTAGTAATTGAGGCAGACTCTGCCAGTTAACATGTGGGATGCATATGTGCTTTCCTGCACAGCACACTGCCTTTGTTTCCTGCCTACTAAATCACAGTAATCTTCATAATTTACCAGAATGCTAAATGCCCTCAAGACTATGTTTTCTTAAGATAAGTAACCTGTTTTCAAATTAAGTGCAAAGGTTCCATGACAGTGGGTTTGGGCTACCCACCACTAACCAGCCATTCCCCACTTTCTTCCCTAGCACCAACTGAGAGATATTATGTATATCCCACTACCAAAGCACCTCTCAGGCCAGAGGATCCAACAACTGAGGATGGTAAAGATTTTCATGCTTCACTTCACTTATTTAACACATTTTAACTAGCACTTGTCACATCCATAGAACGTGACTGTTTAAGCTGTGGTACTTGATTGAGCAGATTTGAAGAGCTTCCAATGTTCTTGTATTCTGAAAATCAAGGTGAGAAATAAATTCCCATTTCTCTGCTGGTGTCTAAATATTGAAGCATAATAACATTTGATAGTCAGTTTAAACATGAATGTTAGTGGAAGGATTGTCATAAAATAGGATTTCCTCATGGTTTTTTTTTCTTACTAAATCCATTGTCCTGCCTGCAAAATTATGATACAAATTCTTGAGAATGAGCTGTGTTCGTGTTCCAGAAATACTTGATACAGTTTCACATCTTACAGCTTTTATAATTGTTCTCCCTTGTTTTGATACAGTTGTGGAATCTATTACATATGTGTCTGAACCTCCTGAGACTTCGCTAGGTAATGACAACCTCAGCAACCCAGCCCATGTGTTCTCTGTCCTCATTGCACCACCACCTGAGAACCTCAGAGTCTCTCTCCTTGTGAATTCATGTTGTATCATCCTTCCTTGTCACGTGACTCATTGCCTTTCTAGGTGCTCCTATTCATAACCATTGTCAAAAAATGTCTCTTCTCCTCTGCTTTGTATCAGGACCTTGTTCTCTTTCCATACTTACGTCAGACAAACTGTGCATCCAAAGCATCTTTTTCCCTAATATTGAATATGTGTCAGTTTGGCATTGTGTTGAATTTTTCAGGCAATACTTTTTGTTTAGTGGTCCACTTTTAATTTCTGACTTAGCAGCATACTTTCCATTAATACTCATTTCATCATATTCATTTACTTGTCTGATTCTTTTTCCATTATTTAAGTGAAATTACATGCTTCTTAACTTGAACTTATAATTTTTTATTACCTTTTGCCTTTGTGGTTCCTACTGAGTATATTTCTCTAGAATTGTTAAGGAAGTAGTATCCTAGTGTGAAAACTTTAAAGTAATGTTATCGCTTTTCAAATGTATTTTGAAATCTGGTGTCCTAAGTATTTTTAAAACTGAATGAATTATGAAATAGGAATGTTTGCTGCAAACTTACAGTTTTCCTTATTTTTGATATTGGTTTATTACCATCCTATCTGTTTTCTATGATCAGGGTGTGTTCAGCATTATGGTAACCCCACATACTTTCCTTCAATTATCATAGAAACAACACCTCTGCCTTCCCAAACTATAATCCTACCCAGTCCAGATGAGCCTCAGACTGAACCTGGTAAATACACTATTTTGTATTTCATATTTGAGGTGAGTGTTTGCAGAATAACAGTATGGTCCCTTCTGGACATCAGAAGCCCCGACTTTATCACTGTACCCTGTCTTTGATGGGTCAGCCTACCTGTCTGATGAACCACCTCTCCATCTGTTATTAATAATCTCTCAAATGGCAGTATTGCTTATTTCTTTATCATAATGTTGAAAAATACCTCTCAACTATTTGTCAAGTGTTTATTTCAGGAAATAGGAATGTTTCTGAGGAAGAGTGTTTCTATTTCTAAACATAGACACCCCTAACTGTAATTACTTCATCTTTTCAACTAGTTTTATGACTATCTGTGGTTATGTAAAAAGTATTTTAAGATGCCTAATTTGTGATTTGAGGTTTTTAAAAAAAGCCTATGGAATCAGCTATCACCATACAATTCACAAAAAAGGTAGAACTGGCCAGTCACCTTGTCATTATTCAGCGGTTTCCCTTTTATCAATTCCTTCCTGTGATGTTTAGCCATTTCGCTATATACTCATAAGAGAAACTGAAACTTTGGTGGTCATAAAAGTTTATTTGGTGGTGGAGTCTGAAATGAATAAAAATAAATCACCCACATAGATAACTAAATGTGCCTTTTCTTATAAAGAACAATCATCTTAATACCTGCAGGTTTCCAAGGAATAGAAGTTTACCATAAAGAAGCCCAAATTTAGGGCAGGTGCAGTTTGCCTGTAAAGGAAGATCATGGTTTGAGGTCACTCCAGGTAAAAGTTAGGAAGACCATGTCTCAACAAATAGGCTAGCCATGGTGGCATACACCTGTAATCCCAATTATCTGGGATTACATAGATAGGAGTATCATGGTCCAAGGCCTGCCTGACAAATGGTATGAGACCGTATCTGAAAAATCACTGAAAGTAAAAAGTGCTGAAGGCATGACTCAAGAGGTGAGCACTTGCCCAGCAAGCACAAGGCCTGCATTCAAACCTTAGTACTAGTACCACCAAAAAAATGAAACAAAAAAAAAAACAGCTCAAACTTCTGCTTTGGTTGCCATTAAACTATTTTTACATGGTCTATTTCCAAGGGAGCTGAGGATATTAACTTTACTTATTGTACTTTGGAGCAGCCAATTAAATGTTGCCCATAAGCTCTATAGTTTAATATCTTCCAAAAATCTACACTGACTTCATGAATGTAATCTATATCAGTTATACATAACTTGTCCAGCATTTGTCTTCAGTAGCCATAATAATTTCAGACACTAACAGTAGTAATTTTTTGAGATAGGGTCTTGCTATATAGTCCAGAGTGGTCTCTAAGTCTTGATCTTCCTGCCTCAGCTTCCTGAGTATGCTGGGATTACAGATGTGCACTTCCATGCCCAGCCTACTATTAGTGATTCTTATTCTCCATCACTTTTTATGGAATTTCTTCATGGCATGGCTTTACTTTCACATGGTCTCATATTCTCTGCAAGGAGTTGTGAATCAGAAAATCACTATAACAAACTTAAATAATCAAATTTTAGGATTAGAAAGCTTCTCAAAAATCATGTAACTTTTGATGAAAAAGCTGGTATGTAGACTCTGATTGGCAAATGGAGCTGTAAATGGCCAGGCACCTAAGCTGCAGTAACCTGTCACATATCTTGGTGTTCATCTCTCCACAGGCAAGCACATTCCACTGATGCTATTATATAACTTGTATATTTTGGTTTAGTGTCAGGACCCTGCAGAATCATTCACAAGTTAGTGTCTCATAATTTATTTTCAGCAAATTTTTCCTAAGGTATCTGAAACTGCATGACATTGACACCATTTTCTTTCTTTTTATCTCATTATCAAATTTCTAGTGTCTAATAACTCTTATTTTCAGCAAGCCTCTCTTAAGGGTTGTGGGATTGCATGACACTGACACCATTTTCTTTCCTTTTGTCTCTCTTTGTCCCCCAAACACATTTTAAGGTCAGTCAAATGAGATATTCCTACAAGCTGAAACCTTGCACCTGATAATTCCTTTCCTTTGTCAGAATATATTTATAATTTTCTTGGTGAAGAAGTGATTGGTTTTTACACTGAATGTTAACATCTTTAGGGATTTCCCAGCAAAGGAATAAGCACCCTTCCCCTGACCAGAAAAGTATTTTGGTGTTCAATTTTTCTTCCTCAATATAACCAATAAAAATTGTGTTTTGTTTAGTAAGATTATTTTTTTCCATTAGGACTTACTATTAACTTGCATTCTATATTTATAATATAATTTGGTAAGTTTGTCTTTTATTTGGAAAAAACTGTATGTATTTGTATTTTAAATAGTAGTCCGGATATTCTGATGAAATGAGGTAAACTTATAATAAGAATGAATTCTTGTCATTATGAAATTTATTTTCAACTCATTTAAGAGGTATTTAAAATAGATATTTCTAAAATTTTGGCAGTTCCTTTTTGCCAGCTAAATATCTTGGGTGTCATTTAATGTGCTTTTTCTTTCTGTGTAAACAAATTATCTTCCTCTAATTTTTAGACTTTTAGGAGCTTTAATAGAAAGTGCTATGTATATTGGTCTCCAGTCACTCAACAAACATCTTTGAGTTTCCTTAAGCTTAGGTACTATGATTCATGAAGGGCTCAAGAGCTCCAAACTTATGTCTGTTTTTTAGCTCCCAGGCAGACACCACGTGCTCCTCCCAAGCCAAAAACATCATCACACCCAAGAATCCCACAAACTCAACCAGGTAAATAGATATCTTGTTTTAACTTGGAAGTTTTGAGGTTAGTGGGCTCATTATGTTGAATTATAGCAGATTGTGTTTTTAGCCCTTGTTTAAATCTTCTGTAACCTAAAATGTATATTTAATTTTAGACTTGATCAAAAAGTCCATCACTGGAAGAGCTTAATCCACAAGAGATGGTCAAGAATGGCATTTCTTAAAAAGAGTATCCTATTTATTTCCTTTTCCTCTCCTATTTTGAGATTATCCTTGCCCTTCGCCTATCCTGAGTGTGCTTCTCCCTGCCAATCACCTAATTTACATAACCACTATTAGGTGGTCTGCTTCCAAAAAATATCTGAGATATACTCTCCCACTATACCAGGAAATGAGCCTTTGCTACCATTAACAGTCTAAGAAAGGGAAGTATTTATTTGTTTGTGTGTTTGTTTATTTACATTTTTTCATATATTCTTTGTGGTTTTTTCAGTACAACTCAAGACCACTTTAATTCTAATTCTATCATCCTCAGAAATTACAAGGCAGAATCTTATCATATTATTGTTGTGCTGGGGGCACATTGTGACATTTACAAAAGATTACAATATATCATGGCTGAATTCACCCCTCCATCATTCTTTATCCCCCTCCTCCCATTCTTGGAATAGATTCAAAATGTCTCATTCTTCCATTTTCATGCATGAGTACATGATATTTTCACCAACCTTCACCCTCCTACACCCTTTTTTAGCAGCATCAAAACTTATCTTGATCCAGGTAGTAATTCTGGACTTCTACAATGAGTACTGTATCTTTACAAAGGGGTGGAAAAAAACTGTAGTTTTAGGTATGGTTTCTAATATCTGATTCTGAGAGAAATTTGACCTATTATTAATTTTTTCCTGAAAGGAAAATTCATTAAAAGGCTATGCTATGTTTCCATCTAGATAACAATTTTAAGTCTGTTTTATCTCATGTATTTTTAAGTCTGTTCTAATTAATTACTAACTTTACCATGAAAATAAAATATTCTGATACATGAATATATGAAGGTATAAAAGCAACATTGTCCCAAAGACTAAGAAATTTTAAATACCGATAAATACATCTGAAACATTAAGATATAAAAAGTCCTGGAAAAAATGATTATTTAATAAATAACACTGAATAAAATGAGGATAAGATATATCAAAACTTTAAAAATTAACATGTTATTAAATAAATAAAGTGCATTAAATTTGTTGACAGGAAGCTAAAAATTTAACTTTAAAAATGAACAGATTTTAAAAGCACATAAGAAACAGCTCTCAACTTTTTTTTTTGAGTTTACAGCATAGAACCAGAGTAGAAAAGAAAATACAAATGGAAAATTTTAAAACATGAAAAGTTGATGAATTTTGAAATATAAAAGTTGAAAAAATAGGAAATACCAGGAGTTAAGATGTTCAGGCTATAAATTCATGGTTAGTAAATAAATAAGATGAACTAATAGGAAAATTTTATTCAGAAGTTTTTCTTTCTGAGTATGTTGCAGTATAGTAAATTAGGAGTTTGCTCTAATTTCCTATTCTTATGTGTTTCAAATTTGTTTAATTTTTATTTAGACCTTCAGCAAACCTTTCTTGACAAGATGTGCAACTTCAGAATAGATAGATTCACAGGTTCAATGCATTCCACACTCTAAATCAGGAACCTTGAAGGGGTTGCCAAGCAAATCACCTGAGTCCCCTGACATTGTCCTTCCTGCGGCAGCTTCCAGTCCATCAGCATCTCCAGTGGAAAGTAGCTGCAACCCACATATTCTGGCTTCATTAGTGCTCCTTAGTGTAAGGGAACAATTTGGAAAACTGATCATAAAACACAAAATACATTCTAATGATTATTTTTTTAAATAATGGATTTGCAATTTCTCCCTCCCAAAATGAGAATATGAACCCTTCTTGATGGGTCCAAACAGTATCCTAGATTGTTGTAGTCTGTCAAACATGTATGTGTATGTACACTTATGTATCACAAAATATTTTAAAGATAAGCATTCAAATATTCTTCCCTTACCTTTGACTAGATTGCATAAATTCAAGATGTGATTTGAGACATGTTTGTTCATAGGTATGATGCCAGTGTAAATTATGCTGGGATAATAAAGACTCCATCTAACACTAGAGTGCACAATTCAAAGTGCAGCACACTTTTGTGCATCTACCACTTTTTCAGAGTCAAATGATGTAATGAGGCATTGAAACCTTTCTTGTTATTTTAACTTAAAAGTATGTTTATAAATGAGATCTCAAAATTTAAGTCTATATTTGGCATTTAAAATATTCATCAAGAATATTTTATAAGTCAGTAAGGTTTGATTTTTAGATTTTTGTGCTCATGGATAGTAATGATCCTCTTGTTAATTTTATATTTAGAGAGCTTTATATCATAGTTTTTGTAGGGGTAAGCAATATGAAAATCAAGATATATACTCAGATTTTTCAATGCCAAATTTATAAAGACCCTTGGGAAGTAGAAAAAATGTTAGAGTAGTAAAATTTCCACATCAGTTTGACATTTTACATTTGATTCTCACTATAACTCTTTGGGTAAGACAGGTTTTCTGATTTTTACTTAAAATTAAGAAGCAAGTAAAAATTGGGTCTGAAGAAATAGGACATAGAAAGCCTGAGTGTCAAGACATAGGGATCATGTCTGCCATAAATAACCAGGGCCATAATAGTCATGTACCCCAGGCACCACTCTGAGCTTCACCTCTATTTACTTACCTTTAAAACGTAATTGACCATTCCTTTCTCCAAGCATTATGCTGGCAAACAAAGGACCTATCCTTTTAAAGAATTTTGAATTTATAAAATGAATTATAAGTTAGGTACATTTTTCTGGGTCTATTACACTAGCATCATGTTTTCCCAAAGGAAAAGTTGTGGAGAGACAATTTTAGTTTTGTTCATTCAAATGAATATGTTCATTTGAGTGTTTGCTGGGGCCTGAAAAATTCAGGGGTAGTAGGTGAACCCCTCATCTTTTGTATTGTCTGTTTACCTTTCTGCTGTTGAGTGAGATGACGTTAAGCTTGCCTGTGCTTCATAGGATTCTACTCTGACTCCACTGACTTTACCTACTTTACCACCAATGAAAGACATGAGACTAAGAAGAATTCAAGCAAACATATTCAGAAAGGAAAGACACTCTTACATTATTATCTCACTTGAAATTAAGATTTTGAAAAACTCTTCATCCTACTCTGATGCTTTATTAAAATTTTGAGATATCTTGGGCTTCATTTTCTCAAAACAGGAATTTTCATTGACTCCAATGATAACTGATTTATTTCTTGAGTCTAGGATTCACTTTTCTCTTTTATCAAAAATATTTGGTTTATCAGTGTTTACCCTTATTCATTGTCATGCCTTCGATGTTAAGCATAACTGAGAGATGCTGAACCCAAATGACTCATAATCTGAGTTCTCTCTTTCAGTTCCAAAGGGGTCCCAGCAAGCTACTTCAAAACCAAAAATGTCACCAAGTCCAGAAGTGTCATACCCTGTACCTGGTAAATGCTTTATTTCCTTTTTAAGTCAAATGCATTTTACTGTCCCACTCAGATGCACTGAAACGTGAGAGTTTGTGGGTGCAAAGTCAATATTTCACTTAAGTTCAAATACCCTGTTGTATCATTTGTGGTCTGATTATTTCAGAAATCTCATAAGAGTTGGCCAGTTGCTCATGTAGTAAAACTATATTATAATCAAAGGCAGAGAATTATGTCAAGGATAGAATATTTTTCCTAAAACTAAAGTTCTCTTATTCCTGACTTAAAATCTACCAAACCATGCTTTGCTCAAATTTTTCACCAAACAAAAAAATAGAATTGCCAGGCACTGATGGCTCATGCCTGTAATCCTAGCAACTCAGGAGGCAAAGAGCAGAAGGATCACGGTATAAAGCCAGCACAGGCAAATAGGTCACGAGACCCTGTCTCAAAAAAACTTATCACCAAAAAGTGCTGGTAGAGTGGCTCAAGGCCTGAGTTCAAACCTAGCACCACCAAAAAAAAAATTAGAATAATTTTCCATACAACATGATAAAATGGTATTTTACAGTTAGAAACAATGATATTTAGTCATTTAGTGGTGTTCATAAATTTTACTATATCCAACATTGAGGTTTTATTTTTCCTGTCAAATTTATTTTAAAAGTTTGTGGAACAATAGTGCTTGGATTAAGGTTTCTGTCTCCCTTTCCCTCTACTTCTCTCTGTCTCTCTGTCTTGCTCTCTGTCTCTCTGTCTCTCTCTCGCACACACACACACACACACACACACACACACACACACAAAGATTTGGAGAACCAAGTGTGCGGGTCAGGGTAGAGCACATGATTATCATGTGTTTAATCCCCTGAAACTCCTTCAGAAAAAAAAAGATTTAGTTAGAAATGGCTTTTTTGCCTGTGGTCTGAGAAGCCTTTTGTCCTTGTGGGGAGAGTAATCTCACATTTGTGGGAGTACCTAGAGTAAAGACTGCAAGAATTCAGACATTTCATGGGTCTTACCAACACTACCACTTACATGAAGTCTTGAAGTGACCTTGGGAAGACAGCTAGCTGAACAATGCTCATAAACAAATTAAGCTTATTTTTAACTAGAAAATTTAAAAATACTGTAAGTTTTTTCTCTTTCCTTTTATATACAATTGTTGTAAGTTGCTACATATTCCTAAAAGCATATAGAATATTCCCAGAACCAAAGAATTTTTAAATTATGGTTTGAGATGCTGCAGTGGTATAGTCGGGTTGTTGCTGGTGGTTGAAGCCCTGAAGTCTAGAATTTAAATTTGTATCACTGAACAGAACAATCAATACTACAAAGTAAGAAAACAGCTAATATTCCCACTTTCAAAAAGTCAGTTTATTTTTGTAGAGAAAAAAAGTAAGAAAAATTGTGTCATTGTAGGTAATAATAGTAGACTTAAGTGATTTTATTTACTTTTCATTACAGAGGATAATATTGTTAGTATAATTTTATTACATCAATATATCTAAGTAGTTAGATTTTTTCTTTTTAATAGTTAAAATTTTTCTACAGCGACTACTACCCAAACTTGGGCAAAAACACTTGCCTAGACGTTCTGCCGGTCTCTTCCATCCGTTCTGTAGTCTGCATGTGCAGAGATAGAATTCTGTCTCTAAACCTAGTGTTGACCCTGTCCCTGTGATTTTTAGGTAACCTAATTGCCACAGGAGTGGAACGCCTACAGGGATAATCATAAGGCAATGGTTGCTACATTTATGTTTTCTCAGAAGTGTTCAAACATTGGAGTTTATTGCCTTCAGACAGCTTTGGGGTGGTATCTAGCCTCAGGTTTGCATCCTAATGAACTTAAGACCTTGTTTACCAGATCCATGGATGTTATGCCTCAAAAAACAGAGGATAAGTTACAAGTATTTTTCATATATATTGGTTTGTTAGAAAAGTACTCTTCTGTAAAAACCTAAAATGTAGGTTCTGCTAAATTCAGAACAGAATTATTATTTATTATGATTTTTATCTTAGAATGTATGCTGAGAGATATGAAGAGTAACAAACCATATCAAATAGGAAATCAGCCTAGAATTCATTATGTAGCTCTTTTATTCTAAAGTCCTAGGCAAAAACCCCAGCACCCAGTGAGGACTTAAAATCTTCTGACCATTCAGTTGAATTACTTACTACAAATAATGAGGAGTCTTGACAAATTGAGACCAAAGCATAACTGACTTTTCTCTTGGCCTGACTTGGAGAAATAATTTAGAGTTCAGAGTAAAGGACTCTCCCTGGTAGCAAACAGGTGCCATTTAAGTTGGAGTTCCAACTCACAGTGCCTGGTTCAACAGAGCTGTCTTCCTTGTGAATTCATCTCTACATGGAATCTATCTTGGCTTTGTGGTCACTGTCCGGCCAGAAGACATTTGGATAGATTCAGTCATTGGGAGGGAACCAGGAAGAAAATCGAGATTTCAGCAAGCTATACAAATCTTCATGAATATTCTGTGTGTGTACTCTCTTTGGTAAATTCTTATCTGAAGTCACACACTTAAGCATTTTTATAGTTACTCTACTGTTTTCAATTAAATAAGCTTTTTATGTAAGATAATTAAGAATGAATATTTAATTCTAAGTTAAAACTGAGCCCTATTGTTTAAAACAGATCATTGAATTACAGTTAATTAAAGCAATCATTTACTTGGATCACATACTTAAAAATATTTTCAGATTTGCAGTAGGGAAAAGCCTGAACAGGGACATTCATCTTATGAATATGTCCTTTTTTTCTGATGTATTATTAATAGTACAATATATTTAGAATTAGGTGAGCTAAGACAACAGCAACAATTCCCCTCATTATCATTTTTATCAAAGTAGGAGTTGGGATGAGCTGGACAGAGAATTACTACTTTAAGATTATACTATTGTCACTACCATTCTACAATGCTTCATGGTTATTGCCACCATCCTCTAAAGATGGAATTGGTGAGATGTAGGAATGAAGATGGTGTTCTGGAGAGAAGAATGACACTGTCATTTCTAGCTGGGCAAGTAGTAAATGATAATGCCATTGATTAAAATGGAGAATATGAAGGGAGTTATAAACATTTGGGATTATACCTGTTTGGTTTTCAAGGCCAGTAGAACTTTCAGGTGGGAATATCTAACTGGTGGTTGAAAATGGTTTTCTGGATTTCTAAATGGAAGTCAGGATTTGAGTCATCTGTCTACATAGAGATGGTGTTAAATCTTAGATGAGATTATTCAGTAAAAAGCATAGGTAAGAAAATAAGAGGTTGTCAATCAAATATTTTGGGTATACAGTTACATGTAAAGAATGGGAGAGAAACAGGAATCATTAGCTATTGATATTAAAAAAAGGTAGGAGAGAACCAGGAAAGAAAGAGTTTGGAGGAGGGGCAGGGAAGGGTCTTAAGAAGAGAAGAGTGGTGAAAAACAATGGCAGTGATGTGGCTGTTTACCTGACATTGTAGGGACAGAATCCCACTATCTGTTTCCTTTGGGCTGAATGGTTCAGAATTCAGCAATTTTTATATTTTAGAAATGTAAAAATGTACATACACATTGATCACAAATATATTGGTGTGTTTACAGTGGGAAGTAAGAATAGTCATACTAAGCACAATTAAATAAAAACTGTGCTTCAATCAGGTCCCTTTCTGTTTTGCTTTTAAGTAAGTTAAAAAAAAAAAAAGGAACAACTTTGCTATAAGAACTTCTTAGACTTCAGAACTATGGATTAGGCAGGCATTGTGGGCCTATGATTGTAAGATGAGTGAAGTGGAAGGCAGCCCACAGTGAATGAAGAAGACACAGTGAGACACCAGGAAGCAGAGGCAGATGAAGTTTTTTTGATTGAAGGAATGAGAGTGACTGGACATGTGGCTCAAGTGGTAAGTGCCCCACTGTACCACATTTGCAAGACTGACAGTGGCATTCAAACCCCAGTCCCACCAAAAAAAGAAGAAAGGAATGAGAACAAGAGAGGTTTGGTTTGTTTGAAAGGGAGTCCAAGCCATGAGAATGGCTTTTGGGAGGTGGCCCGAGAGCACAAGCAATGCCTATAAGGTGGGCTCCTAAAGGGAGAGAGCTCTGGCTGCTCTCAGAATGCTTCTAAGGGAAAAAGCTGCAATAACAGGGAGTCGTAGTGGACTACCTAACAGGGTGCGTAGTCTACTGGTATTTCTTTTCTAAGGGAAGCAGTCTGTTTGTAGTCTATTGTCAGGGTGATCCTGATTGCAGACATTCATATTCCATGATTAACAGGAGTGCCATGTTAATCTTCTCATTTAAAACTAACAAAGCTCTTGTGCACATTCATTTACATTTGTCCACTTAAATATATTCCACACTTAATTGCCCTTTGTTCTTTGAAGTGGTATGCTTTACTCAAAAAGACAGTTAATATAATTGATTGGTCAGTTATTAAGGTTAGTATAATTGAGTCTATAATTGAATATAATATAATATGATAAATATAAGCAAATCAAAATTGTCTTCTTAAATAAATCGTTATTGTTTATGTTGATCAGTTTCCCCCAGCATGGAAAACAGGTTTTAGGGATTATGCCCTTGATTGATTTAATATATAGAAGAGAGCCACACAGGGAAAAAGAAAAATGGTCACTTGGCATTGTTAGAGCGGCAGAGGATCAAGTAGGAGAATGATTCATATCCCTTCCCTATAAATATTTCTCTTTCTTTCCTTTCCACTTATTTCACCTGCTTTAGAAAGTCGGCTGTGGCAGTTTATTAAATCATCACTTCATGGCTGAAAAGAAAAGTGCCAGTTTTAGCAGCTGGAATCCACATTACCCTAGTCTAAATTCCCCAGTAAACTAAAGCAGAAGCAAGTAATGTATTTACAGTATGGTGGATTTATTAGGAGCACATCTTCCCTCAACTTTTCCTTTCTTAATCCCAGATCTTCTTTGTATAGTCTAGCACTATAATTAATTAGGGTATTTATAAACTGCAGGCTTCTTTGTATGTTCATGGCCTTTGCAAAGCTAAATCAAAGAACTTTCCCCTTCAACCTCCAGATAAACATTCAGTTTGATTTACAATTGGAAATTTCTCATGTTTTTACTACTTGAATCTCCCAAAACACAAAGGTGAAAGGTCCAATATTGTGGTGAATTTTCTCTAATTTTGTGAACCACTGATTGATCATTTTGAAATTTGATATTTTAAAAAAAATCTACATTTTCAATTTTTCCTAGATGTTAGCTTTTAACTCATGAAAGTTATAATTGAGTCAAATATCTAGTCAGTGTTCCAAATTCCACAACTGTAATTTAGCAATACTTAGTGGCCTACACTAAGAACAGATGTGGCATCCATGTTAAATTATCCCCAAAAACAATTTTAAAAAGAATGTCAGTTTTATGTAACTTTTTCTGCACTCGTTGTAAAGTGGCGCTTGGCTACCTGATGTTACAAAAGTTCTCTCCGTTGTCCTTCGGAAGCAAAGTTCTAGCATAAATCCTATGTTTTCTAATACCGTAACAGAATGCAAGAAAATTAACATTACTTACCATAGAGACACTGGTATTTTTTAACTCTTCAGTGTGGTAGGGAAGTCTTTCCGTGAAACAGCAGGCCTGAAGAAGGCTTCCTTGTGAGAGAATTCAGTCAAAAACTGCTCTTGGAATGAGAATTGGGCATAGAGACCTGGTACAAACAATGGGAAATCACCCTGGTAGTTTCCTCAATAAAAAATAATATCAAGGGTTGGCAGAGTGGCTCAGGTAGTAGAGCACCTGCTTTGCAAGCATGAGACCCTGAGTTCAAACCCTAATGCTACCAAAATAATAATAATAATAATAATAATAAGGTTCCAATCCATTTTATTTGTGAAAATAGAGCACAAGCATTGTATGAGTAACTCTGTCGTCTGGGTGGCGTTTTTGTCTTTTCGTGTTCTCATCCATGTGATGCACTGGAAGCCACATCACATCATTCAAGACAAAAATGGCAACAGCCGTCATGTATAAAACACTTGCCCTGTAACATGCACCATCATAAGCTTTGCACGTGGATCTTCTAATGACTGACCAATCCTTTGCTCTATTTTCGCCCTGCATTAACTATTACTGCCATTTAAAAGGAAGCTTCCTCTTAGATATTCCAGATTTTTGACTTTCTTGGTATTTTCTTCTATTTCTATGCCACTAATTCATTTTATCCAAGGTGATGCATTTTCTCTATCAGTAGAATCTTAGCATGAATAACAAGTTGCAGCTAACCACTTGAGGCAAAATCTGATTTTCTGTTTTGAAGATCACGGGAGGGAAACCTTCCTCCTAGTATTTAACTATACCAGCTCTTTCCTCTCTTTTTTTCTCAAGGGAGGGCTCAAATGAACTGTGACCAACTTCGCTTCTGTTTGTTGCCCAGATCCTTCTCTACATGGGAACATTTTTCCATTTCGAGCGAATGATCATCTTCTCATAGGAATATCTTTTGTTTTCATCTTTTCTAGGATTTTATATATGGGTTAGGTTCACTCCAAGTGTGACATTTAGACTACAGTATTTTATAATCTTTCTCTTTCAGTTCCAAAGGATGTGTTCCTTCCGCATAAACCAGACCCCGAGGTCTCTCAGAGTGAACCTGGTAAATAAATTATTTTATTTTCCCAGTTAGAAAGTATAGTTTTCAAAAATATTCTTGTGGTAAATGTATTTTAATGGCTATGATATGGAAGAAAGTTGGAGAAAATTATGGACATAAATATATTTCTTTGGGAGAACTTTAATCATATAGTTTGAGATTTTATGATTCTATAACCTGGTTGAAATTTTTTTGCCCTGGTTAAATGAAGGAATAGCACATAATAGGTGTCTTTTCCAGGGTGAATAGGTATTCACCCTGGGAATGTTTTCATCGAATGGGAAATCATGCTAAATTTGTAAAAAATTTAATTAACTGAGGCAATCATTTAATATCCTTTAAAAACATAAAATGTAGCTACAACAATTGTACTTTTACATAAAAAGAATGGGTGCCTACTCAAATGATAGTGAATGAGATCTTAAAGTTTTAAACTAAGTTCTCTAAGAGGTATCTAGCATGTAGCATCCTTTCATATTTATTATGGTTTTTGGAGAATGTTTAAATGATTAAAAGAGTGCATCTGACTTTGCAGGTAGTAATTCTCATAAATACCTCTCTTTGGTTTGCTTTTGGCATAGTTCTGCAACCTGTTACCTTTAGAATTGAGCCACCAAAGACAACAATAGGTAATGGTTTTCCCATGTTGACCAACTCATTGTTTTCTTTGTCAACCTCAAGATTGCAGGTCTTTCTCAAATGATCATGACTGAAGTGTCACCTCTTCTTAATCCATTTCATCATTTCATTCTCAGTGTGATGGCTCTTTCTAAAACAGAAAAGCTATGATTGGATTGTTGTAAAGGCTTTGCTCTGAAGACCAACTTACGATGACTCATTATCGAGTAATCCTTATCTACTTCAATTATCTTCATTATTCCACCTTCCTGGTGGAATGTAACAGATCCTGTTGGTTTAGTGCTTCTCAGCTGTAATGTTACAACACACTAGCATGTGACAAGTTTGAAAGGTATTGAAAGAAATTAATATTGATTGAAATACTGAAAATTGCCAGTGATATACTTGTAAAACTAAACTTGAGCAGACCTAAAAAAATGATCTCAGAAGTTTTGTAATCCTCTATGCTCTCTTGGGAGGGGCATAGAGGGGCAGAACTGCATCTCATAGACCAGGACCAGGACTTTCCCACACCCTATCTTAGCCAGGTATCCTCATGGAATTGCTCAAGCATAGACATCATTTATTGTGTGTCCTGGTAGAAAAGCAGTTGAGAATCATTATTCTAATTTTTTAGTCTTTTTCCTGAAAGGTCATGCACACTTAACTTTCTTATTCATCACTCACAATGTTTTCCCTGTTCTGTTTCAAATAAAGGAATCTCATGTAATACCATTGTGGTCTGGTGCTGGCTTTGACTTAAAAGTTTACAGTCTTGGTACTTTTCTTTTGCAGCTCCTTTAGAGACACGAGGTATCCCTTTTATACCTATTATTTCACCGAGTCCTAGCGAAGAAGAACTACAAACCATCCTGGGTAAATTTTGTTTTGATCTATCAATCCTGTAGGGACTTACCTTTTAAGGATTTACCTTTAAGAAGCCATAAGTACATTATCTTCCTGGGCTGTTTTCAAACAGTAGAAGGATCATTAAACAAAAAAAAACCCCAAAACCCTCACTTCATTTGATACTTTTACATTAACTGTATATTTGTCCTTCTAATATTTATGCTTATTTTTAATATAAAATAAAAATGTTTTCAAGAATCTTGACAAAATTTCAAGAATAGTCAGCTGTATTTGAAAATTTGGGTTCTACATCTGTGGATTTAAGTGAATGTGAATAAAAATATTTGAAAACACTGTGTCTGTACTGAAACTGTACAGACTTTTTTCTTCTCATTATTCTTAGACAATACCACACACCAACTACTCAGAAAGCATGTACATTGTATTAGGTATTATCAGCAATCTAAAGAGGATTTAAGATATGCAATAGGATGTGCATAGGCTATACAAATGCTGTGCCATTTTATATAAGTAGCTTGAGCATCCACAGTTGGGTGTCCTGGAACCATTCACCTATAGACACCAAGCGATGATTATATTCTAAAATACAAATATTCCCAAATCCATGTTGTACTTTTTGGTTGCTTTTTCCAAATTTAAAAATGCATCTGGGTATAAAATCAGACATTTAATACTTAGTGAGCCTTAGGAGGGTGCTAATCATAGTGCTAAGCATTGCAGGTTCCTCCCAAAAATTATTTTAAATGCAGTTCCTACCCTGAAGAGTTCACCCTGTAATATGGAGTCAGAATTTAGTGACAGTACTGCCTCCTCTGTGCCACCCAGTGTAATACATTTTTTTAAACTTAATTCACAGAACTCTGTGAGGTAGTTTCTATACTTGCTTCATTTTATAGAAAATTAAGGCCTAGAGCACTTTCAAACTTGCCAAGGCAACACAGTTAGTGTCAGAAACAGAATTGGGAAGTAAGTACTCAGTCACTAGAGCTCCTAGGACTAACCCCAGTGTTGTGTACTGCAATGAATCGGTAGAGAAGTGAGCAATGTGCTGACTAAGTGAAGCACCTGGGGGCATCAAGGAAGGCTTCACAGAGCAGGTGGTATTTACACTGGGTCTTCAAGTTGGAATGAGAATTGATGAGGCATAGATCCAAAAGATCCTTTTAAGAGAGTTAGGGAAGAGACACAGGGCAAGAAGGGTAGCTGGACTAAGACATCTGTAGAAGCAAATATAGATGAATCAAGAAGGTCTGAAGATAAGAGCTGGACGTGCTTTTAAGGACTGTAATACAAATGTATTCACTGCATAGGAAATACCAGTTTGCCTGAGTCATGGAAAATGAACCAGAAGGCAAAAGTTCCCAAATCATGTTTCTTGGCTCCTCCATGCCATCCTTGCTACATCAGTGGCCCCGATCAGTGGCCTTCTTTGCTGTCTTGATCCCTTTCCAAATAAATCCATTCTTGTGTGTGTCTATTGAAATGAAGTAACTGAACACATTTTAAAATGAGATATATCTTGAAATTTTAAATTTAATGAGAAACACCCTCATCATTACCAAATATTTATCTACTCCAGCCTAAGCCTATGAAGTCAACATCACCTGAAATGGTGACATTAAAAGTACTTTTAAAAAACCACTAATTATCTAACTTTCACTCCCTACTTCTTCAATGTGTCTTGGTTTATTGAAGAAAGAACCAATGCCTGACAACTATCACAAGTATCTTTCTTGTGAACTGAATAGAGAAAATAAATTGGGGCCAGAAAAAAAGATGGCAATAGATCATTCACATCAAGTATTTCCCTGGATCTAGTATGTGGCAAAGTGAATGACGCAATTCTCCATTGTCATTATGATACAGTAATTTCAAGATAATATGAGGGTAGAAGTATTGCCATACATACTTTGTCAGGAAAAAATGTGTCTGAGTGCCAGCATATATGTGCTTTCATTTTCACATGACAAAAATAAAAGAATATTTGTTTTTGTATGGTATAAATGCACATTTTCTCATCTGATCTATTTGTTTTCCAGTTCATGTAAATAACTGGTGGAACTTGTGGAGTAGGGAAGAGACAGGATGATAAATATGTAGATAGTTAAGAGACATTTATACATAGGCCACATCAAGGATAGCCATATGAAACAATGATCCTGAGCTAAAAGCTTTGGAAATCCTTACAATAATCATTAAAATAATAACACAAGGCAGCAAATATAATAAATGAGATTTATTAAAATGTGCCATTAATTTTGAATCATTGTTTTTTTTTATGTAGTTTTTACACTTTATCATTGCATGGAACAAAAAAGAGCATTGGTTATGGTTTATTTTTTCATTTTATTTATTGTCATGATCATAATCACAGTGATAATTATTTAAAACAAGACATCTTGCTGTGTTTTCCCCCCAGAAGAAACAGACCAATCCACCCAAGGGCTCTTCACAACTAAGATTCCACGAACGACTGACTTGGCAAAGACAACGCAGGGTAATGCTACTTTCCCACCTCAGGAGAGTAATTAATTTTTTCTCACTTGTTTTTAGTCAAGAGGGAAATTTTCTTTTCAGAAGGTATTTCCTCATCACAGTAAATTACTTTTTTCATTTTAAAGGTGAAAGACATCAGCGAAATCTGAGTATTTACTTGAGCATCAGTTGAACAGAGAGAAGACAAGTTCTTTAGTTGGAGCTTTGCTTCTGAGTGTATTATCTGCAGCTGGTTGTTGATAACTAATAATGAAGGCTCCCTTCTTCACCCTTGCTTAACCTTCATGTGCTTCATATGATAGGAAAGAGCTTTATTTTCCCTTCCCCTCTTCATTCCTTTCTTGTCCTCCTCCCTTCCTATCACCTCACTTAATGCAATACACTGACACTGTGGCCTGATAAAAGAAACTATTAATAAGAAAAGTATTTTTTAAATGTGTCAATGTTTAAACATTCGAGGAAGTGTTCTTTGTGCCTTCCTGATGTTATTTCTTCTCTGTGATACCTTACTTTTAGGGAAATGAACTCTCTGTGCAAAGCTCTGCGTATGTTATCTTCATCCCCTCAGATGTATTTTCCTTATATAATAAGGAAATATAATTTACTGTCTTACTTGGGTTGTAAGCAGTTGTGGGTTTCCAGTTCTTTAGTGTTGTTTTTGTTTAATGATCTCCTTTATTTATCTCTATTAAAGGATAGGGAAAAAAAAGCAAATTTTAAAAAGAGTTGTAGGACAAATAAATTCATTTTACCCATTATCAGTTCTAATTTGAGGGAGAAAGTTGGTTTCAAACTCTTGAAATAACAAGAGAAGAGCCTGAAATGGTAGTGTGAGAGGATCATTAGATCAAGGCCAGCCTAGACTACATGTGAGACCCTGTCTCAGAAAAACAAAACAATTAAAAAAGTAAAGAATAAGAAAAGAAACAACAAGAGAAAATGGCAGAATTCTAATTTTATAGTATATACTTTGTCAATGGGGCAGTATTTATTCTAAGCAAACATGGGTTGGAAGCTGAACATTGTAGTACATGCTTGTAATCTGAGCACTCCAGAGGCTGAGGCAAGATGATCAAGAGTTCAAGCCAGCCTTAACTCTACATAGTGAGTTCCTGTCTCAAAAGGAAAAAAAAAATAAACCAAAGACTTTCAATGGTGCATAAAAATTTTGTCTTAACACATCTATGTATTTTAATTTTTTTCTCCTGTGCTGAGAATTTTAGTTCATACATTTCTGAGTTTGTACCCAAAATCTTCAGAGTGGGATCACTAGGGATCCATTTGCATGAAATAATAACTAACATCCAGGAAAAGCCCCATTTCGAGGATAAGAGGAACATCCAAAAACTGCTCCATCCCAATAATCCTGTTTGGGAGTAGAAGGTCACCTTTGATACAGGCATGGTGTGTAGTGTGTGTCACTGTAATGGATCCCATAAACATGTGCCTGAGCTCTGAGGCACTGCAAGTCCATCAGCTATTTTCTTTGTTTTAATGTCAGGACATTAGGAATAGGAAAACATGTAGCAATCGAAAGACTTACAGTAGAGATGAACACAGAGGAAGCCATTCCCCTTTTTATTTTTATGGTAGCACTGGGATTTGAACTTGGGGCTTTGCTCTTGCTAGGCAAGCACTCTACCACTTGAGCCATGTCTTCAGATCTTTGTATTTTAGTTTGTTTTTCAGATAGCCTCAAGCTTTTGGCTGGGGCTGCCTTCAAATTGAGTGATCCTCTTACCTAGAGCCCCCTGTGTGGCTGGGATGGCAGGCATGTGCCATTACATCTGGTTTATGGTTGAGATGAATCTCATTAACTTCTTGCCTGAACTGACCTGTAACTGTGATCTTCCCAATCTCTGCCTCCCAAGTAGCTGGGATTAGAGACAGGAGCCATGATGCCCAGCCCCAAATCATGCCTTTTGGTGTCTATACTCTACCCATGTGTGTACCATTGACCAATGTAGTTCTGTGGCATCCAAGCCCTCAGCAATGGGGCTTCCTGGACCTACACAGAGCCCACTAGAAGAATGTCCAAAACTTTTTCTCTGTGGCAGCAGCACTGCTCCTGTGTCTACTGAGACAATTTCTTTGCAGGGAGCTGCCTTTTCTCTGTCTTCTAATTTCCACCCAATGTAGCAATCCCCTTAGCCAGAGGCTTTGGGAAGTTCTGATTATCTTACTTTCAGCCCTTGATCCCTCCCCCACCCAGTGAAAGTTATCTCCTTCTTCCTAGCACCATGTAAGTGGGCAGAGCCTGTTTCTCCTATAATCATTGTATATTTATTTTTGGTGTCTTCATAAAGTATTTTAGTACTTTTTGAAAACAGATTTTTATTAAACTATTTAGATATGAAGCCATCTTTAAAATCATTTTTATTATTGGTCACCCATAACAGTGTGACGATGGTTACATAGTAAAATTGTGACAAAAGCTCCTTTGCCCTTTTAAGTTTAATATTAAAAACATAAAGCAGTTTTCTCATGGTCACGTGGTGGTTGGTGATAAGCTATATGAGTAACAAACTAAAAAGTTCTTTCTAGATTTAAGTGAGGACTAGAAAAACTAGAACAAACATTCTGATCCTGTAGCTTTGAAGTGCTGAATGTAGTTCTGATTATATCTGTGCTCCGCTCTGATCTCTTTCCTGTCAAAAGTTTTTAAACGCATATATTTTCTACAATGAGACAAATAAGAACCATGATCCTTGAACTTACTTTAAGAAAAGCGATCTAACATTCAAAGAGTTTACATGAAAAACTGAAATCAGTTAAATTGACTGGCAATTCTACCACTCTGAAAGAACATTGAAGAAAAACATTTGCAAATCATCATCAGGCCTTCAGGATCTGTGGGAATTTGTTATAACATCAGTACCTCTGTTCATTCTGGCTACAGCCTTTGGGAAGGCTAAGCTGAGTCTCCAGAGAATTTCAGTCGGCCTCTGCTGTTGCTGGCCTACAGCATGGCAAAATCCTGCTCATCAGTCTTTACATTGTTCACTTATAAATGAGCTACATTATAAGCTATTTTGCAGGTGTATATTTTAGCTTATTAGGCAAGGCATTGCTGATTTATGGTGATATAAGTATCCACTCAAGATGTGAACAAAATCATCAAAATGATGTAACCTACATACATAGTTTACAAGAAATGTTTTTCCAGTCTTAACTAAAGCATTACCAAGAAACTTGGTGGCAGGAGGTATTGGGGGTGGGGAGAACAGAGAAGAAAAGTGGTGGGTGGACAAATTCCAGAATGAATGCACATTTTAAAACCTTAGGAAGTACAAATATTTCAGTATCTTTTCACAAATTTGCTTTCTTACAATGGTCACTCATTTATTCCTTTAGCAAAACTTCACTAGTTTGCAGGACCTGGATGGCAAGAGCTGATGAGTAAGGAAGGTGGTATGTTGGTCACACTTACTTGTGTGAGTTCTCAGTCCTAGGCATCATTTTCTCTCATTCTTACACATAGCATATGGATGATACTGAATATTTATTTATTTCAGAGTTTGTGAGCCAAGACAATTTGATAGTGGTCATATATTCCTATTTTTTTTCTTACCTATCAAAAGTTTTATTCTTTTTTTACCTTTAAGGTTGCTTCTCTTTGGTAAAATAATGGTTCAGAGTGACTCTTTAGTGAGAGACATGAGTGGGTAGATGGATGGATGGATGAATGGATGAACAAATGAATGACTGATATATTTGCCATGTTAAGCAACCATCTGATAAAATGCTCTTGAAAAACATAAATGATGACTTATCCTTAACACATTACAAATGACCTACCTCACTCTATGTACATCTTTGATTTTTAGTCATGAATATTTTCACTTGTCTTACATTATTTTACCATGAAATCTGCAATGCATATTTGGAGATTTCAGAACTTTTTTCCACTTCCATACAGTGTGTGTCAGTGATTGATCTCTAGTGTGATAAATCTATTTAGTGAACTTTGAAGTGTTAGTTATTAAATATAGTGTTTCTTGTGTTTCAGCAACACACAGACAATACACTACTCCTGCGAGGCCCAGGATACCTGAAAAACCACATTTCAGACCTGGTACATTGTTTTCATTTCTTTGATGTACTAAATAATCAGTAGGTTGGGAAAGATATAAAATTAATTAAAACAACCACATTCACCAAAAGTGGTAGGGAAATGTATCCTTAAGTTGCAACAAAGGACATGCAGAATTTCTTTTTGGATAAGTGAAGATGTACTGATGAATCATGGAAGTGATAGATGTTAACCTTAAAAAGTTTTTCATGGATATTCAGATTCAGAAAACACTATGGAACTTTCTTGACATAAAAAGGTTTTGTGGTACTGACAAAATGATTTTTGATATTCTTTGATATATAGAGAGCCCATATTCTGGGTGCAATTCTACAGCTTCTAAAGATTTCTAGGCACAGAAATCTTTTATAAATAAGTGTATTTCCATATGACTTTTATGTTATAATAGCTGTTGAAAGGTTAATGTGTGACTGATTAAACATTTGAACAAAACATGGAAACAGTAACAACTAATGGTTGAGTGCTTACTATGTGCTCTATGAGGTACAGTTGGGAAACGAAGATACTGAGGCAAACCAGAAAGGGGAGTCAAAGGCCAGCAGTCTGACTCCAGAGTGTGCTCACACAAGCATAATGAATTCAGTGCTCTCCCTTAGAGATTCTTCTAAATGGACCACAACATAAGTGACCTCTTAAAGTTTTGGTAGTACTATGGCTTTCCACAAAGTAGGAAAGAAATTGAAATGTTTCATCATAGTTCAGTGCTCAACAGTAGATGTGTGCAAAGACACATCTGTACCTAGAGAATCCTATAAAAGAACCACCAACTTCTGAGTTACAGAATGAGACCTTGACAATCAATATACTTCAAGTTTTGGTTTTTCATTAGACATAGGTAGTCTTGCTCTTTCTTCAGTTCTACTTTGGAATGTATCCAAAGCTTACAAATGAAGCAAGGTAAGTATTTTCCACTTAGAATTATAAATCCCTTGCTAATTTTTTTCCAAACAAATACTGAAGCCCAGTGACCACCTCAATACAAATTCAGGTATCTATTCCTACATTCAAATCTATGATTTTTATACCAGATGATGGTTTCTATATTCTGCATGATATTTTTGGTAAGCCACCAATATTTTATTGCCTAGTTAAATGACTTCTAATTCTTTGAGAAGTTTTGCTTTCCTTGGCTGCAAACTCTTAATAAAAAAATATCTGAACTATTTGTTTCCCACTTTCTTGTAGTTTTGAACAGGACAACTACAAGACTGATTAGACCCAAACCCAGTGGAATACCCAATGGGAATGGAGTTAGAACAGGTAATAATCAAAGGTTTTATTTCCTTTTGATCCTGTCAAAACTATAAATGTTATTCATCTTGTGTAATTTTATTGAATTCACACATCAATTTCTTTTTTAGTAGTTTTGGAAATTCGTTGTAAAATTGGAATCAAAAGCTATTACTCATTCCAAAATCAAAACACGTCTCTAAAAACACTAAAAAAAAGAATTTTTCACTTTTCTAAACCCAGTCCACTAAATCAGCTGCCATATCAACCTTACTTCTAAAAATAATCCTCATTAAATATGAATTGTTGAATGATAATAATAAAAACAGCTGTTTTTCTTTATTTCAAAATACTTTCCATTCATAGGCTGGTCTTTAAGACCATAATTACTTGGTTTTCTAGTGTATAATTTCTCACAAGTATTGTTATGGTATTATTATAATTTTCTTTAAGACCTGCATCTGTTAGCAGTCTGGAATACAAAATTTAATCAAGAGGAAATAGAATTAATCAGCACAATTAGCAACTGATCACCCGGTTGTAATCATATTAATGTTTATAAATAACTCAGCTTAAATGACATGGTCATAATTGGGTTAGCTCTATGAGAGTAGACATCATTATAGATAATTTGAACACTGATCTGATAAAAGTTCAAACACAAAACTTACTCCAGGGATAAATGGAGCACTTGAATCATGTCTCCATCCTCCATGGATAAATGGTAGTGACTAGATGCCTTAACATGGAACTCCATCATTTCCTTAAAATATTTTAATTGAATAAATATTATGCTGATCTATGCATGGAAATTAGAATTTATTTAATGCATATATATTTAATCCATCCATGATGGTTCCCTAGTGAGAAAGAAATGTAATAATTAAAGCTATTTAGTCTAAGAATCATTTAGATTTGCTTTAGAATATGTTTCTTGTACTTTACTTCAATATTATGGTATCTGAAATTCTAGGAATTCACTTCTCTTCAAACTTCATAAGGAGACCAGTACTATAAGCTCCTGAGTCATGGGAACCAAGAGAACATTCTATTATCTATCCATGCTCAACCATTCCTTTTATTCTTCTCAACTTTAGGATTACACAGCACATAATTTCACAGATTCATATAAATAATATGGTTTTAGAAACAGCCCTCTTCTCTGAGGTCCTTTTGGAAGGAAAGCAGGTACAAATTGTTTAATATTCAAGTAATTCCTTGGAAGTACATAAGTAAAGATATAATAAAAGAAATTGAGTGGCAACAGAGCAAAGAAATCTGATATGATCACACTTGAAAGCCACCTAATCCTTCAGTAAAATTGTTGATTTTCACTAGGAATATAAGAATTGTCTTTTAAAGGGGAAACAGAACTTTATTATATTTTAGGTTATTAACAATATTAACATCATTTTCTGCGGCCACCTTATATTGCAAACTGGTGTCTATTCTTTTGTATATAAAGTCAACTCATGTAATACAGCTTTGGAAGGATGATATCTTATATAAGTGCTTCTGCAACTTAGTCTGTTACTGGTAGAAAGTGGGCTGTTTCCCATTTCCTTGCTCCTCTTCCACCTCTAATCAAAATTTCTTTACTTTTCTAAATTCTGTTGTCCATATTTTGGGATCTCCTATAAAGGAAGACTTGATATACACCTATAGGAAATAAGGTCAGCAGACAGCATCCAGCCACTATTACCTACAGGATCAGTCCTGAGAGATCCTTCAGTAGAGATATAGTGGTATATCTTCATGTCTATACACTAATGCATAAAAACCTAACGGTATCTACCCCCAGGAATGCCACATTGGCTCAACATTCAAACTAATGTAACAAAATAAAGGAGAAAAGTCATATGATCACCTGAGTGGATTAAAAAACACTAAAGTCCAAAATTCATTCATGATGAAAAGTTAGGAAATTATGAATAGAAGCTTTCCTTGATCTGATAAAGGGCATCTATGTATGGGAAGCCTACAGCTAATCTCAGACGTAATGGTGAAGGATTGAATGCTTTTCTTCTAAGACTGAGAATATAACAAAGATTCCTACTTTTACCACTTGCATTGAACATAATGGTGGAGTGCTCAGCCAACTCAATAAGGAAAGAAAACAAGTTAATGGCATCAAAGTTAGGAGTCATAGATAAGATGATTATCTATGTAGAATATTATAAAGGAGAATTTAACCACTTTCAGATATTTGCCAGAGAATTATGAATTAAAAAATTGGTGATTTTACATGGGTACACGAAAGCAATAGTAGGAATCTCTCTGTATAGCTATCCTTAACTTAACTAGCAAAAATGCTTTGTCTTCCTTATTATGCTTCTGTCTTTTCTTCAACAAAATTAGTGATAAGGGCAGAACAGAACCTGCCTGGAACTGACAGGGGGGAGAGAGGGAAGGGTGGGGGAGGGGGACAGGATGGAAAAATGACCCAAACAATGTATGCACATGTGAATAAATGAACAAAAATAAATAAATAAATAAATAAAAATAAAAAATTGGTGATCTGTTCTCTCCAGTTTGTACACTTGAGTCCTTCTTCCTTTAACTCTGCATAGTGTTGGTCTGACTTGCTTACATGCTATTTGCATTAGTTTATTTCCTGCTCTATCACAATTCCACTGTCTCATCCACCCTCACATTTAACCTCTATTGATTTGGGATGAGAGACTGTTTTTGTGTCAATTGGGTCCATATTCAACTTTGACATCTTATCCACAATATTTATTATCCATCCTACATACTTTTCCCTATACATTTCCTTTGCTTTTCTTTTCTTTTGTGCTGGCATTAAGGTTTGAACTCAGTGCCTTGCTAGGCAATTGCTCTACCACTTAAACCATACCCATAGCCCTTTTTGCTTTTAAATATTTTTTCAGATAGGATCTCACATTTTGGCCTGGGATGACCTCAGATTGCAATCCTCCTACCTATGCCACGCATGTAACTGGGATTACAGCTGTTTGCCACCACACCCACCTTATTTATTGAGATGGGCTTTCACTAACTTTTCGTCCAGGCTGGCCTTGAACTGAGATCCTTCTGATCTCTGCTTTCCAATTAGCTGGGAATACAAACTTGAGCCCATTTCTTTTGTTGTTACTTGTAGTCATTTATTCACATGTGTGTACATTGTTTGGGACATTTCTCCCCCTTACTCCTGGCCCCCACCATCTCCCCCCTTCTCCCCTTGCTTCCAGGCAGAACCTGTTCTGTGCTTTTCTCTAGTTCCCTTGAAGAATAGAAATTAACAATAATAAGAAAGACATAGTGTTTTTCCTAGTTGAGTTAAGGATAGTTATACAAAGAGATTCCTAGCATTGCTTCCATTTACAAATGTGTTACAACCCAGGTTGATTCATCTCTAACTGTTGACTCTGTCGCTTTAAGGTTTCTGTATTAGTTCCTCTCCAGTGGGGACATCAAACACTTTCATGTTTTGGGTTTCTTACCTATCTCCATATCTCCCGTATGTGCTCTCCCCTTCTCATGTGACCCAAGTCCAACAACATTGCTGCCTTTGCCCTAGATCTAAAGTCCGCATATGAGGGAGAACATACCATTTTTTGGTCTTCTGAGGCTGGCTGACCTTGTTGAGTCCATTTTTGTACAATATTTTTTCTTACTGAAGTTTTCATCTCAATTCATTTCAACTTATTTTATTAAAAATAAATTGGAAAAGGACGTGTTAAGGGTCTTTAGGACACGTTCTTCATGACCTTTGGCCACCTAAGGTGTACCCCTGGAAGATCCCCCTGCAAAAAAAAGACTTTGAAGCCCAAGACTACGGAACTTTGATTTCTGTAAAAATCTTCCAATGATTCCATTAACCTCAGGAATCTTTTGAGCTGCGTTGTTTTTCCATTATTGTTTTATAGCTAGCCTCATGACAGATATTTGCCCTAAATTATGTGTATCACATCCTTACCTGTGCAGATTTTCCTTTATATCACAGTTAGAAAGTAGCCTGCAGAGACTGAGATTTTAAATGGGTCACTTTTAAGCACTCTCTGCTTTTTCAGGGTTTCTAGAGCTATATCTTGGTTTAACTGATGTGTTCCACTCATTAGAATCTTCTAAGTTGAAGAGTTCAATAGAGATGGTGTAGCCTACAAAGATGAAAGTGTTACCTGACTGTTTACAGAAAAAGTTTGCTGAGCTCTGTTCTAGACAATCTCTTGGACTTCCTCCCTGAAAATGGAAACTGCTGAGCCTTTAGCTGTTCTCTCATTCAAACAACATTTATTGAAGGCTTGTTATGTGCTAGGCAAAGTGTAATTCTGAAACCATCCTGTCACGTGGGATTTGGCAGACTTTGTTAAATATCTGAACCCCAGACTTTTTCCTCTACCTCCTAATGGGGAAACCATACTTTACTGGCCCCACATGGAGAACCCAGGCTCCTTGGTGTGAGGAATGTGTTTTTCTGGGCTGTGACTAAATCTTCCAGCTGTTGGCTCATTGTCCCTGAAATTTTAACCAGGTACTAAGCTTTGGGGACAAGGGTGCAGAGATCAATCATCCATAAATATCATCCCTTTTTGGTCACAGGGAGTGGAGTCAGTGATTCACTTGAAAATTGAGTACCTCTGATACAGCTGAGAATCAATTTGTTTGTTTGCAAAGTTTTTGTTACTATGGTTAAAATACCCAAATCATTACTTCATTTGGGGCAATAAATCGCTAAGTGGTGAATTATATAAATCCAGAGATTTTTGGAGAACTCCCATATGGTAGAGTGGGGTGCAGGGGGAGGTGCAGGTTGAGAATCAAGTCTTGGTGCTTCCAAAGCTGACTGCCTTTTAGAAGATGTGTCAATTAATCTTGCCTGAGAGAAAAAGAATTCAGGTCACAGCCTGCGCCAGACTGTCTGTATGGGTGCCAATTCCTAAAGATCTATTTTCTGCGTATGTCTCTTACTGGCTTCCTTCTTTCCCTTCATACTGCCTCTCTGCTACCTTTGGCCTTCATTTGCTCCCACCCCTCTGACTCAGGGCAACAGGCTTGGAACCGGGTCTCCTGTCCCCAGCTCTGCACTGAATGCTGCCTTTTGCTGGGCACTTCCAATACTTCCATACACCAGCAGCTTCTAGCCATTTCCAAAGACTGGAGAAAGTCCAGTTAGCAGCTGGTATGCTATTGATTGAGGTGCTTTCTTCTAAGTATTGTGACTGTATGCTGCCTCTCTCTCCACCTATATAGAAAGTGAAGAATGTATCTAGTTTTCATCTTTCTCCTTTGCTTCTTCCCTTCTCTCCCTCTTCCCCCTTTCCCTGCCTTCTCCCTTTATCCCCACCTTCTCTCTCTCTTCCTGTGCTAGGATCAAACCCAGAGCCTCATGCATACTAGGCAAGTAGGTTGCTTTGGATTTCATCAGCTGTGAGCCTGGGATAGAATCTCCCACACAGAAGCATAAGAAGGCTCAAATCAAGTAATGACTATGTAAGGTGCTTGGACAGTGTTAGATTATGTTAGATTAAAATATTTTGTTTTAAAGGGCAGAATGATTTGGAGAAGGGCTGTGAAGAAGGATCTACTTAAGGCACACAGCCTACTAGCCTTCTAGAGTCTATAACTTTTTTAACCTTTGAGAAATAGTTGTAAATCAAATCTCACCAAACCAAGTCATACTGGCAACACAAATGGAGTATTTTCCATTCTCATTTGTCATTCACTGGGTAACCACTCAAACAGGCCATTTCCTTGACTCCATTACCACTGACAACAGAGCACAGGAAGAAGACTAATGAGCCATTTTCTCTCTCCATGCCTGGATGGTTAAACACGTAATAGAAATGGTCATTGCCCCCAGAAATACTTTTTGTACCACAAATAAGCAACATTTGATTCATGGTTCCATATAAACATTCTCTAAAACTTTATATATTATCTCTTATTCAAGCAGCAGAGAATGTGGCATTGCAATAGTAAATTCATCTTCAAATTTCACAATTAATGTGTGAGTGTAACCTCATTTTGGCAAGCATATCTTGTATATTTAACCAATATATCTGCCTACATATTAAATGAAATGTTCCTACACAGTCCCTGAACACTGTGAGCACTCAAAACAATGTTGTTGCCATTGCTGTAGTCACTGTGGTGGTTGTTAGTGCATTAACTAATACATCAATTTAACATGTTGTTCTTATTTTTAATATATAAATTATAGTCAAGTCCTCAGAATATGGATTCTTTTTAAGGATGAACCATTATATTTCAAGTACTATTACTGTTTTGATTCTAAAGCATGTCTGTCTCTATTCTTCTTAATGGTAATTGTCATACATGTCAGGAAAGATTATTTTATAATGTAAAAGAATAACAAAAAAAAACTAAGATAAGCATACACTGGTTTCCTCTACCATAAGGAAACTATCCCAAATTCCAGCTTGGGTATTTAGGTGAATGGCCAAGTAATAACCACCAGATTGTATTTGAGGGACTTGGGAGATAAAAATGTCACACAAAGCAATTTTCAGTTTAGTTTCTTCCAAATAACAATTTAGATTTCTAGGGCTGTCCAGAGCTAATTTACAAATCTGAAGGGTAAAGATTCAGTTTGTAACCTCAACAGCCTGATAGACAAGACCTGCACAGGGATATTTTTAAAGTTAACTCATTAAGTATAAACCCTAACATACTGGAATACTAAGAGTTTTTTTAATGGGCACAAAGGAGCTTGTGTAATTTTCTTTTAACCACAAGTGTATCTATAAATATTGGCAAAAAGTAGTCACTTGCCATATAGATGAAGCAAACACATCAGCAGGGAAGGCAGTGCAGGATGAGCATCATGGAAAGTTGTGATAAAACTACTGCCCACAATCCAATGCTAACTCTGAAAGAAAATATAACCAACGAATGTATGGTTTTGAAATTTTTTTCAATATCCAGGTAATAGAAGTCAATTAAAATATCTAGGCACAAAAGTGCTAATGCCCCTGCTCTGCCAAAATATGTACATTATCACTGATAACTCTACTAAGTGCTCATAACAAAGAACATTTAGCACATTTTCACTATATATTTATTCCTTTTCACTGGATCTGCTCGTAGGAGTCAAGCAAGCACCCAAGCCATCGGGTAGTGGTAGAAATGTGTCAGTGGATTCTACCCATGCCACAAAAAAAACAGGTAAGGAATAAGATGCTGACCTTTTACAGCAGCTCAACTCTGAAACTTACACAATAACTGCAGAAGTGCATGTTGTGACACAAACAGCAACATTTTCCCAGCCTCCAACGTGCCAGAACAAAGTTAGAAGTACATGTGTATGGCTAGGGAAACATGCCAGCATCTTATTCTTGGGAGTATTAAAAGTATTCTGTGCACAAACTAAACATTAATAAGAACCTCTAACAGGGTGCTGACTTGATAATTTTGTCCCAAGGGACCACAATGGACAAGTGTTAGAGTAACCATGGGTTCTAGTTTCTGTCATGTTTAAGTTCTGCTTTTGTGTGGTTTATGACAATATCCTTTTGCTTGAAATAACTTATGTTCCTTATTTAAAGAGTATGCGGTATGTAATAGGTGAAATTATGAAGCTGCCAATTAGAACACCTTTGCTTCTTAAAAGGATGCTGTGAGACCCACCCTTGTGCATTACTGTCTGTACCACTGTCCTCTCCTAAGTGAGGACATGCACGCACTCTTGCCCTCCCTTCCTCCATCTTCTACTTCTTCCCTCTTCTCTCCCACTCTTCCTCTCTCTTTTCTTAGTATCCTGGGCAGTGCTTACAGCCATTTTTCTGAACTGATAATTTTACTTAAAGATTTTTAGGTCAACATAAATAATGCAAAGAAAGAGATGAATCTTTAAGCTATAACTTAAGACTTGATGTTTGGGTTAAGAAGGACAGCTTCAAATACCTTTAGCTTTGCCAACCTTTGTAAAAAGTATACATCATTGTGTAAACTATAAAAAGGTCTCCTTTCCCCCTGTCCTGTAAGTAGATGAATTCGAAAAAACGTCCTTTCTCTGGACTGTCAGCACTGTATCAGAGCTCTTGGGTGGGTGAGCAGGAGTGAGATGGGCACCAGATTCTTGTTTCTAACATCAGAGCTACTTTTGTTTAATCATTTGAGAAGTTCTGAAGTTGTTCGTTTAATTACAACTACTTTAAGAGATGACAGAGTAAAACACCTACAAAAAGAGGAATTATATGCTTAACAATTCAAAGCTAAAATGATGTAAGAAATTCAGTTACAAAGTCAGAGGCACTTGGGTATAATGAAGTTCATAAATGCTAACCATTGAGTCTATATAGGAAACAAAAAACGTAAAATTCTATATATCTACACATCCTTTCAAAAGGCAGAGATATTGATATACGTTCATCTATAATTATAGGATATGTTTTACATATACTAATGTACTTCATTATCCCTGCGTATATTAATTTAGAAGAATATCATTATTCTTCTAATTAATACCAGCATTAATTTAGAAGAGTATCAGTTTATATTGCTAATATGCACTATTCTATTAAGCCTATTCTTACCATCCAACTTATGAATGTTTTTGTTAAAAAAACATGATTTTTTTATGATGTTTTTATCTACATCTCTTAGTGACAATCCCAGGGAGTCGCCGCCCTCCTCTGCCACCTAGACCTATACCCCCACGAAGAAAACCTCTACCACCAAATAATGTCACTGGAAAGCCAGGAAGTGGAGGTACGTTCATCATTTACCTTCCCCCTCCCTCTGTGATTTCAGTTTTATTAGCCAACCATGGTCCTTCTTGACATGTTAGCTCAGGCAGTGAGAACTAGCCAGAAAAAGCTACATGCTGTAAATTATAGCTTTGAGGATTCATGTCACTCTGGATGAGTGAGGTAAATAGTTAAAGATTTCATTCCTCTGTGTCTTGGCCTGTTCGCTTCTTAGATGTCAGCATGTGTGGTGCCTAGATAGAATCTTACTCTGGCCCTGTGACAAGTAGATTATTCTGGAGGATGAGATGCTATATGTCGCCAAGACCCCAGAGGTAATGCAAAATATGGTACCCTATCATTGACTTATCATTTTTGTCTTCTGAAATGAAATCCTAAACATTTCACTGAAAGTTCCCCTATCCACCAGCCTCATGATGGTCTCAGTATTATGTGATAAGGGGGAGGGGTTGGCATAAATTTGAAACGATAGAGCAAGCCTCAGTACAACGAGGCAGGAATCTATCTTAGGAGTCAAGCTGCTTCTTACTTCTATGCCTAGGTACAGGTTCATCATCCCCCTCGAATGACCTCTTCCAGAATAGATATTCATTCACACTTCATCTCTTCTGTAGCTCCCAAAGAAGTCTCAGCATTGCTTCTCTATTCGACATTTCCTTGATATATACCTCTCTGTTAAAGCAAAGATCAAGTTGCTGTGTACCTCCTTTGTTCACTTACTTCTCTTTCTCTAGTAGACCATGATCTCTGTGATGACAGAGTACTTGGTATAATGCTTAGCACATGGAGAATATTTGATAAGTAATAACTGAATGAATAAATGAATAAAATTAAGAATCAGTGAAAATTAATCCAGTTGGGAGCAAAGCTTTTTCTCATATCTATCAAGGGCTCTCCTCTTGGGACATGCCAGCAAATTACATGTTCCCCATTGTTCCTCACTTCCCAAAATCTTGACTTCCTACAGGATGGAATCAGGATCAAAGCACTAAAGACAGTGGTGAAAGATGAAACAGATGAGGGCTTGTGTGAAAGAGAGTGGATGTCATTCTTTTTATAGGATAAACAGAGGGCACGATGATGGGGATGTCTCACGAATTCTAAATCATTTTTTCCCAATGTGTGGAGGAGGACGATCCTCTCATTTATGTTCCTTGTGCCTTTCTGAGTCAAGGCCCGGTGACATAGCCTCATGAGGAGACCAGGTTTTCCTCATTAGGCCTAAATGGATAAGTCACAAACAAAAAGTGGATACTTGAGTGTGCCATGGAAACCCAGGGGCCCACCCCTGCAGAGATCCCCCAGTCAGGCTGTATGTCTTCAGCTGCAGTTCAATGGCCTTGGTTCCTACCTTATGAAATCTTTCTCTCTGTAACTCTGGTAAAGCCCACCCAGCCTGAAAAATAACCATAAGCACATTCCACTCCTGAGAGTAGATCTGGTCACTGGACCCTATGCACTACCATCTACCTGTAATGCAAAGAAAATGGCTGATTGGGGAGTCAAACAACAAGCAAGGGCATTTGTACAGATTTGGCCTGATTAACATCCCAAACATGAATCCTGAATTCCGGACATCTGCTAACTGTCTGAGAATCCTTGAGTGCTCTCTCACATGTGGCTATAAGCACAGCCTTGGCTGCCCTGTGGCATCCACCACTTTTCCCCTATCTCCAGATCCACCAAAGCGTCTGAGTTCCTTGTCAGGGTAAAAATGCTACCAGCATTCCCTGTCGACTGCCAACACTGAAAAATTCATGCAGTCTTTGGTACAATTTCTCTTGGTTTTGCTTGCCCTTTTTGTTGTGTCCTACTCCCTCTAGGACCAGGACCATGAATCCCTAGGGGCAAACCAGAGGCTCAGCTGCTTGACTCATGACCAGAGTCCTTAAGTACAATTTGTGCCCTTGATTCTCTATGACCCTAAAAGAACTCCTTTTCCCAGGAGAAATATAAAATCCAATCTGAACTTTTCTTCACTCTCAGTACTCAGACTGGCTTGGATCTTGAAATAGATATAGTCCTAGAGACTTATAAGTAATTTTAGTGTGGAAGTATCATTGTTGAACACAGCAACTCAGGATAGCACTTTTTTAGCCACTGGGCCAGAATCATGGAGTCTTTTTCCTTCTTTTCTATCTCCCATGTCTGCTAGTTAATCTCCCAGTCAGACCATTCCATCTCATTGACATCTCTCACATCTATCCCTTCCATCCAGTCCTGTTCCCTCTGCTGTGACTCTGCTCCCCTTCCATTGCCTACATAACTTCCTTAGTTTCCTGACTTCTTTCTCACACACCAGATTTGTGTCCTAACCATTCATCATCTTTTCGTTCTATCATGTTACATCCCCATTGAAAATCTTTACATAGGTCCTTATTACCTACAAATGACGTCCAAAGCCATGGTATGCAAATTCTTTCATGATCTGCCTTTCACTACCCATCTACTCTTTGATTTCACTGTGTTCTTGGGGCCTTCTCTTCCCTGATCCTTCAAATTAAACACACTGAGCAATTCATGCTTCTCTAGTGTAGCTCATCATGCAACTTTGAACTACAATTGAGCTCTCATTCCTACCTACTGATCACTTCTCCTCTTATTGGCACATTCTCTGTGAAGAAGACATTCCTATTCCTCCCACCCTCCATACCCACCATCTTTCCTTAGTGATGTAGCCACTCCTTCTTCTTGTCCCCTCTGTGACCTTATCTAGTTCTTTCACAATATCTATGATGTTTCATTAGCCTTGGCTCACACATCTGTCTCCATCAAGAACCAGGTCTTGCACTCTCTCCAAGCCTGGCTGATAGTGCCAAGACACATGGTAAGCACTTAATAAACATTTATTGAATAAATAAATAGGAAACTTGGCAGTGCTCCTGTAAAGTCTTACTACTTTGGCTCTACATTACAGGAATCATTTCATCAGACTGGGTAACTTCCCCACCCCTGAGGGCAACACTCAAACCTATTGGAACCCCCTCGGAGGGACCAGAGATAGATAAAAAGCAGCCAACAGTCCCTGCCTCTGGAGAAGAGCTTGGTTAGTATGTTAGTTGGTTCTCACAGGATGCCTAGCTACAAGGTACAATGTATTTCAAATTAGAGGAAATAAAGTCTCAGTTCTGGATCTTCTATCTTACTTAATTTTATCATTAACATGCGTCCTTTATTGGTCTTTTTAATCTTGAAATTATACTTATTTTCAACCTTTTGAAATAGAACATGCTCCATTGCTTAGCAGACATAGAAGTGCCAAGTTTATTTCCTAAAAGGATCTAGATTATACAATTCTACTACTAAATTACCTGTAGTTACTAATTATACATACCTTAAATTCTTAATGAATATTAACTACCTGGTTGTAATTTTTAATTCATTATGTATTACTCCAGAACACCTTGTAGCAGGACATAAGTAAAGGCCTTTTATTGTGGATGAGGATGTATAATAATAAAGGAAATCAAAGCTACAGTAATTTAGGAAGAATATTGAATATCTTTAGCCTTTAGTACTCTTTTCATTGTATCATGAAGCTTTATCTTTTGCTAAAATTGTCCATCTTTCATTGTCAGGTAATACAACTGATTTTAGCTCGAGTCCAACAAGGGAAACTGATCATCTTGGGAAACCCAGATTCAAAGGTATTTTTGTCTCTGAATCTTGATTTTTGACAAGGCTAATTTTTGTGGGTAGTTCTGTTCAGGATTTCTGTGTAACAACCATGAAATCTTAGTAGTCTATGATGATAAAGATTTATTTTTCATGTCTCTGCAAGTGAACTGGGGTCAGCTGACCTAGGATATGCTTAGCTAGGATATGGTTCTATATTGGGCTGAGGCCTTCCCCACATGTGTTCATTCCAGTGCCCAGGATGAAGAACTAAGAGCAACCCAGAAGGCGTCTCATCATAATACAGAGAGGTGGCTTCAAAACATGCATCCACATTTCAAGCTCCTTTTTACATCTGCCAATATACAATGGCCAAAAAAGTCATATAGGTGGAGCGAGATTTTTCTCGCTCCCTTGTTGGAGCAAGCTTTCTCTTGCTCTTGGTTATTACTGAACCTAACTGGGGCTAACTGGGGGTGACTGGAGATTCAGAAAGGACACAGGATAGACAGACAGACAGAAAGTGGGATCAGGTGTGTTGGGCGCTTGGGTGGAGACACATAACCCTTGTTGCTTCTTTTCTCTATTATTCTCTTCATTTTACTCTGCTTCTTTTCTCTACCTTTATTCTTTAAGGCTTTACTCCTTTACAGTTCTTTAAAACCTAGATTCTAAAGTCTTCTTTAAAATCTTGCTTAAAACCTCTTTCCTTAGACTCGCTCTGTCCCATGTTTTCTCTTAGCTGTTCTTTAGCATAATCTCTCTTAAAGTCTTTGTGCCCAGACTTGCACTGTCCCATGTTCTCTCTTTAGCTTTCTTTTTGCTCAGATTTGCAAACAACAACAGCTGTGCCTAAAAACTGTATATGCATAACTCTTAAAGTCTCGGTCCTTAGACTTGTACTGTCCCATGTTCTCTTTTGCTTAGCTTTTCTAAAGCCTATGTATAAAGTTCTCTTTAGCCTTCTTAAAGTCTCAGCCCTCAGGCTTGCTAGCAATTTCCCTTTAGCAATTCTCCTTTAGCAATTCTTTTCCCTTCAGAATTCCTTTTCCCTTCCAAAGCTTCCCACATCAAAAAGCCTCCCTTCATCCAAAATCCAAAAGCCTCCAAAGCAAAAGCCCCCAAAGCAAAAGCCCCCAAAGCAAAAACCCCCAAAGCAAAATGCCTCAAAGCAAAAAGCTTAGCATCCCCCTTCAGTGAGTCTTTCACTGAAGCAGTGGTTCTCTGGGAGGTGTGTGACATTGTAACAGGAGAAATCTCCTGCTTCTCTGAACGTAAACAACTTTGGAGAAGCAGCTGCTCTGCATCTCCCTTCTCCATGGCCGGGGCTGTGCCAATCTCAGCCTACAGATAAACATCTTAGGAAAAGCAGTTGAGCTGCATCTCTCCTTGCTTATGTCCAGTTCTCATAGGCTTCTCATAATCCACTCTCCACACATAGGTAACCACAATGTGCTGCTTTACTATAGACTAGTATGTGCATTATTGAATTTCATGTAAATGAAGTCTCACAGTATGAACTCTTTTTGTCTGGTGTCTTTTACTCAGCACAATTACTCAGACGCTCATCCATGTTGCTCTATAAACCAATAGCCCATTCCTTTTTATTGCTGCTGTTCTGTTATGTGGATATATGATAATGTGTTTATTAAACCTGTTCATAACATTTGAGGGTTTCTATAGTTTTTCACACATTGCCAATAAAACTGATGTGGCCATTCATATACAAGCCTTTGTGTAGCCATATGTTTTCATATGGGCAAAATAACTCAGAAGAGAGTGGCTATGTGAGTTTATATATTCAACGTTTTAAGATACTGTGAAACTGTTTTTCAAAGTTGATTGTATGTTTTAGCTTTCTTTCAACAGTGAGGAGGCTTCTGGTTCTTCCACAACCTCATTTTAACAAGCATGAAGTGGTTTGAATTTTCTTCTCCCTAATGACTAAGGATGACTAAGGATGGTGAGCATCCTTGTGTGTATATCCATATATCTTTTCCAGAATGCCTAAATTTTTTTACCCACTTTTCAAGGAGAATTGCTGATTTACTTATTATTGAGTGTTGAGAATATCTGTATTTTCTAAGGACAAAAAACTTTTTCAGACATGTGCACTGCAAATATTTTCTTCCAGTATCTATCTTCTCTTTTTAATTTTTCTGAAGCTCAAATTATCAATGCTTTTTAATAGAATTCACTTTCATTAAAGTGAGCATTTTTTTCCTTCCTTAGTGAGCTTTGTTAGTTTGTGTCTTTACAAGAGATTAGTCCATTTAATCTATGTTGTCAAACTTATTTACATAAAGTTCATATTATTCCTTTATTTTGTTTTTAAAGTCTGTATTTTTGTTGTCATATCTAAGAAATTGTGGACTAACCAAAGGTTACACAGGGTTTTCCCTCCATGGTTTTCTTCTACATTTTTGCATTTTTACATTTATGATCACTTTGAGTAAAATTTCTATATGACACAAAGTATAAATATATGTTCAGTTTTTGTTCTTTTTGGTGGTACTGGGATTTAATGTTGGGCCTTCTGCTTGCTATGTAAGTACTCTACCACTTGAGGCCTTTTCCCAGCTGTTTTTTCTTTAGGCCATTTTTTCTCAGATAGGATTTCATGTTTTATGCTTGAGCTGTCTTCACATTGCAATCCTCTTACCTATGCCTCCCATGTAGCTGGAATTACAGGTATGAAACACCATACTCAGTTTATTGGTTGAGGTGGGAATCTTGTTAACTTTTTTCCCAGGCCTGAATGTATGATTCTTCAGATCTCCACATCTTGAGTGGCTGGGATCACCAACATGAGCGGTGGCTCAGTTTCTTGATTATAACATCCAGTTCTTCTAGCATTGCTTGTTTTTAAAAAACTGTATTTTTCCACTGAATTGTATTTGTACCTTTGTCATAAATCAATTGTTATATATATGTATATGTATATATATAGATATAGGTATAGATATAGATGGCTCTGTTTTTGGACTTTCTCACCTGTTCTATTGCTCTATCAACCTTTATAACAGTCTCACACTTTCTGGATTCTTGTGGTTTTGTTATAAATCATGCAAGTTACATTGACTTAGTCATTCAACATTGCTCTTCTTTTTCAAAGTTGTTTTGGTGATTCTGGGTCCTTTCCATCTTTATGAAATTTAGAATCAGCTTGTCACTATCTAAAATAGTTTACTTGGATTTTGATTGGAATTGCATTGAATCTGTAGGCCAACTGGCAAGAATTCACAGCTAAATAATTGAATTTTCTCACCTATGAACAGAGTATAACTGCCATTTACACAGGTCTTTTAAATTTCTCTCATGAGTGTTTTATAGTTTTCATTGTATAGAAAATCATAAAAGGAGTATTTCATTTCAGTTTTCAATTGCTTGCTGGTAATATGTAAAAAAAAGTATAGATTTTTGTTTTATCCTGTAACTTTGCAAATTAATTCCAATAGCATTTTCTACATACATAATTAAGTCATCTGAAAATAAAGTTTTACTTCTTTCCTTCTAGATGGAGTGCTATTTCTTTTTTTTCCTGTTTTATTTTACCTCTAGTAAAACATTATACAGCACTAGTGATATTTAAAATCCTTTCCTGCTTCCTAACTTATGGGAAAAGCATTCCATCTTTCATAATTAGTGATGGTGTTACTCATAGATTTTTTTCAAAGATGCTTTTATTGAGTTGAGGAAGTTCCTTCCTTGCCCTGTATAACAAGAATTTTTATCATTAATTAATGCTAGATTATGCCTGATTTATCTGCTTTTATTTTCTTTTATAGTTTGTGAATATGGTGAAGTAATTGATTTTTAAAATTTTTAACTTTGAATTCCGGGGAAACTTCCCCTTAAGTCATAGTGTATCCTCATTTTATATAATGTTGGATTTAATTTTCTATGGTTCTGTTTAGAATTGTATTCAGTTTTATTATAATGTCTAATCAGGTTTAGCTTCAGAGTAACACTGAAATCTCTTCTTCAGTTTTCTGAAGTATCTGTTGCTTAGTAGTATTTACCACTGGTTAGTAATACTAGTGGAACCATCTGCTCCTCACATTCTCTTTGTGGGAAGATTTTTTTGTATACCTTTGCTTTCTTTAATAGCCTTAGAACTATTTAGAATATTTTGTATTCCTTAGGGAGCTGTGGTAGGTTGTAGTTTTTAAAGTATTAGTCCATTTCATCTAAGTCATTAGATTTATTGGCATGAAGTTGTTCATAATACTGCCATATTGCCATTTTAATGTCCATAGAACCTGTATTGATGTCACTTCCTTATTCCTGATATTACTACAGCATGTCATTTTTTCCTATTGTTTAGTCTGTCTATAGGTTTAAGACTCTTGATCTTCCAAGCAGGCTTTTTGTTTCACTGCTTTTCTCCATTATTTTTTTCTGTTCTCGATTTCATTCATTTTTAATCTAACCTTTCCTTTGCTTAATTTGGGTTTAATTTGCCCTCTAATTATTGTTTCATAAAGTAGAAGATGAGTTTTTCATTGATTTGAGAATGCTTTCCCCCCCACACCTCCAATGCTAGGGATTAAACCCATGGCCTTACTGGGCATATACCCCAGTTGTTTCTTGTTATTTTCCTTTTTTTAAAATTATTTTTGTACTGGGGGTATCATGTGACATTTACAAGAGTTCTTAGAGTGTATCATAGTTGAATTCATCCCTTCCTCTTTTAACCCCTCCCGGTTCTTTTTTAATATAGCATTTTATGCTACATAATTTTCTCCAGGTACAACTGAAGCAAAAATCAAGAATTTTTATGCATTGTATCTTCATTTTACTCTACTCTAAATGCTTTTTTAATTTATTTCTTGATTTCTTCTTTAATCCCTTGATTTCTTATTACAAGTATGTTACTTAATTTCAGATATTTTGGAATTTTCCACGGAATGTCTGTTATTGATTTCTAACTCAACTCCATTGCAATGTAATATTCTGTATTTCTTGAATCCTTTTAAATTTGTTGAGACTTTTCATGGCCTACAATATATTGCATCTTGGTACATGTTCT